AGGAAATTTATTTGAAGAAGAAGGAGAGTGACTCGGCGCACCCAATGTGCACAACGCGCTTTTATTTATGTGGTGGAAGTGTGTTATTTGATTAACGGGGGTAAAATTGGAAATTGAGTTATAATTTTTTGAATTTCGCCGATTTCGATTCGAATGTTTCCAATTTTGAAACACCGTCTTCTCTTTTTTTTCTTTTTTTTTTTTTTTGTAGTATGTATACTGTTAATTTCCGAAAATGATTTTGAATTTATATATGTGAATAAAAATGGGATTTTTTTTTTTAATTTGTTGATATTTTAATTCAAAGAAATTCCAATTTTGGAACTTTTTTTAAATAAGGGAATTGGATTTATTTTGTTTGATATAAAATTGTATTTAACGATATATAGCAATTTTTTTTTTTTTTTTGATAATTGATATATAACAATATAGTACTATTTAATTAATGAATGTTTATTTATGTGTATAGACTATAGACTATAGAGTATAATCACAATTAAATTTAAACAATGAATCCGAAGGACAAAACCGTCACTCCATCTTTAATACTTAACTACGATGAAACGCAGACACCTAATTTATAATAAGGATTATTATTATTATTATTATTATTATTAGTATTATTATTATTATTATTATTATTATTATTATTATTATTATTATTATTATTATTATTATTATTATTACCCGCTAAACACGTTATCGAAAAGTGGTGATTAGTGGTTTATGAATTATTTAAATCAAGACTAATTAAAACCCAAAAGTTAGTGATAATTTTCTCCTAGTGGGGTTGATGTAATTTGGTACTAATAGATTAATATATGTGGCTAAGTGTGAATTAAGGAATATTTCATTTGGAGTTTAATTTACATAATTTTTAACTACATGGATGTGACTAGGATACAACATTAGGATTAGGTTGTCTTATTTTTTCTTAAAGAATGGTAAATATTTATTTATTTATTTATTTATTTATTTAATTTTCTAAGTTGACTAATTGCTTTAGAGATTTAGATTTGCTGTCACTAGCAAACCCATGACACAAATTGAGTTTAATGTTTATTTAATTTATTAGGCAAAAAAAAAATGCTAATTAATTTATTATTTATTTAAGTAGTTCTTGTCATTGAGCTTTTGTTTGGCTGAAGACATGTTCTAGGAATAAGATTTGATTGTCTCAAACTAGTGGTGGTTAATTTAATTTGGTAAGCCTAATTATATTGACTAATAATTTGTTAATTGTTATTAGGTGTCCTTAATTATACTTGTTCCATATGATTGATGTGTTTCCAGATTATATCCAATCATCGAAATTAATATCGTGCTATCGTTCGTTTATATAAATTTACAGACTTTTAATTTGTAAAAAATCGTAAGTTGATGTACGAAAATGGGATGTGAACTTGAAATGATTCGTAAATAAATAGATCGAGTACAAATAAAAATAAAAATAAAATAATTTTGTTTCACATTGATTGTTATGATTAAGACAATGGTTCTTGATGACTGAATCTATTTTCCTACCTTAATTTCCAACCGAAAAATTAACGGTTAAGACTTTTTGTTTTTATTTTTATTTATTTATGAAAGTAATAATGAAATTAATCACACACAAATAATTTAATTTCTACTTATATATATCTGAAATGTGTTTTCACAGTGATGACTTTGTAGTGCATCAGAAAGACCTCAACAAGTGGAAAATTCAAAAGTTGACCAAGTCTTTTGGAATATATTACCCCAATAATTTGAATCCTTTTGTCACGCCAATCTAGAATTGTCATTTCAACAAATTGCACCATGTTTAGATAGTGTCTGCATCAGAATTTCTAATTTCTGCTGGTTCCGATTCCAAATTTTACGATTTTGGAAAATTAATTTTCATTATGAATTCCAAAAATTTCGGCTGCGATTTTTTTTCCCGATAGTATGTGTTTATATTTTGAATGACCAAAAAAATAGAATCTTCCAAATTTTGCCGATTATGGTCCGAAAATTTCTGATTATGGAACGAGTTTTTCCGTTCCAATTTTTGATATTTTTGGAATTGGAATGAGTTTTCACTCCAGAACAAAATCGATGTTTTTTTTCAGGAAAGTGCATATTCTCATCCGATTTCCATCCCTAATAATTGTGATTCCTTTGTCAACAAGAAAAAAAAAACATGAAATAAGTAAAAAGAGGAAATCTAATTGTTCTAGATACCTAATATATAATTACGAACCCTAATTTGAATTGACTGGTTGCAATAGAAAATTATATTGATTGCAAGAATTTGTTAAGTTTCATTTTCAAAGAGGGAAAAAAAAGGTTAGTACTAATGGTGAATTATTCAATTTGAAGTAGCTATTTGCTTACTTTAGAAGCCAACCTTAATTAAATCTCGATCATTGAATGCTAAATCAAATCTTTGTCTGAAAATCAAAATACAACTTATTTAAAATTAAAAGAAATAAGAAAATAAAAACATAATTGGCCCACTTTAGCTTCTCTGCTAAAACCTTCCCAAGAAGCTGCCTCCCAGATTCAGACACACCTGAATTATCATGCTATAACATATTACAACATGCAATAATACAAACCAATTCCTCTGCTATCAAATACATTATAAAACATTATAAAAAATACAATTATAAAACAATAAAACAACATTATAAAACAAACAAAATAATTAACAAATAACAAATACACATTATTACAGGCTATATGATTTCCCATTAGTTGATCTTTCTAATTCAAAGCTAATCTACCGACATTCTAATTATACTTACATTTCTTTCTGTCAGAATTTAAACAAAAACCTCACAAAATCAAAAAAAAAAAAAAAAGATCAAAGTCAACAACAAAATCGATACAGCACGAAAAAAGGGATCTTAAAAAAAGAAAGGGTTCAACTTTCAAGATTCTCTCGTTTACTCAGTCAACAGTCGCATAAATACTCCTACGGCAATACGGGCAGTCGCCACATGTACGTACCCAAGGACCCAAGCAGCAAAAATGGTACCTATGTCCGCATGGCAGACACGTCAGCTTTTCTCCCTCCGAAAAACTCTCGAGGCAAATACTGCACTCCTTTAAATCCCTTGACATGTTATGTGCGTTGGTTTTCTCTTGGAGAGAGAAAATCTCGATGCGCAAAGAGGTGAGTGCCTCTTGAGTGAGTCCAGGTGGTCTACTGCTCGTTTGATGGGCAATGGACTCTGTTGAGTGGGTGACTGAAGTAACCCAATCCCTAGATATTTCTGTTTCCCAATCTCCAGCATCGACCAGCCTAAAATCTTCGCCTATTGCAATGTTGTTTGACGAACTCCGATTATTCCGCCTACAGGTCAAAACAAACATTCGAAAGTCATAATATGTTTAAATGGACAATGCCCCGACAAGGTTCTATTTATTTACGTTTACGTATAGAGATGGAAACTATACCTGCTACCAGAGAGAGTTACGCCTCTAAGCCTTTGCAAAAGCCTTTCTCTAGCAAGCAGCACAGGTCCAGGGAGCCTGTCATTCCCATTGACTCTCGCCCTATCACGTACGCTAACGTGATTTCCAGTGTGGCTAACATTTCCTGGAGAAATTTGGTGGCCAACTTCTTCAAGCCAAATTGGTTCGTGTTCCTGACCGCGTCAATGGAAGGATATATATTATATTAAGCAAGCAAAAGGAATGGTTCAAAAGGGTTTCCCCTTTGAATGTTTACGTTTACATTCATTTTTCATATGCATAGACTGGTCAAAAAGATGCGAGATAGCTCTGAAAAGAAGGGTTGACATCGATTTTACCGTTTTAACAAAATAGAATATCACTCAAACTTAGTATGCAACCATAGAAGTTAAATAGTTAATACCAAACTGCAGGGACTAACTTACTATACAAGAAGTCAAATTACCGGAGTGGCAATTAGTTTGGCTTCTTACGAAAAAAAATAAAATTGACAGCCTCTGATGCAACAATGTATAAATGAACATACACACAAACATCAAACTTAAGAGTCAAAGCATCTGAATTAAACAGCAAATGGCGTAGTCAAACAGGACCAAATTAACCCAATATATAAATGAATTTTGGGTGTGATAGTCAAACTTGAAAAATATAATTTCAATATTTTAGAAGGGAAAATAGATTTTAGAAAGGAAAGAAAGAAGTTCTAGTGAAAGCCTTATTTAAAGTAGATTTCTCCTCGGAAAAGTTCCGATGTGATGAATCTTCCACAGGGTGACTGAATACAACAAGCAAGAGTGTATATATAATAAGACAATAAACTTATACTCGGAAAGATAGTTAATACGGGTACTGCTCCAAAGTTTTAAGATGGTACATATCAAACATGCCGGGGTTGTTTGCAATCAAAAAAAATAATATGTCATTTCACAAGAGCGAACCTATTTTTTCGACTCTTGCAGAATAAGCATTTTCCAATATATAACACATGCGTTAGGCATGCACACAAACGGCAGCTTCAAACTTGAGATTTTGCATGTCAATTAACAACAAATATTGCAGTCAAACAACACAAGTTTTTATGAGACCCCAAGTGAGAAAGTTGAACTTCAAACTATATATCATCATAACAACATCTAGGCAGACATTGACCGGGAAAGAAGTTTTTACGAAACCCTTGATTTTTCGTTGGAGACAACGTTCCAATGTGAAGAATTTTCCATAGGGAAACTGAATGTAAACAAGAAGTAAGAGTGAAAATAGACAAGCGCAAATAACCTACCACTCAACTTAGATATTAAAAGTTAAAACGAGTATGAAACCAATTTCCGTGTTTGGTTCTTCATGAAATCCAAATCAGTATCATGTTTTAAACCCCGATTACTGGTTCACACTTGAAGCATGCCTGATTTTGATATTTGCAAACAAAAGTGACTAAAATTTCCTAGACCCTTTTAATTTATAAAAGGAATGCCGGTTACTTTCGTTAAACAGCAAAACTGTTCTTCTCGCACAAAGAATTCGGAACAGTACAGACACGATGAACTTGGTCACGGGAAAGAGCAGCAAATTTCTTATTTGTATAGTGTCACGAGAGAATGTGCAAATTTCCAAAACTACAAAATCATATTTTCACATTTATAAACCATTTGAAAATTAACACACTCTTAGCAAAAAGTACGAAATCATAAACAATATGAACAAAACTCTTCAAGCATCAAATATCATCAACGAGCAAACCCTAACCAGCTATATACATCAACTAATCCCAACTGCAACAGACTTTCTTAAAGAGGGGTTGGGGTGGGGAGGGGGGGATTCTCACTTGAGGTGGATGGGAAGGACGGCGGTGCAGGGGTTGCCTGAGCTGGTGAATCGACCGTCGGAAAGGATCGCATCCGTCGGGCTCGAGCCGATCGCGGCGAGCGTGACTGCCGCCGGGACTGTTGAAATGGCGACTGCGGCGATTGGTCCGATCGGGAGGCGGAGGCGAATCCAAATCCGCCCCGACACCGAAAGGATCCGAATTCCGACCGAATCGAGACCTCCGGCTGTAGAACAGCTCCGATGCGCTCGTCATACAAACTCCAATTACCAAATGGGCGGTTCCTGCTACCAAAATCGGTCCTGCAAAAAACCCAAAATTGTGAATTTAAATACGTAAAAAAAAACGAAAAACGAGGAAAACAAAATTCGAATTCTGCCTGTTTCGAAGAAATTACTGAAATCTCTCGTCGTGTAGTGTGGGATTGAAGATGGAGGAATTGGCGGCAGTAGCTTCGCGGAAAATGGGAATAATGTGTGAAGAAAATGAAATAAATCTGCCCTTCTATTTTTGCACAGAGATTTTCTTCTCTATTTTATCCGTCACTAATTATTAATTAATTTTCTAATAAAAGATTCTATCCGTTTATATATAAATGTATTTATTTATTAATTAATTAATTATTATATAGGTTTGGTGATTAAATTCCAAAATTTGATGGGGTATCATATCTTTTGTCCTTTTGGTACAAATATGTCACCATTGTCTAAGCTTTCTTTCTTTTATTTAAAAAAATTATCGAGTGTATAAATTATATTTGAATTTATATTTGATAAGCAATTAGATCGAATCGATCTTCAGTAACCTGATTTGTTATACGTATTTAAACTTGGTTGAACCAAGTTTCATACTTACCACCTCAGTGAAGCAGATGATCGTACTTTTTTATAACATAAATATTTACTCACCCTACTAAAAATCATGTCAAAATTAGCAATAGTGTTTTTGGGCGGATCAATTCCTTTATTTATTCGATAGTTTTGATATTCCTAAAAAAAAAAAAAAAAAAAAAATCGATAGTTTTGATACAGGGATTATAAATTCAATTATTATAGCATGATATTACAAACTAATTTAATTCATTTATTAATATTCCTCGAAAAAAAACTATAATAACTTGATGTATAAGGCTAAAATTATTATGGGCTCAAGCTCATTCATAATTAAGGATATGGGCCAAATTTAAAATGTAGTCCCAAGTATACAAAAATTAAGTTGTTTATGGATTTTCTTTAGTTTATTTGTGGGCCTTCAGTCCATAACTACTTAAATTAAATTAAAACAATTAAACGTATAAATAAGGATAAATTCCATTTTTCCCCTTGTACTTTGGTTCGGTATCACTTTTCCTCATTCTACTCTCTATTGTATCGATTTCCCCCTGCACTTGAAAAACTGTCTCAATGTGGCCCTCGATATTAGTTGTCAGACATTTGACTTTAACATCGTTTGATCTAAGCTGAAATTAAACGGTGTTAATGTCAAAGGTCTGAAAATAACAACGATGGTCAAATCGATGCAATGGAGGGTAGAAAGATGGTAAAGTGATATTAAGCGAAAATACAAGGGAAGAAAGTGGAATCTAGACTAACTTTAAATTATTATTAAAGGTAATTAATTCATTCTTAATAACCAATTTTCTCAATTGAAAAAATGTTCTAGTATATTGAGGTTTTTTTTAATAAAGTAATCCGCAACCAATTGTATAGTTCACTGCATGAATCTATATTCTTGTATAATAGATTGCAAACTATACGAGAGACGTAAACCACACTAGGCTAACTATATGTGATAAACTCGATCTAATAACAGTTGACAATTACTGACAATTACTTTTAAGTTCTACGCTGCCTAATTTGGTTTAATGTTGATGGTGGCTAATAGTAGAAGTAGATTATGCATAAGTTGCGAAAATCACTTATTCGGCAAAAAGACTTAAATGCCGAAACAACACAAAAGTAAACGCGGGCTTTTTCCGACATCCGAACGGCGTTTTCCTCGCATTGAGATACATCAGCTTTGATTGTTTACACACAGAATCTATGGCGGAAACCTTGAATCGTGTCGATTGACGCATTCCGACTAAGATCCCCAAAAGTCAAATCATGAAATACAAAGGGAAAAGAGTTCTTCTGGGTATCGACGCAGCCAAAAAGCTAAGATTGCCGATTGTTTTCTTCTTGTGCCTGTGTTTCTTCCTTGCTGGACTATTTGGATCCATTATCATATCTCAAGTAATTTCCTTTTTCTCCTTTTTTTTTTCTTTTTCAAATAGGTCTTTTTTTTATAATTTGGGGGTGCAGGATGCGAATAGGGGTAAATTTAGGCATAAATTGGTGGAAGAATCTCGAATTGAAGAAGGCGATGCTTTGTTACATGGTGAAAGTGGAGAGGGTTTCATCGCTTCTATACCGTTTCAGGTTTTCCTCTTCTTAATTGCCCATTTTTTTGAATTTTGGGGTTTCGAAAATGTTTCAATTATCTCGTAATCTTGTTAATCGGTACAAGTGTTTGTTTTGTTCTTCCTTGTGATCAATGTATTTATTTGATGAAACACCGTTTCGATCTTAGATCACTAATTGCTTATCAAGGGGCTTTTGTAGAGTTTGTAGTTTGAGGTTTATATATAACCCCGTTTCGATCTTAGATTGCTCGATTAATAGGGTTACGAAAACATCCATTCGTATTCTTTTCAACATATGCATTACTAATAGAATCGGGTGCATTTTAAAATTTTAAGATGCGCGTAATTGGAATTGAATCCTGTTCTGAGTTATACCTCGATGTTGGTGCAGGTCTTGAGTTGGAGACCGCGGGCTGTTTATTATCCTAATTTTGCGACAGACGAACAGTGCCAAAATGTAATTAAAATTACTAAAACAAAGCTTAGACCATCGTCACTTGCTCTGCGTAAGGGAGAGACTGCTGAGAGTACAAAGGGTATCAGAACAAGGTATCTTTCTTACATAGACTCTTTTCTCGTCTGGACATCTTTTTGGTGTTCATTGTCTTTATTCTTCGAATCATAATTTGATTCTAGAGCAAGACGTCGCTCTTATTTTTCCAGCATATATTACTTTCTTTTAAAAGGGAAATATATTCTCGATAAATATTTCCCTGGCCTTTGCTTATTTTTCCAGCATATATTACTTTTTTTTTAAAGGGAAATTTATTCTTGATAAATCTTTCCATGGCCTTTGCTCATGTTGAAATCGTTGAAATTAACACGATTTGAAGTATTTGAATAGCTATATTGATTGTCTTATATTACGAGTTGATTTTGTGTCCCATTGATTTTACTATCAGTATTGATCACATTCAATTGATTGATTCTCGGGTGCATCCATTAAATTTTTCCATGCAACAGTTCGGGGGCATTTGTCAGTGCATGGGAAGACAATACAGGAACTTTGGAATTTATCGAGAGGAAAATTGCTAGAGCGACAATGTTACCTAGGAGCCACGGTGAGGCAAGTATAAAACGGGCTGTCGTATAAATCCGAAATTACTAACTATTGATAGCAAATCTTGATCCGAGAGAAATTTTATAAAAGGAACATAATCAAAATCTTGATATTCACTCGAGTCTCGAAAATTGAAAAAAGGAAACAATTGTTTTTATTACAGGTCATTTCTGAGATAGTCCCATATCACCATATTGCAGGCTTTCAATGTTCTTCGCTATGAGATCGGACAAAGATACGTCTCTCACTACGACTCGTTCAATCCAGCAGAGTATGGCCCACAGCACAGCCAAAGGGTAAATATGTCCAGACTTGGTTCACTTGGTTCGTTACATCTCGAAACTCAATTTTCACACTTTTTTTTCTCTTTACAGATTGCTTCCTTTTTATTGTACTTGTCTGATGTGGAGGAAGGTGGAGAAACCATGTTCCCTTTTGAGGTAATAACATCATCGACAGCATATCTTGAAAATGTATATATATTTATTTATTTATTGACTAATAATGGGTCGAACCATGTTCCCGTTTTTATGAACGAATGTCAGAATGGGTCGAACATGGATATAGGATATGATTACGAAGGCTGCATAGGTTTGAAGGTGAAGCCTAGACGAGGTGACGGGCTTCTGTTTTATTCGTTATTTCCTAATGGAACAATTGATCAGGTAATAATTATATATATTCCGATATATCTTTTTCGTTGCATCATTTAAAAAGAAACACAATATCTTTAAATTTATATCGTATTTGACACATAATTCGTTTGTTTGCTGTGTGTGTTGCAGACATCACTACATGGAAGCTGTGCAGTTGTGAAGGGGGAGAAGTGGGTTGCTACAAAATGGATCAGAGACAATACGAAGATGCAATAATTTCACTAATTTTGTGTAATGGAAAAATTAATTTCTTAATTAGTTGTTGGATTAAGAAATATCATGTCTTATAATACAGTGGATATTATATCAAGAATGATCACTTCTTCAGTGTTGTATTAAATGAAACCCTTCGAAAATTAATAAACGGTGTGAGAAAAATGAGGCTTTGTTATATGCTACATCAAGTGAATTTGAATTTCATCGGCTCGTATTTACTTGTAATTACTGTTGAGTGGCATTTCTGTACTTCTGTAATTACTTGTTTGAGTGACAATTCTCCAATTACTTAATAAGTGGTAGTTTTGTAATTATTGTATATGTGTGCCAAAATTGTGTGCGAGTGTGTATGTTTGTATGTGCGTATGAAAAGTGTGTTAGAGGTGCGTATGCATGTGTGTGCGCGCGAAAAGGCTATAGAGTGTGTGTATATGTATGTGTGTGAAAAGGGTGTTGGGGTGTGTGTATACACGTATATGTAAAAGTGTGTTTAAGTGTGTGTGTGTGTTTGTACCAATAGCGTGTGCGAGTGTGTCAGTCAAACGTTTATGTATGTGCGTGTGTCAAAATTGTGAGTATGTGTACTAAAAGTGTGTTGAAGTGTGTGTATGCATGAATCGATCCAGATCGGTCCAAGTTCGATCCAATTTGAATACTCTAATAAAATTGTAATTAATTAAAAAATAAATAAATAAAAAGAGACGCAAAAACAAGTGGATGAGATCTGTTCATCTAATTATCAAAAAGAAAAAAAAAAAGAGATCTGTTCATCTGATACGTTGCCTTTTAAGCGAAATGGTTTCACCGTAACATCCTACACCCGTATGTACACGATACCCCCTCTCCACTCGACCGTTGGGAACCCAAAAAAATTACGCCCTGCAACGGATACTTTTTTTCTTCATTTACTAAAAAAAGAAAAATAACAAAACCCTGAATCCGATATCAAGAATCACAACACTCCTCTTCTGAATTTCTCTCTCTCTCTCTTCGCCCAAAAATCAAACCAACCCACTCTCTCTCACTTGAATTTCTCTCACTCAATTGGTGAAACCCTTTTCGAGAATTTCAGTTCTTCCGCGCTATAAATCAACAAATCAAGAAAACTGCTCAGTTTTTATTCATCGGATTCATCGAAGAAAGAAAAAAAGAATGGATCTTGGTTGTATTGATATGGGTTGTCTTGAGAAAGAGAATAGCCCGAAGGAATCTGTGACCTCTGCTTCTAAGCTTGGAAAGGTTTTTCTCTTTTTCTACCCTTTTTTTTTAATTATTATTTTATTTTTAGTTTAATTTAATTTCTGATTTAGTATCCATCCTTTGGGTTCTTGAACTAGGGTTTGTTGTTTTCGTGGTTTAATTTAAGTGAAGGGTTTCTGTATATGTGTGATGAATTACTAGGTTTTAAACTGGAAAATGGTATGTAATTGTAAATCTCTGGAAAATGGGCTTTATGTATTCATTATGAGTTACTAAATTTTTTATAGTCTCCGAGATAATTCTGGTTAATTACTAAATTCTGGGGTTTTTGTTTACGGTTTAGTTTTCGTAAACGCGGCGAGTTTTACTAAATTCTGTTTGTCTCTGAGAGATTTGTGTTGTGGTTTGGTTTTAGTGAACGGTAGCTGTGTGTGTGTGTGTGTGTGTGTGTGTGTGTGTGTGTGTGTGTGTGTGTGTGTGTGTGTGTGTGTGTGTGTGATTATATCGATTCTTTAGTCTCTTGCGGTTCGTTTAAAACCCGACTGCCAAGAATGAAGGAATGTAAGGTCAAGAACAATCGTAACTTCGTTTTAGTTGTGGATATAACTCTTGTCGCTATTTTTCGAAAATCACTATTGATACAATTTGCATCCTGATATGTTGTACAGAATAGTAAAGCAAAGGATGCGGTGCGGTCGAGCTTAAACGCATTGAACAAACTCACATCTCAAATCTCTAAACCTCCTCGTCGAAAAACGTCACCTCTGAATTGGTTCCCGAGGAAAAAAGTGGAGCCTTATTTGAAGAGGAAAATTAAGATGCTTCAGGTATGTTTACTCTCTGCATAAACTAGTCGATTTAGTGACAATTTTTTATTTTACGTAGAGAAATACTCGATGTTAATCCTTAATACGTACAGGAAGTGGATGGCATGCATTCGACTCTCGATGAAACTCTCGGCGACTCAAATCCACACTACTCGAGGGTACTTAGAGAAAAAATCGCAATCAAAGAAGCAGCGGATAAAGCAATGGAGGCTCGTAAAGCCGCTATGGTCGAAGCTTCTTGGTGTCGTATACTTCAAGCAGCTAGGTAATAATAAATAAATAAACCCTCGTACAATTTCGTATTTTGCTTCGATTTAGGTTTTAACATTGCTTTTTTTTTTTTCTTGAAAAAAGGATTGAAAGTAAAGAAGCAGAAGCTGAGCTTTCGAAAGCAGAAGCTGCTGCTTCGGAAGCTTTTGAAGCTGCGGGGGAGGTTGGTGTTATAATGAACGATATATCGGACCCTGCAAAAAGCCATTACAATATAGAAATAGTATCGGCTAAAGACACCACACATAGTGTTTCGGCGACTATCGAAACGGCTTTCGAGGTTGATAAACAAGTAGCTGCTGCGGTTAAAGCAGCTCTTGTGAAGCTTGCGCACTGCCCCTCGATCAACAAAGACGAATTTAAAGAGTTGTTGCGGAGAATCAGCGAAAACCCCGACGAAAACTGTGATTCGGACGTCACTTCGGAATGTGAATCGGATGCTGCTGAGTCAGCAGTTGTGGATAAGGACAGCTGTAATGAGAAATCGGAGAAGTTTGGTAGTAGGGATAAAATAGTGGATATGATGCTGGATAGGATTCGACGCTTGAAAGAAGAGGAACTAGCTTCGCTAGCCACTATAGTTGCAACGAGTGGTCTAAATGCTGCTTTGGCCGAAGTGAAAGGTCTAAATCGCCCTTTTGAGGGGTCTGGCCGAATTTCGTCTTTTTGTGGGAGGAGAGGTGAATCCGAACTTCCGAGCCTAGACAAATTTCTTGTGAAGCGTTTGACGAGGCTCGAGAGGGAGGTTCTAGAAGCCAAAAATAATGCGAGAAAGAACGATGATAATTTAAGTTCTTCGTCTCGAGGAGGAATAATCGACCGTGAGAAACAAGATTGTGCTCCTCCGCCTAGTTTGGATAAGGTTCTGGTGAAAAGAATGTCGAGGCTCGAAAGGGAGGTGCAGGAAGCTAAAGATAGGAACAAATCGGAAACCCCGATTTGTTCGAACGGAGATTCGATAGGGAAAGAAAATAAGACGCCGTGTGGAGAGAAGAATTACGAGAGTTTGGACAGTGTGTTGTCGGTGAAGCACTTGTCGAGGCTGGAAAAGGAGAAGTTGGAGTTTCGTGCGGATGAAGAAATGAGAGTAAAACCGAAGAGGAAGGAGTTTTTGTTGGATGGTGAGGGCAGTTTGGACCAGGTTTTAGTGAAGCATAAGTCGAGGTTGGAGAGGGAAAAAGCGGGTCCCACCACCGAGCAGAAAGATGATGTCACTAGACATCATTCAGTTTCTCGTAGAGAGACGAGAGAGAAGGAGATGAAGGATGCATGGGGAGGATTGAGCTTAGGGAATTCGATACGCCCTCATGTTTCCAGACTTCAACGAGACAAGGCAAGATTCTTTTTTTTTTCAATATTTTTTTTAATTTTAATTTTAATTTTAATATTGCCATGAAAATATATCTGATTTATTGGAAATGTGTGTAATAAATAGGCTGCTTGGATTGAAGCTGAAGAAGAGGAAAGAAAGAGGGTAGTGGAAGGAGAAGTATAAGTAGTAGTGTTTGTGAACTGCATTTCTATATATATATTTTTCTTCTAAATTTCAAGAAAATTGATATTTGTTTATGAAATATATCTGATATTTCATTTGTTATCTCTCAAAACTTATTTTGTTTAGTTTCATCAATGTGTATATGACTACCATTGTTTACTGTATTCTGAATATATTGATCTTTTAAAGACAGGGTTGTATTACATTTGCTTTTGTCTATGTATAAAAAAATTAGGGTAAATAGATCACTCTTTAAGGTAAGATCAAATTACGAAAAAAATCCTCATGTTTGAGTAATTACAACCAACCCCCTTGACTATGAATCTTTTTACACGTCCACCCTTGGCTACGAATTGGAGAATATTCCACTAAATTTGACACCGCAAGAATGGATGTGTAAGAAGATCATAGTTGAGGGTGGTGATTTTAATTACCAAAACATGAAAGGTTTTTTCGTAATCTAACCTTACATCAGGGATTGGCCGTAAGTTACCGTAAAAAAATTTTGATCTTTGACCATATAGATAAAAATAAATAAAATTTCTTGGCAAAAAATATTTAGAGGAGGAAAAAAAAAGAAGCAATCTTTACATCTATGGGGTATTTCTAACAACCTTCTCAAGTGAATAGAAGACTGTCCGAACTTAAAAACACAATTTGAATCCCTACGTGAAATAGTTGTGTTTGTACATAAGATCGATCCAAGTGGTCCCTTATTATTATTATTATTATTATTATTTAATTTTATTAAAGAAACTATATTTGGTTCTTGTCAAAGAACAAAAGAATACGTGGACCCCACACCTCAACTCCCCCCCACAGCCTAAAGCGTGACTTCTCCTGCGTTGAATAGTACTTTTCTGTCATATCAAATTTCACACCTCCAATAATTCAACACTACTATTTATTTATTATTTATTTATATTAATATTTATTTTAATTTAAAATTTTAATTTGAGTTAAGCCAATCGTCTAAGTTTTCGTCCAACATTGACTACACACTGTCCACTATTGTCCCTACAGTATCCTCTTATTCTTCTTCTTTCTTTCTTTATATATATAATAATACATTCTTCCATTCCCACCTTCTCTCTCCTCTTTCTCTCTCTAAGATGGCTTTTCATTCTCTCCTCTCTCTCTTCTTCCCCATTTTTTTCTCTTTCTTTTCTGCAGTACTCTCCACTAATTCTGAAGGTAACAACTTCTAATTTTTTTTTTTTGTATTTTTGTATGTATCCATTAGCTGCTTAATTGCTCTGTCAAGACTTCTGCTTCATTGATTGGAGTCTTTTTTTTTTCTTTTTCTTGAACCGTGTATCTATTATTTTACTGGGTTTCTGTCTAATTACTTCAAAGGGTTTCTTATTTGATTGAATTCATGAAGAACCCATCTCCCAAAAAATCTTCTTTTTTTCTTATTCAAATTCTTAAAAAAAATTATTAAATCAGAGTTTTCTTGATTTATTGCAGGAAATGCGCTACATGCTTTGAGAACCAGGTTTTCAGACCCGATAAATGTTCTACAGAGCTGGGATCCAACTCTTGTAAACCCTTGTACCTGGTTTCATGTTACCTGTGATTCTAATAACCATGTTGTCCGCTTGTAAGATCTTCCCTTTTTTTTTTTTTTCTTTAATTTATTTACTGCTATTTTAAAAAAAATAAAAAATTGTTGATTTTAATGTTAATTTGATTTGATCTGTAGGGACTTGGGAAATTCCAACATTTCTGGTACTTTGGGTCCGGAGCTAGGTGAATTAAAGCACCTTCAGTATTTGTAATTACTCTAAACCCTCTCGTTTATCGGTTAATTAACTATATTTTTATCTCCGTTTTCGGTTTCGGATCGAAGGGATTGAAAAAGTGGTTTATTTTTATTTTTATGTCTTTCTTGTTATAACTAAAGATCCAATTTTTAACGGTTGCGTTACCTTTTATCACTTAATTAACTATATTTTATCTTCATTTTCGGATCATATATCGTACTTTTAATTGTTATAAATAATTGATTAAAGGAATGGAAAAAGTTATTTGTTTTTATGTTTTTCTTGTTATAACTAAAGATCCAATTTTTAACGGCTGCGCTAGCTTTTTTCCCGGCATTTACGCACCGATCATCAATCTTTGTAGCGTACTTTTTGTCGCGTTCTCGTATCGTCAAATTTACTATATGTATAAAATGGCAAAGGGATAAAAGTATTATGCACTAATTGCAGGGAACTTTACAAAAACAACATTGGAGGGAGAATCCCGAAGGAGTTGGGCAATTTGGCAAAACTTGTTAGCATGGATCTGTATGGAAATAAATTCAATGGGAATATACCAAAGTCTTTTGCTAATTTGAAGTCCCTTAGATTTCTGTGAGTATATTATAAATCACTTAATTTAATCGTTTTTGAGTTGCGTTTTCAAGTGGTTGAATCGAATATATTTAATGTTTGTAGACGGCTAAATGATAACAAGCTGACTGGATCGATTCCAAGGGAGCTCACCACTCTATCGAACCTCAAAGTTTTGTAAGTGATAAACTTTTTTCGAAATTAATTAATTAATTAATTTATATTTATAATGAGAAACAAAATAAATAGATTTATGTTGTGTTTGCTTCTTGTACAATGTATGAATTGCAGTGATGTCTCTAACAACCATCTTTGTGGAACAATACCGGTCGACGGCCCGTTTGGATCTTTTCCTATGGAGAGGTATTTTATTTTCTTATTGCAGAATTGTAGTTAATCCTTTGCTATTTAAGAATAATTGTGGTCATAATTCAAATATGTACAAGTTAAGGGCATGAAAATAAATATTTACAACACATTTTTTTTTCGTATGTTTTTCTAATAATGTTGGTAATGTTGTCGAATTTTCCTGCAAGATTCGATTAGTTTTTCGAACGATGGCGCATCTTTATTACGAACTGTTTTGTTTTTGGCACGCGTAGCATTTTTTAACGTATTTAGTCCAAGTTTATTTAATTTTGATGTATAGTCTTAAACTTATAATATTTCTATTGATGGATAATTAATTAATTTTAATTTAATTTGCAGTTATGAGAACAACAAGCTAAATGGACCAGAACTGAAAGGGTTGGTGCCCTATGACTTTGGATGCTAAGGATGTATGTCTACACATTACTTGCACAAGAAAGAATATATATATAATTATATATATATAGGATAAAACAAATGTGTTTTCATTTAATGTTTTTTCTTTTCTTTTTAAACCCTTGTTTTACCTATTATTAATTATGTGACAGCCATTATAGCTCAAAATCAAATGCCATTGTATCATGCAGCATAAAATTGAGTAGGTGGTAATTTTAAGCTAATTAAATTAAGGACTGATTTACAAATACTCCCCTTTTCTTTTTCTTTATTAAAATTTCAATCTAATATTTTTTAAATTTTTTTTATATCAATTTAAAACTAGTAATTTGTATAAATAGTTTTAAAGAGTAAATTACAACGCCTCCCTGAGATATGTCAATTTATGAAGAACTCCTTCGTTTTTTCATAATTACATCCATTCCTACAATATATAGATTTGTTAAATTTACAAACTAAAGGGTGCTGGATGTAATTTCTAAAAGATAAGGGCCTTTTTTGTGACTACACTTTACTTTAGGGAGGGAGGTGGTTGTAATTTAGCCTAGTTTTAAATCATTGGAAATAGTTTAATCGGGCCGGGCCTGGTAAAATTTGGCATGTGTAAATGAAATCCACATGTCAGGTACCTAGAGGACACGTGTCGGTAGATTGTGGAGGTGCTGACTCACAAGAGGTTGCCCAAACTTATGGAACTTGTTCCCTTTTTACTTCTTCTGAACACGGGACGAAAATCATTGACGCTGGCTACGTTAACTCTACTCGCAGCAGTAGAGAAATAGAGCATACTCGCTCCCTTCAGAATTGACTATAAATATCAAACTTCATCAACGAATCCCTAAAAAGCGTGCAACTCACGCGCGCTCTGGCGTAAAATAGACTATAGAGCACCAAAATTTCTGACCACGATGATATTTTCTGTTTTCTCCGACAAAAATCTCCGCCCTTCCCTAAAACTCCGCCACCGTCGCACCGCCGAAATCCTTCGCCGGGAAATCTCGCATTATTACACTGCCAAGATATATCGCCGGAATCCATGGCCGCCACACTAACAAAGAACGGCGGCCTACTGATCAAAACCCGCCGCGACCACCAATCCCTACACTATTTGTGGAATACGAGGATCAAAAGCTCCATACCCGAACCCGCCGCAGCCCGGAAAAACACCGGCGACTACCAACTCCACCAAATCAAACAGTTTTCCCGTTTCACACAACCCATTTTCCGCAAGAACAAACGGATCCAATTCCCCCCTCCGAGCAAAGTATCTCCGTCTTCCGAGAAATCCGGGCTGGTGGGTTGGTACTTGAGAATGCTCAAGACCCGACCCGTTTCCACCAAAAGCATCACTTCTTCTCTCATCTACGCCGCCGCCGACGTTTCCTCTCAGGTACCGGAGAAATAAATTATAATCGAATTACGCCTCTGTTTCTTGATTTGCTCTCACAATTAAACTCTGTTTCTTGATTTTGCTACTAATTAACAATGTGTACAATATGCAAACCCTTTTCGTTTTGTGTTTCGATATAAAAAAGACTGCCCCTTTTCGTGTTCGTAATCGCGCCTTAAGGAATCGATATTTTTAAATGCAGACGATTGTGGGGGAGAGTATTGAGAAATATAATCTAGTGAGGACTCTTCGAATGGCGGGATACGGGCTGTTGATACTAGGCCCTTCGGTGCATTTCTGGTACAATTTCATGTCGAGAGTTTTCCCAAAGCGCGATCTTTTATCGACGTTTAAGAAAATCGCGTTGGGGCAGACCGTATACGGACCTTCCATGACCGTCATTTTCCTCTCCGTGAATGCTTCTTTCCAAGGTATCGCAAAGTATTTTCCGTTCGGTATCTTGAAATGTGTTGCTTCTTTTAACGAAAAAAAATCGTGTTCAAATTGTAGTTTATAGAATCTGAAATGCGGGTTCTGCTTCAAATGGTACTAGTGTACTAGACTTTCGATAACCACGTCTTTTGGTTACAAATTAGAGCATTGGTTATTGGAATTTAGTTAATTCACCAAGAAAGAATTCGGGTTTTCTTGTAAACGTAGACCTCTCATTAATATCTGACATAAGACTTGTATAGTTGATCCATTCTTGTAATTAATTGAGTTGGCACTCGATTTTGTGCCTCAGGTGAAAGTGGTGCGGAAATTGTAGCGAGATTGAACCGTGATTTGGTCTCTACCATGATTAACGGAGTAATGTATTGGCCGTTTTGTGATTTCGTGACGTTCAAATTCGTCCCCGTTCATTTACAGGTGAGTTTTCTGTTGTTTTTTTCTCGTACTGTAATTGAAATAATCCATCTTCTATTGTTGGTTTGCTTATCATGGTTTTTCAAATATTTGTGCAGCCACTAGTAACAAACTCGTTTTCGTACCTATGGACTGTTTACTTGACTTACACGGCAGGTTTAGCAAAAGTTAGTACGAGTGAATAACGTGTTTATTTCGGCCGCTGAAAATCGAAGATGGAGATCAAGAAGTTGCTCGTTTACGTTCTCATTAATCGAATTACTTCTTTTCTCTATTCCTTGTGTTTACTTCTTCGATTGATACGATATGAGGTTTTATGTATATTTGTACTCTAATTGCTTGCAGAATTTTCATAATGTAACATTTAATGAAATTACTGAAAAAAACATATGAGATCTTTATGAAACACCCGATGTTCCTCTTAATTTTTTTTTCCGGCAAAATGATTAAGAAAAATATAAATATATACAGAGCACAAGTTCGAAAAAATGATACCAAACTCGAACAACAATATAATTCTAAATGTGTTCTTAAAACAAAAACGAAAAAAGAACTGCTGATAAAAATCTGCTTACCTTAACTATGTTAACATCTATCTATTGCAGTTGCAGCGAGTACCGTGATTTCCTGCGCGTCGATCAACAACCATCGCTTATTTTTTCTGTATACGGAAACTCTTTGTGGATACCATGTTAGGACCAAGACGAGTGGATTTATAATCGCTTGCAACTGACCAGCTTTTCGATTTATTGCATGTGAAGTACACCAATTAATATCCCAATCTTACACGTATACGCATCTACTACACGTTCTGCACACACATTCACGCCATGCATACACGTAAGACTATGTGTAAATCTACGTTGAGATATATAACAAAATCCACTTTTACCCCCCAAAGTCGTAATGGCATATCTTCTCAAGCTGTGTAGACCAATCTTGACCGAGTAAACAAGGTTTCGATTCCATTGCAACACGGAAATCCGACATACTTACACGTTTACTACACCTTGATCCAGCGAGATCTAAACACGGCTTAATCAATCTCTTCAAGAAAACATCCAAACTATTATTCAACAAATCGGCACACTCCAAAGAAACCCCCACTCCCTCCAAAGCCAGCTTCTTCTGCACAAGATTCCTCAAAGATTCCGTACCCGGCAACTCGCAACTATTCTGACAACTCTCGGTAAACGTGTTGTAAGAAACCCCACAATCGCGGTCTTTACGAGCATTATTATTTACCGAAATGCCAAGAGGGGCAGTAATATTGCTCCAGCTTCGAGCAGAGAAGTTTCCTTCCAAGATCTGTTCAACCTCCTCACCTTCTTCTCGAGGCTTACTACAGAAAGAATGCAATTCTGTTGGGCTTTGATTTTCTTGATTTCTCGTAACTGTTTCTTCGCACGTTATCATACTTGGGCTCTTGCCCAACGGACCAAGTGGGCTCGGGCGGTCACGAAACTTGCGATCCCTATTAACGGGGGACCTACACTTGCGTGGGGATTGAGGGAACGCATCTCCGTATAGAGATTGTAAACAAGTCCTTTGATAGCCGTTTGTGACCTTGACATTTAGTCCTTCGACTTTTCGAGATTTATGTGGAGGGGTTTTTGCTTGACAAGCGTTTTGGAGGATTGACTGAATGAGCTTGTTGTGGAGGTGAATGTTTTCTCTTCCGATCGTTCTTACGCAGCTCTTGTCGAAATCGATTTTGCTGAGTTTCAAACCCAAGTATCTCTTGAGGTGGTCGAAGTACTTTTCGGCTCTCTGGTGCCCGATTTTTCGATAAATATGATCTTTCAGCTCCTGCGTGTCCACGCGAGTGAAATGATGGTGGCCCATCATTTTTCTTTTTCGTTTTCAACTGTATAAGATCCGAAAAAATACCAGATCCAAATCAGTAAGCAAGTAAATAAAACCCATAATCTATAACAATGATGAACATGTGTGATCTGTTCTACATAACCCAGAAACGGATCAGCTCAATCGAAGTTTCGGAACAGCTCAGTCGTGTTAAATATCAAAACAAGATCAAATTTTTTATTGTTGCAGGGAGTAAAAATTGGATTTTTTTTTTTTTTTCAATTTTGACTAACAAAAAAACTCGAGTTTCAAAACCCAACAGTAAATTTCCTTGGATATTAACTTGAATTTGAATAATTATGCTAAAATACTGCAAAAATGCACAATTATTGTGGTAATCAATTCAATTCAAACCTATTTTTTAAAAAAAAAAACGCAACGAAACGAAACGAAACCCCAGGAAACAATTGAATTGAACTAGACGAAAAGCTTAAGAGACGAAAAACAATAATCAATCATGAATCGGAATCGGAACCCAGTTCACATTTCGACGACGAACAAAAAAAAATTAAAAACCCCAGAAATTGAATTGAATTTTCAACGGAAAAAAGTAAGAGAGAGAGAGAGAGAGAGAGAAATTGACCTAGTCAGGAATAGTGGATGGAGGTTCAAAAATTTCCTGAATTTCTGTGCCCTTTTTTTTGTCCCTAATTTCTGCCTGTTCGATGATCGACGGCCTGTTTTGTTTGTCTGTGTTCCGAACTCTGTGTGCGTGAAATTTTCCTAAAATTGAGAAAAAAAAAAAAGAAGAAAGCCAAACAGGGCACAACTTTTTAAGTAGTCTCTGAGCCGCTTCACAGACGTGCACTTGTTCAGCAGTAATATGTATTGTTTAGACAAAGGGATTTTAAGGCCGCGTTTGGCTGTGTACTTTTAATCTAGTGTTTTGCCATTTCTGGAAACCCCAAACCCGCCCAATGGCGCTAAAGTCTTTTAGCCTCTCTCTGCACACTAAGTAGTTCCAATGTTTGTGGCATTAAATTACTTTCATCAAATATTAATTTTACCTAATTTAATCCACACTTATGTAAATTTTAATTTTTGTTCTAATACTAAAAGAATATTGTTTGTTCAATTTTGATTTGCATATGTAATTTCAGCTAATGTACTAAAAAAAATAGGGTAAATTACGGTAACCCCTGAGATAAGGTTAAATTGCGAAACCCCTCATACTTGAGTAAGTACAACCATCCATCAACTATGAATTTTATTACACGTCCAATCGTATGGTGTCAAATTCAACAGAATCTTCTAGATTTCATGGAATGTTCTCTAGTTTCTACTCGTTTTATGCAATAATGCAGTTTGTGATGCACCACAATCTGATATTTACAAGCCAACATACACATCTTGTGATCATCTTGTTTCAAAATGTGGAGCTCGAATGGGGTAAAACGAGTACAAACTGAAGAGAATTCCACTTAATCTATAAGATTCCACTAAATTGGACACCGCAAGGATGGACGTGTAAGAAGATTCATATTTGAGGAGGGTGGTTGTAATTACTCAAACACTAAGAATTTTTTTGTAATTTGACCTTACATCAGGATATGACCGTGATTTACCCAAAAAAAATCAACTAATATGTATGGAATCGAAAGATCCGAACCCCCGAGTTAAAAAAAAAAACGTACTAATAATTCTTCTTCGACTTTTAGTAAATAAAAAAAAAGACAATATTTAACACCCGACTAGAGAAGAAACTAGAAAAACGATAAACCCTAAAGACTGGCAATTTAAAATTCCGACCAACACTTAAATTGAAAGTCGTCGACTGATCAAACATTCTCCGGTCGAGATTTGATTTCGAAATAACACTTAATTGAAATAAAATTAATAAATATCAGCAAAATATAACTAAAATTACTTTATTTAGATTACACTTTCTCCTTTCAATGTTTTGGTAATTTTCTTATGTTCAGGCAAAAAGAAATGGACACAGCCTTTTTCTTGTAATAAACAAACAAAAAACACCTGAAAAATTACAATTATCTGATTTCAAGATTCTGGAATATACATTACAACACAACTGCCACACCAACCCTACTCCAATTTAACAACCGCCTCAAAACCGTCAGACACACAGCTCGTCCGAGAAGACGAGGGCAAATCCGTCAAAAGACTCTCGGACGCTTCGTTTTCCTGTCCTTCCACATCGTTGTCTGAATTCCCAACCGCAATAGCATCACTACGAAACTCCATCCATCTCCTTTCTTTCGCACGAATCAAGAAAGGGTACAAACCGAAACCGAACACAACCACAGCACCGCTCACTAAAACGGTCTTTAATGAAGCGAGAGACATGACAAGAACGAGCAGTAACACGGGCGGCAAGCAGAGGATTACTGCCCCGGAAGTTTCCAACGGTACTCTGTAAGGTCTGTGCAGCTCCGGTTTTTTAATCCTCAGTTTGATGAAGGCTGCGAATTCGAAGAGCATTCCTATTGCGTATAGGAAGTTTAGGAATTCGAGGATTTCTTGGAAACTCATCCATGATAGGAATATTACCCCCGTTGCCGAACATAGAATGCTGAATGTGGGGGTCCCGTATTTCGATCTGCAAAAAAAATTGACAAATTCGTGTAAAGATTCGACCTTTATTTATTTCTTTATTTCGCGTGTGATTAGGACAAGCAATTATCTTGGATTTTAGACCCCTAGTCGAACTATACAATTTGATCGTCGTGAAGTTGCATAAATCTTGTCTTGGGTAATCATATTTTGTCAGCCAAACGAAGCCTAAGGCATTGTTTGGTTGCTAAGGTGAGATAAAGCAATCTTACGAAAAGCCAATTTGTATTTGTTGAACCATTCGATGTTTAATAAAAAAAAAATCTCCCAATTAGATCCATTTTTCCGACCCGAAAAGTTATTAGACCATCCAATCCGAGAAAGTCCAATTATTTAACTAATCAAATCTAATTTAATCAACCAAACAAGGCCTAAGACAATAGTTGCACGAAAACAGTTCACGGAAATCGCATAAACTGCTTGACGAATCGAAGTAACAAAAAACGAACAAGTGTGTTGCATTTATTACATAAACTGCTTAATGAATCAAAAACAAATCTAACCTCGAAGCGAAAATCGAAGGGAGCATCCCAATCTCACTCATACCAAGAAGCTGAAAAGCGTCGCTGCTCATCTCAGCTTCAAACAACCCCATATTCGACAGAGCCGCCGCCGCCTGTATCCACCATTTCAGCCAAGAACCACCGATCAAAGCCCCGATCTGAGCGAAGTAGCCGTCGGTCCAGTCACCCGAGTCGGTCTCCACCGCCCCAGTTCCGGCGAGCAAAGGTATCAAATACGAACAAACCACCAAAACAACCGCCCCAAACATGGCCTTAGGGAAAGTCCTGCTCGGATTCTCGACCTCCCCGGCAAGCGTACTCGCGTTATCCCAATAGTTCAGATTCCAAAACAAGCTATTGAAGTAGCCCCGATAATCGACCTTCTTGTAATCGACCACCAGCCATCGTTTCGGCTTGATACGAGGAATCGAGAGGAACCCCATTACAGCAAACGGCAGGAGAGAAAAACCGGCGAGCAAGACGGCGGAGAATCCGACAATGTGCAAGCCTCTGTAATTCAAGTAGGTTAGAGAAACTGTAATACCTAAGAGAGCTGGAATTCGAGCAGCCATTTGATTGAAAATGGGGAAAGAGCTCTTTAAATAATCGAGGAATAATACAGGGTAAAGGGCGTTGTCCATAACCCCACTCAGCCATTTCCAAAACCCTTCTTGGAAACCCCAGAATTGGCCGAAAGCCGACGAGATCCAGAGGACGTAGCCGCCGTTCTCCGGGAAGCTGGTGGCGAGCTCCGCCGTGACTAGGGCTTCAGGTATGCTCCAAAAGAGCGGGAAAATTAGAAACCCTAGGAGGGGTAAAAGAGGGCCGCCGCCTGATTTGACGGAGTCTTCGACGCCGAAGGGACCGCCGGAAACCTCGTAGAAGATGAGTGCGATCAGGGGTAAAATTGTCAGCTTTGGGTTCACTTTTGTGTTCTTGATTTCGCTCACCATCCCCTCCTCGCCCATAGAGAGAGAGAGAGGGGGAGAGAGATGAGAGAGAGAGAGAGATTGAAACCCAGATCAGGAAAGCTGATTTTACTGTGATGTGGGTTGGGTTTTTATCAGTGTGGTGGAAAGATCAAAAACACCGGTGCCGGCTGGAATTAGTGGCTGCCGGAATGTTTTTCTTGAATCTGTTGATCAATCAAACTTTCATGGCTGAGTTTTGTGATTTTGACTAACTGTGAATGTTACTGCAGAACGAGATTGATATTTGATACACGATGGAGAGATTGGAAATGGGATTGATAATAGTAGACTTGTCTCATTGTAAACGTGCGCGCAAATGTCAGATGGACCATAACTAACTACTTTTTTTTATTTTTTATTTTTTATTATTGTTTATTAACAATAATTCAAAGAATAACTGAAAAAAAATCACTTCATATCTCGATGTTCAAATTATTAACTTAAAAATTCATTTCTATGGAGAGCAAAATTATCACGCACTTTTCTTGAAAATTGTTACAACTGAGCTATACTAGATATGATCGGCGATGATAGCTGATGACATCGGTGGAGATCGGAAACATATATAGCTCAGTTATAAGACAGAGAGAGGAAAATTGAGTACAAAAAACCGAGATTAGGGCTTTTCAATTTTCAGTTTATATGTCCGAAAAAATTCTCTTGCCTTGATTGCTAATAAACTTGGAAGGAGTGGATTTTTTCGAAAAACAAAAAATATGAATGTTCATAATGCTATGTTGTATGATTTATTGTATTTCGAGGGTGCAAATCGACAAAACACTGTATTGTATGTTATCTTCATTAATCATTAGCTTTAAGATTTCATTCGATGTGCATTATGCATGATTGATTGTTGTATTTCGAGGGTACAAAATGTTTTAATATTGTTTAAAGGGTGCAAAGTGAAAAAACAAGTATATTTTAGGGGTACAAAGTGGATTAAGCCTTTGAAATTGTAATACTTTTGAATAGGAAAGTCGAAAGTCAATTGAATTAAAAAAGAGTTTAAGTTTAAATTAAAATATAATTTGTCCCTAAAAAGAAATGGGTGATATAGAAGCCCAATGGGCTTTTTCCTCTTCTGCGCTTTCGTATCAAATTCTGGTTTCGGGCCGTTTAACGCCGGCAACACTCGCCGCCACGCCGGAAGGGCTAGCGAATTTTTTTGAAACCGCCGCTTTAGCCGTTAATTATTGAAGCGACGAAGGGAAGGCCGGCGGTGTTTGTCGTTGAAGATTGTTGGCGTAATTGTTTGCCATCTTCGAAGCCCAACTGACAACAATGTCTGAAAATCCGCTTCATCATCTCTTCCAAGCGTTCGGCAATTTTTCGGAGTGTGTGCAGACACATCTCTCACAGCTCACTCAACGCCCCGCCGGAAAAAAATCGCCACCTTCTCTAAGCACAAACCGGAACTCCCTTGTATCTCTCTCCTCAAATTCCGCCGCCGACACTCATATTTTCCAACCTGCCGAAACCCTTGAAAAGGTTGCCGCCCCTTTTTCGTACTTGCCGATTTTTTTTACTCATTCGTTTGCTAATTTTGCTCTGCAGTGAGTAGAGTGAACTTATGCGATGAACAACACAGCTGTTTGATAAAAGTCCTGAATGAACTTTTCCTTTGTAGTTTCGTTTAAATAGTACTACACAAGGTCAAAACTTTGACAGTGTATACTTGTGTTTCGTGGATGAAGTAGCACCTTTTTTCTTTCTTAGCTTCAACAATCGTAAGAGGTGAATCGTGTTTTGCTGTAATTTAGTAAGCGATAAGAATTGATTTTCGGCGGAAAAAAATAACCGTGTATCAGCAAAGTTCAAGTAACTGTTCCAACTCCAGTTTTGTATGAATCCAAGTCGGATAACTATTCTTCGCTGAGTTCTATGTGATTTGCAGCTTTTGATATAATGCCGTTTCTTTCATAACGCAAATATATACATTTAATTAACTGATCAGATACAAGTACGATAATTTCTATTGGTGTTCATGCTTTTCTTTCTCCTTCTACAGGGGAAGTCTTCGAGTCCAAGTGTCCAACTACAAAAGAGGATCTTGGAAGAGCTACGTGGACTTTTCTTCACACGCTAGCTGCTCAGGTTTGTTTTTTTCTTCCCAGAATTCCTTTTTATTCGTACGTTTTTACGAGAGATATTGTTGCTTAATTTGTGTGTTGGACCTGTTGGTTGTAAAAAGGTTTCCTATAATTTTTTCAGTATCCAGATAAGCCAAGTAGGCAACAGAAGATGGACGTTAAAGAACTGGTATGGTTGTTGTACATTGTCAATGACGTTTCTTCGTATTTTCTTATGCTATGTTTGCTATGAACACTAATCTCGATTCGACTAAAGTTACTAAAGTACGATTTCCCTCGATAATCATATATGTCAGAGTAATTTTGTTTTCTTAATCACTAGTTTCCGAAAATCATGTCAGTTTTACATTTCGTCGTGCAGATGGCAATATTATCTCGTATGTATCCTTGTAAAGAATGTGCAGATCACTTTAAAGAAGTTATAAGGTGCATACTCACTCTCCTTCGCAACCACCCCCAATTTTCTAACTTTCTATTTTTTTTAAATCTTTTTCGGAAAGTTAGGCAATTTATTTTGGCATATTTTCATAATCTTCGGAGATGCTTAGTGAAAAATAAAATAGAATTTATGAAAGCAATTCGAAGGCTCCGAAATTTCGTATTATTTCAATATTCCATTTGATAGACTTTTTCTGTATTTTAATTTCCGTACAGATCAAACCCGGTGGAGGCTGGATCTCATCACGAGTTTTCACAATGGGTATGCCGTGTGCATAATGTTGTTAATAGAAGGTAACACATTTATAATTTGCTCTATATAATTTTGGAGTAAAATAAACTCTGGTTTATTTATTTCCAAACTATAAATCAACAAATATTTTTACTCGTATTTCTGCAGCCTAGGCAAGCTTGTATTCCCATGTGAACGGGTCGAAGCAAGATGGGGCAAGTTAGAGTGCGAGCAGCGCGCGTGTGATCTACAAGGGACTTCAATGAATTTCAGTAATGAATTGAAATGAAATTTGAAATTTGTATCGTATTAACATTAATATGAACGAGTGCATCAACGGTACTTGTTCGAACATTTATAGAAATACCGATATATGGAAAGTGAAAAAATCATTTATTAGTATTTTTTTGGGGGAGTTTATTGATTATTAACTATTTTAACTTCTTTTTTGTTGCATAAGGTTTAGGGGTTATATAATTACAAATCCGGTCCAACCCGTTCCGACCCGTTAACACGACCCGTTTTCAACCTATTGAACGCTTAATCTCCGATTTTGATCTAGTAATATTTTATTACATATAGTAAAAGAAAATATATTTTTTTATTACAGAGAAATTGATATGGGTTCTTCAATTAGTATTTTAATGACTGCATTTTGAAGAAAATACATTTATCCATAAGGTGAGATAAACAGATTAAAAATTACAAACAACTATAGTTAGCATACATACAAAGTGAATTACAATCACCCCTTCATTTTTCATAATTGCATCCGCCCCATGCAAACTTTAGATTTCTTACATTAACACCCTTTTTGTAGGGGGTGGAAGCAAGAAATTTAAAAAAAAGCAGGGGTTGGATGTAATTATTCAAACATAAGGGTTGTTTTTGTAATTATACTTTACTTCAGGGAGGTGGCTGCAATTACCCTAATAATACAAACGATGTTTATTAAGCAGCAGAACAAGAAAAGACCAAAACACCCTTAAGCAGCATTCGTTATTTCAAAATCAACCTTAGGGTTTTGGGTCTCCTACATATAAATACACTCGGAAAAGAGCACTTTTGAAACCCTAGCAATTAGAGAGCATCAACGCAGAGTTCATCGGCGACGACTGATTTTGCAGAAAGATGGGGCACTCTAACATCTGGAACTCTCACCCTAAAACCTACGGCCCTGGATCCCGCACCTGGTACTTCAATTTATTCAATCCTTTTTTTTTGTCTTTTTTTCTTTTTAATTTTAATTTCGTATCTGTATATGAATTTAATTCAATTTATATTGTATGTTCCGCTTATGTTTTCTGATTTGAGTTCTTACAATCGGGTGATGTTGTTGATGATTGGGATTGCCTAGTTTTTGCAGTGAAAGTTTTAATGCTCTGATTCATCCGAGGTTTTCATATCGAAAAAAAGTGTGTTACTTATGATTTGTAAACCTAGTTTTGATTTAGATACAGTGAAAGTAATATGCAGTTCATCAATTCGACGAGGAAAAATGATTTATTTAGTAATTAAAGTTTGATTGAGGTGTTTGCAAAGGAACTGGATCTGGTGCTTAGTAGTTTCTTACAGTGAAAATGTTTTGATTTATGTTGACTATTGATGAACTGATAATACAATTGGATTTTCATTAGCATTTCATATGATGTTCCGAATCGTTTATGAAATTGTCGAAAATGATGACTGGTTTATGATTTGTTGCTCGAACATCTCACGATTCTCCTCCATTGATTTATTGAACTTTATCCGATTGCATTTAAATACCCATATTGCACGCACCTATTCGGTTTCGTTTTTTTTTCCATACTTGTTTACCAATTGTGTGTGTGTGTGTGTGTGTGTTGGGATTTGAATTTAATGATTTTATTTGGTTTCGACAGTCGGGTTTGCGGAAATCCACATGGATTGATTAGAAAGTACGGTCTGATGTGCTGCAGACAGTGCTTCCGCAGCAACTCCAAGGAAATTGGCTTCATTAAGGTATTTCTTTTCCGACCCCTTCAATTCTCTGTACTAAGTTTCGTCTATATTTTTACATGACAAATATATTGATTTGCAAATGCAGTATCGCTAAGCTGTGGTTGGCAAAGGCTATTACAGCTGAAGAGGATGTTCTTTTTTTTTTTTTTCCGATTTTTTCTCATGTTGGATTTCTAGAAGACGATGGTGAATCAATTTGTATGAGAGTGATTGTTCTAGTCAATGATTCAACTCTTGTTTGATTTCTGAACCAACTAGCTTATATATTTGATTTCTGTTTTTTGCTTGATATTGAAGCAATCTATTTCGACTTTGTTAAGTTATGTTGTTTTTATTGTCCTCGTTTTTGTTTTGATCACAGTCGGTTTGTTTGGTCGTTTCCAAGATTTCTTGACATGGGTAGAAATGATTATAAGATGTGATGAATTTCTAAAGTCACTCGATCTTGAAATGACCAAACGAATTTGAAACATAATTTGTGTAAGGAATTATAACTGAAAAATCTCTGAATCGATGTGTCCGAGTTTGATTGGTTGAAATGTGACCAAACATTTTACAGGTTAAAATGTGACCAAACATTTTACAATTATAGCGAATTTATCACTTATTTTGATAACAGTCGGGTTGATTGGTCGTTCTTAGGGGTGGAAATTGGAACGGAAATTCCGATTTCCGCCGAATCCAATCCGAAATATTCTGATTTTGGAACGACTTTTTCAATTTCAAAATTCTGATTTCTGAAAATTTCGAAAAAAATTGGATCGGAATCGGAAATACATAACAGAATTTCGGAATTTCCGATTTCCGATCCGAAATTATTCCGATTTTTCTAATTATAATATTAACATTTATTACTATATATAATATATAATATATGTATATATCTATCCGCCTGTACTAATTACTAGTATATTACTAATATTTTTTTTCCAATTATTATTTTATATATATATATATATATATATATATATATATATATATATTTTGGACATATTATTAATTTTTAATTTTCTAAAACATACAAAAGTCAAAAACTCAAAATTTATTAAAATTACTTCGAAACCCTAATTTCCCGACTCTCTCTCTCTCAGCAATCCGACCTTTCTTTCTACCCCACCACCACCAGCGCCTTCTCCGACGACCACCACCACCACTGCCTCCCGGTTCTCCGACGACCACCACCACTAGCGCATCTCGGCTCTCCGACGACCACCACCAGCAGCAGCGCCTCCCAATTCTCCGACGACCACCACCACTTGCGCCTCCCGATTCTCCAACCACCACCATCGCAACCAGGCCTCCCGGCTCTCCGAAGACCACCACCACCAGCGCCTCCCGGCTCTCCGAAGACCACCAGCAAAGCCGCTCTCTCTATCGGGTACTTTTAGAATAAATCTAATTTAATTGATTCAAATTTAATCTAATTTTATCTGTGGTGTGTTTTTGTTTTTGTGTGAGTATGTTCTGTTTTGCTACTGTGTCGGTGCTATTTTTTTTTTTTTTTTTTTTTTTTTGGAAAATTCCGAAAATGAAGATTTCCGAAAAATTCCGATTTTCCGAAAATTCCGAAAAAATCGGAATCGGAATCACTTTTTGAATTCCGAAAAAATCGGAATCGGAATCGGAAGTCGTTTTGGACTTCCGAAAAAAATCGGAAATTTTCCGAAACACCCAAATCCGATCCGATCCGTCCGATTTCCACCCCTAGGCTCGTTCTCAAGTCTTCTTGACAAGGGAAGAAATGATTATAAGATGTGATGAATTTCTAATGTCAATCGATCTTGAAATTGAAACATAATTTGTGTAAAATTATCACTTAAAAATCTCTAATCGAAGTGTTCGAGTTCGATCGGTTAAAATGTGACCATTGAAATTGAAACATAATTTGTGTAAGAGATTATCACTTAAAAATCTCTAATCGGAGTCCTCGAGTTCGATCAGTTAAAATGTGACCAAACATTTACGATTAGAGGAGTGAAGGCACTATGATTAGAGAATACTGCGAGGATCTACAATTTTTATCATCACTGCATCGTCTACGATTTTTATCGGATTAAAATAAAATTAAAAACTTCCCAATATTGAATTTATAGATTTTCTTGAAATTGAAAGAGAAGTTGTATCCTAGAAAATATTTTTGCTCTATAAATTTTGTATGTGCATGTTTTAACAATCCCACTCCATAAATCTATCTAAATTTAGTGCATTGAGTCAAAATCAAATCTCATTGCTTGAGCTACAATCCAACCCCAATTTCAGTATTTTAACATTTATTAGTATTTTTACAGAAAAATAGTAACACTAAAAAAAGAAAAGGTTTAAATTGCTGCTTGAAGCCGCCGCGAACAGAATCTCTCAATAAATCTTCCAGTTTTGCCCGTTAGTGGGAGTGTCGGAGTTTTCCCACAGTCGCAACGTCCGCCGGAGATAGCCGCAATTTGGAGTTAGGGTTTATTTAAATTACAGAAATCTCTAATGCGCTTCTCTTCAGAATTGGAGCATTCGTCTTCAGCTATATTATCCCTCTTGAGAGGTTGCAAAACTATCAGGGATTTCAACCAAGTCCACACCCACATCATTCGCGGAGGCTGTGATCAAGACCATTTCTTGATTACCCACTTCATTTCCATCTGCGCCGCCGTTCTTCCCTCCAATCTCTCATACCCCGCCGCCGTTTTCGACTGCGTTACCCGCCCGAATATTTATCTATGGAACGTTTTGATGAAATCGTACTGCCAGAACTCTTCTCTGAACGAAAGCTTCTCGTTTTTCAAAAGGATGAAGAGAGGGTTGGATGTGGTTCCTGATAAGTACACCTTCCCTTCTGTGATTAAGGCTTGTTCTAACGTTTCGGCTCTGGAGGAGGGCAGGGTTCTTCACGGGGTGACGGTGAGGTGTGGCACTGATGGGGATGTGTTCGTGGGGTCTAGTTTGATCGATTTTTATGGCAAGTGTGGGCAGATTGGCTGCGCGCGTAAGGTGTTCGATGGAATGCCTGTGAGGAATGAGGTTTCCTGGACAGCCATGATGGTTGGGTACCTGAGTTTTGGGGATATGGCTGCTGCGAAATCCTTGTTCGATGAAATGCCTAAGAGGAATACGGCGACGTGGAATGCGATGATCAAGGGGTTGGTGAGGTTGGGCAATTTGAATTGCGCAAGAAACCTGTTCGACGAAATGCCTGTTAGAAACGAGGTTTCGTTTACCACCCTGATCGACGGGTATGCCAAGGGAGGTGACATGGCAGCTGCGAGATCCTTGTTCGATCAGTTGACTCATAAGGATTTGTTTTCATGGTCTGCTTTAATGTCGGGGTATGTACAAAACGGGAAGGCATGTGAGGCAGTCAAAGCTTTTTCCGAAATGCAGGATTCAAATTTGAAGCCAGATGAATTCATAATGGTGAATTTGATGTCTGCCTGTTCTCAATTAGGGTGTTCCGAGCTAGCAAAATGGATCGATTCCTACATGAAAAACGAATCCTTTGACCTAAGGCGCGCCCACGTGGCTGCAGCTCTCGTTGACATGAACGCAAAGTGTGGCAACATGGAGCGAGCAGCTTCACTGTTCGAAGAAATGCCTAAACAAGATTTGATTTCGTATTGCTCCACAATCCAGGGCTTATGCATCCACGGGTTCGGTTCCCAAGCCGTTCACCTCTTCGATAGGATGATAAATGAAGGGATAGGGCCTGATGACGTGGCATTCACCGTTATCTTGTCAGCATGCACCCACGCTGGACTCGTTGATGATGGGTGCCGTTTCTTCGAATTGATGGTTAATAGCTACTCGATCAATCCAACTCCAGATCATTATGCGTGTATGGTCAACCTTCTTGGAAAATCGGGAAAGCTTGAATCTGCTTACGAGCTTATACGGTCAATGCCCGTGGAATCACATGCCGGTGCGTGGGGTGCTCTACTCGAGGCTTGTAGGGTCAACTGTGATGTTGACTTGGGTGAGGTTGTGGCGAGCAGACTCTTTGAACTCGAGCCTCATCATGCTGGTAATTATGTACTGTTGTCGAATATTTACGCGGAAGCTGATAGATGGAGTAACGTGTTTAACGTGAGGGATAAAATGAGTAAGAGTGGAGTTAGAAAAGTACCCGGCTGCACTTATGTAGAGTCAACTATGGCCGCCTGATTCTTGAATTTTGCCCCCACAGTCGAACATGTGCTTCATATGCAAAGAAGGTGTGCAATGCAGTTCTAAAATTGATGCTTCTTCGGCCCCTTTTGAAGCCGCTACGCTACATTTTGAGCAGAGTGCATCTCAGTATATAACCAATGCCATTTTCCCCTCTCAGTGGTGGAGCCAAGGGCAATGGGGGCCTCCACCCCCTCCACCCCCTAGTGAACTTTTTGTGTATATTGTAGCCAGATGAAGGCAAATCTTGGTTATGCAGCGTTCTACGGTGGAGTGGAATTATCGGAACTAATGTGAATAATACCTAATTGCGTTTTTTTTTGAAAAGTTTGCTATATTTTGTTGACCTCGGGGATTGTGATCGTAGTGTTTTATTAACGGTGAAGTGTTCTAGCATTTAAGTTTGTTAAATGTAGGTAGGGTAATCGATTTACGAACTGTTGTTTATACTTGTTATTTGTAGCTTCGGGAAGGAGTGTTCTTCACTAAGTTGTACAGGAATATATTTGATTTTGTTGAATTGCAGATTGGTACATCAAATTAATGGATCTGATAATTTCTTGTGTTGCCTATTTTTTTTTTTTTTTTAATTATTATTATTATTACAGGGCAAGTCAATCCAACAAGAAAACAAGATCTTCAACGAGCTACGGCCGACTTCTCTTCACACGAGCTGCTCAGGTTTTCTTCCGAGACTTTCACCTTTTAAACGTCTGTTCGTCGTCTATTTAATCGAAATTGCTGTCACTAATCAATCTCCAATTGATTGCTGCATTAAAAAAATGCTGGTGAAAATACTTTGAATTTAATTGTTCTAGTCAATGATTAAACACTCTTATTTGATTAGTGACCAAACATTACTTAAATGATAAAAAAAAGGAACAATCGTGGAAAAGTGGTTAAGTTACTATGATTATAGTCTAGAGAGCAGTTAAAGTAGGGTTTCGGGTTTTACTTATATTAACAAACATGACTTTAATTGATGGATGTGTTACATTTCAACTGATGAACACTTTTAGTGTAGTGTGCAAGTCACATGCCTTCATTATTTTCCACCACCAACATCATTTATTCAATCATTTCATTAAATTAAATTTAGTTCATATTAATTATTATGACCTCAACAAGATTCTGCAGATATAGTTTAATATATCTGTTTGTTTGTTGATATATAGATTCCATATTACAATGTGGGCTTTATTAGATAATAGATACTATGTAGATAAATAATTGAGAAAAAAATTGTAAAAGATATACATTTGAACCGCCGCTTTAGCCGTTAATCTTTGAAGCGACGAAGGGAAGGCCGGCGGTGTTTGTCGTTGAAGATTGTTGGCGTAATTGTGTCCCATCTCCGAAGCCCAACCGCCAGCAACAAATGTCGGAAAATCCGCTTCATCATCTCTTCCAAGCGTTCGGCAAAGTGTCGGAGTGTGTGCAGACACATCTCTCACAGCTCACTCAACGCCCCGCCGGGAAAAAATCCCTGCCCTCTCTAAGCACAAACCGGAACCCCCTTGTATCTCTCTCCTCAAATTCCGGCGCTGACACTCATATTCTCCAACCGGCCGAAATCCTTCAAAAGGTTGCCGCCCCTTTTTTCGTACTTGCACGATTCTTTTTACTCATTAGTTTGCTAATTTTGCTCTGCAGTAAGTAGAGTGAACTTATGTGATGAACAACACAACTGTTTGATAAAAGTCCTGAATGAACTTTTCCTTTATTGCCGTTTCGTTTAACTAGTAAGTAATATACAAGGTCAAAACTTTGACAGTGTATACCTGTGTTTTGTGGATGAAGTAGCAACTTTTTTCTTTCTTAACTTCAATAATCGTAATAGGTGAATCGTGTATTGCTGTAATTTAGTAAGCGATAAGAATTGATTTTCGGCTGAAAAAAAAAACCATGTATCAGCATAGTTCAAGTAACTGTTCAACTCCAGTTTGGTACGAATCCAAGTCGGATAAATATTCTTCGCTGAGTTCCACCACAATATATGTGATCTGCAGCTTTTGATATAATGTCGTTTCTTTCATAACGCAAATATACACATTTAATTAACTGATCAGATACAAGTACGATAATTTCTATTGGTGTTTACGTTTTTTTTTTCCTTTTTATACAGGGGAAGTCTTCAAGTCCAACTACAAAAGAAGATCTTGGAAGAGCTACGTGGACTTTTCTTCACACGCTAGCTGCTCAGGTTTGCTTTTTGCTTCCCAGAATTCCTTTTTTATTCGTACGTTTTTACGAGAGATATTGTTGCTTAATCTGTGTGCTGGTTGTAAAAAGGTTTCCTATATTTTTTTTCAGTATCCAGATAAGCCAACTAAGCAACAGAAGAGGGATGTTAAAGAACTGGTATGATTGTTGTACATTGTCAATGACGTTCCTTCGTATTTTCTTATGCCATGTTGTTATGAACACTAATCTCGATTCGACTAAAGTTACCAAAGTACGATTTCCCTCGATAATCATATATGTCAGAGTTATTTTGTTTTCTTAATCATTAGTTTCCGAAAATCATGTCACTTTTACATTTCTCGTGCAGATGGCTATATTGTCTCGTATGTATCCTTGTAAAGAATGTGCAGATCACTTTAAAGAAGTTATAAGGTGCATACTCACTCTCCTTCGCAAACCACCCCCAATTTTCTGACTTTCTATTTTTTTTAAATCTTTTTCGGAAAGTTAGGCAATTTATTTTGGCATATTTTCATAATCTTCGGAGATGCTTAGTGAAAACTAAAATAGGATTTACAAAAGCAATTAGAAGGCTCCGAAATTTCGTATTATTTCAATATTCCAATTGATAGACTTTTTCTGTATTTTAATTTCCGTACAGATCAAACCCGGTGGAGGCTGGATCTCATCACGAGTTTTCACAATGGGTATGCCATGTGCATAATGTTGTTAATAGAAGGTAACTTATTTATAATTTGCTCTATATTTTTTTGAGTAAAATAAACTCTGGTTTATTTATTTTTTCTAAACTATAAATCAATGAATATTTTTACTCGTATTTCTACAGCCTAGGCAAGCTTGTATTCCCCTGTGAACGAGTCGACGCAAGGTGGGGCAAGTTAGAGTGCGAGCAGCGCGCGTGTGATCTACAAGGGACTTCAATGAATTTCAGTAATGAATTGAAATGAATTTGTATCGTATTAACATTAATACGACGAGTGCATCAACGGTACTTATTCGAAGATGTTATGAGCTGTATAATGACATTTCATATGATGTTTTGAATAGTTTATAAAATTGTCGAAAACTGTTACTGGTTTACGGTTTGTTGCTCAAACATCTCACGATTCTCCTCCCCCGATTTATTGAACTTTATCCGATTGCATTTAATACCCCTATTGCACCTGCTTGGTTTTTTTTTTTTTCTGTACTTGTTTATCGATTGTGTGTGTGTGTTGGGATACGAATTAAATGATTTTATTTGGTTTCGACAGTCGGGTTTGCGGAAATCCACATGGATTGATTAGAAAGTACGGTCTGATGTGCTGCAGACAGTGCTTCCGCAGCAACTCCAAGGAAATTGGTTTCATTAAGGTATTTCTTTTCCGACCCCTTCAATTCTCTGTGCTAAGTTTCGTCTATTTTTTACATGACAAATTTATTGATTTGCAAATGCAGTATCGCTAAGCTGTGGTTGGCAAGGCTATTACAGCTATGAAGAGGATGTTTTTTTTTCTTTTCCCGATTTTTTCTTATGTTGGATTTCTAGAAGATGATTGGTGAATCTATTTGTATGATAGTGATTATTCTAGTCAATGATTCAACTCTCGTTTGATTTCTGAACCAACTAGCTTATATATTTGATTTCTGTTTTTTGCTTGATATTGAAAGCAACCTATTTCGACTTTGTTAAGTTATGTTTGTTTTATTTTCTCGTTTTTGTTTTGACCACAGCTGTGGTTGTTTGGTCGTTTTCAAGATTTCTTGACATTGGAAGAAATGATTATAAGATGTGATGAATTTCTAATGTCAATCGATCTTGAAATGACCAAATGAATTTGAAACATAATTTGTGTAAGAAAGTATCACTTCTAAATCTCCAAATTGAAGTGTTCGAGTTTGATCGGTTAAAATGTGACCAAACATTTTTACGGTTAGAGAATTGAAGGCACTAAAATTTGAGAATACTGCGAATTGATCACTTGTTTTGATCGCAATCGGGTTGTTTCGTCGTTCTCAAGTTTTCTTGACAAGGGAAGAAATGATTATAAGATGTGATAAAATTTCTAATGTCAATCGATCTTGAAATTGAAACATAATTTGTGTAAGAAATTATCACTTAAAAATCTCTAATCGAAGCGTTAAAATGCATCGTCCACGATTTTTATCGGATTAAAATAAAATAAAAATTTATGCTCTATAAATTTGTTAGTGCATTTTTTAACAATCCCCTCATATATGTATCTAAATTTAGTGCATGATTTTGGCAAAGTAGCATTGAGTCAAAATGAAATCCATTGCTTGAGCTACAATCCAACCCAATTTCAATATTTTAACATTTATTAGTATTCTTGCAGAAAAATAGCAAACAATAAAAAAGAAAAGGTTTAGTATAAAATGCTCAGAAAAATTGCTGCTTGAAGCCGCCGCGAAGAAAATCTCTCAATAAATCTTCCAGTTTCGTCCGTTACTGTCGGAGTTTTTCCCACCGCCGCAACGTCCGCCGGAGATAGCCGCAATTTGGAGTTAGGGTTTGTACTTGTTTATTTAAATTACAGAAATCTCTAATGCGGTTCTCTTCAGAATTGGAGCATTCGTCTTCAGCTATATTATCCCTCTTGAGAGGTTGCAAAACTATCAGGGATTTCAACCAAGTCCACACCCACATCATTCGCGGAGGCTGTGATCAAGACCATTTCTTGATTACCCACTTCATTTCCATCTGCGCCGCCGTTCTTCCCTCCAATCTCTCATACCCCGCCGCCGTTTTCGACTGCGTTACCCGCCCGAATATTTATCTATGGAACGTTTTGATGAAATCGTACTGCCAGAACTCTTCTCTGAACGAAAGCTTCTCGTTTTTCAAAAGGATGAAGAGAGGGTTGGATGTGGTTCCTGATAAGTACACCTTCCCTTCTGTGATTAAGGCTTGTTCTAACGTTTCGGCTCTGGAGGAGGGCAGGGTTCTTCACGGGGTGACGGTGAGGTGTGGCACTGATGGGGATGTGTTCGTGGGGTCTAGTTTGATCGATTTTTATGGCAAGTGTGGGCAGATTGGCTGCGCGCGTAAGGTGTTCGATGGAATGCCTGTGAGGAATGAGGTTTCCTGGACAGCCATGATGGTTGGGTACCTGAGTTTTGGGGATATGGCTGCTGCGAAATCCTTGTTCGATGAAATGCCTAAGAGGAATACGGCGACGTGGAATGCGATGATCAAGGGGTTGGTGAAGTCGGGAGATTTGAATAGCGCAAGAAACCTGTTCGACGAAATGCCTGTTAGAAACGAGGTTTCGTTTACCACCCTGATCGACGGGTATGCCAAGGGTGGTGACATGGCAGCTGCGAGATCCTTGTTCGATCAGTTGACTCATAAGGATTTGTGTTCATGGTCTGCTTTAATGTCGGGGTATGTACAAAACAGGAAGGCATGTGAGGCAGTCAAATCTTTTTCCGAAATGCAGGATTCGAATTTGAAGCCAGATGAATTCATAATGGTGAATTTGATGTCTGCCTGTTCTCAATTAGGGTGTTCCGAGCTAGCAAAATGGATCGAGTCCTACATGAAAAACGGATCTTTCGATCTAAGGCGTGCCCACGTGGCTGCAGCTCTCGTTGACATGAACGCAAAGTGTGGTAACATGGATCGTGCATCTTCACTGTTCGAAGAAATGCCTGAACGAGATTTGATTTCGTATTGATCCACAATCCAGGGCTTATGCATTCACGGGTTCGGTTCCCAAGCGGTTCACCTCTTCGATAGGATGATAAATGAAGGGATACGGCCTGATGACGTGGCATTCACCGTTTATCTTGTCAGCATGCACTCACGCTGGACTCGTTGACGATGGGTGCCGTTTTTTCGAATTGATGGTTAATGGCTACTTGATTAATCCAACTCCAGATCATTATGCGTGTATGGTCAACCTTCTTGGAAAATCGGGAAAGGTTGAAGCTGCTTACGAGCTTATACGGTCAATGCCTGTGGAATCACATGCCGGTGCGTGGGGTGCTCTTTTCGAGGCTTGTAGGGTCAACTGTGATGTTGACTTGGGTGAGGTTGTGGCGAGTAGACTCTTCGAGCTCGAGCCTCATAATGCGGGTAATTATGTACTGTTGTCGAATATTTACGCGGAAGCTGATAGATGGAGTAACGTGTTTAATGTGAGGGATAAAATGAGTAAGAGTGGAGTTAGAAAAGTACCCGGGTGCACTTATGATTCTTGAATTTCGCCCCACAGTTGAACAATGTGCTTCATATGCAAAGAAGGTGTTCGGTGTAGTTCTAAGATCGATGCTTCTTCCTTAGTGGGGCCCGGTTTTGAAGCCGCTAAGCTACATTTTGAGCAGAGTACATCAGTTTATAACTAATGTCATTTTCCCCTGTCAGTGGTGGAGCCAAGTGTAATGGGGGCCTCCGCCCCCCAGTGAAGAAGGCAAAATCCTGGTTATGCAGCATTCGACGGTGAGTGAAATTATCTGAACTAATGTGAATAATACCTAAGCTTTTTTTTTTTTGAAAAGTTTGCCATATCTTGTTGACCTCGGGGATTGTGATCGTAGTGTTTTATTAACGGTGAAGTGTTGTAGCATTTAAGTTATTTAAATGTAGGTAGTGGCAAGTCAATCCAACAAGAAAACAAGATCTTCAACGAGCTACGGCCGACTTCTCTTCACACGAGCTGCTCAGGTTTTCTTCCGAGACTTTCTCCTTTTAAACGTCTGTTCGTCGTCTATTTAATCGAAATTGCTGTCACTAATCAATCTCCAATTGATTGCTGCAGTAAAAAATGCTGGTGAAAATACTTTAAATTTAATTGTTCTAGTCAATGATTAAACACTCTTATTTGATTAGTGACCAAACATTACTTAAAAGAGAAAAAAAAGGAACAATTGTGGAAAAGTGGTTAAGTTACTATGATTATAGTCTAGAGAGCAGTTAAAGTAGGGTAATTAGTGGCTAACTAATTACTTACTTATATTAACAAACATGACTTTAATTGATGGATGTGTTACATTTCAACTGATGAACACTTTAAGTAGTGTAGTGTGCAAGTCACATGCCTTCATAATTTTCCACCACCAACATCATTAATTTCATTTCATTAAATCTAATAATTCATATTAATTATTATTACCTTAACAAGATTCTGCATTTAGTTTAATATATCTGTTCGTTTGTTGATACATAGATTCATACTACAATGTGGGCTTTATGATTAGATATTATGAACATAAATAATTGAGAAAAAATAGATATATAATATATATACACTAACATATTTACAGTAGACACGTGTATATTGCCATGTTTTTTAATGTATATATTGTACGTATCGAAATATATTGTAGATGTGTCTGTATTATAGGACTGTGAGTTACATAATGTAAGGATAAATTACGGATATACCCTTGAGATAAAACTAAATAAATTACGAATCTCTGTTGTATTGATAATTACAAATATGCCCTAAAAGTAACAACCTCTTACAAAAACTTAATAGAATTAATGAAGGGTAATAATATACGCATACAAAATTAAACATTCAGGCATTTTTTTACCATGACTTTTTACCTTTTTACCATAACTATTTACCTTTTATACTATTCCTATCCAATCCTATAAAATATAAAACTCAACATTCAAAGTGAAAAAAATCAGATATTCAACAATTTTTGCGATGGATCCAAACAACTTGGACCCGAATGTAAGTTTTTCGTTTTTTTCCCACAACCTTATCTGCTCGTGTGGATTTACGCGAGCACTTGGCAAGTGCTCGTGTAAATTCACACGAGCAGATGAATTTTTTTTTATTCATGTGCTCGTGTGAATTTACGCGAGAACTTGCCATGTGCTCGCGTAAATTCACACGAGCACATGAACAAATTTTTTTTTTAATATTCGCTCGTGCGATTTTAAACGAGCAGGTGGCACCTGCTCGTTTAAAATCACATGAGCTATTTAATTTTTTTTAAAAAAATTCTAAAAAAATTATTTTTTTTAGAACAAAAATAAAAAAAAAATAAAAAAAAAAATGACGTGGAAAAGTACTCGTGTGTTAACACACGAACATAGACATTCTACTCGTGTGTTTTCACACGAGCAGAACACCTCTGTTCGTGTGAAAACGCACGAGCAACACACTATTTTTTTTTTTTTTTTATCTTTTTTTGATTGTTTTTTTTTTATTCTTTTATTCGTTAATAATACAAATTAAAATATAATTTCGTTCGATACAACATAATTAAAATCCGTACAAATAACTAAATAAGTAAGTCCGATAACAACGTAATTAAAATACGGGCAAATAAGAAAAATCCGCAAATCCAAAATGAAACATCCGTACAAAAAACTAAATCCGAAAACCAATAGTCAGGTGCAAATAAAAATCATACACTAGCAAAAAATCCGAAACTAATACACAAGTCCATGCAAATAGTTAACATGTCCTACTGTCCACTCCGAGACCCCCGACCCCGAGTCCTCGGACCTCCCCCGCGACCCCTCCTAGGTAAGAGACGCAACTTGACTCATAAGACTTTTCCCCCGGCCTCCTGCCATCTACATTTTAAATAAGCACTTTATTAATATTTTATATAATAAAAAAAAGCATTTAAATAATGAAATGAAAAAAAAAAAAAATTGTTGTGCTCGCGCAAAAACATGCGAGCATTTCAACAGTGCTCGTGTGAAATCAGGCGAGCACTGTTGAAATGCTCGCATGTTTTTGCACGAGCATCTTATAATTCAACTTAATTAATTTATAAAAAAAAAAAAATTTAAAAATGCTCGCGTGGATTTACACGAGCGCAGTGGACGCGCTCGTGTAAATTCACGCGAGCAAGCCAAAAGCCCGATTTTTTTCAAGAAATAAATTTATAAAAAAATATATATATATAAACGCTCGCGTGAATTTTCACGAGCGCAGTGGATGCGCTCGTGTAAATTCACGCGAGCGTCGCCAAAGTTCGATTTTTTTCGTTTTTTTTTCGGATTCGTAATCTACATAACAAGAGGATCGTAAAAACGTAAAAATTAACTCTCCGTTGACGATTTGCACGGGCTTTGCGAAAGAAAATCGAAAGGGTAGAGAGAGTTTTTGAGTTTTTTACTTTTTGTTTTTTGAAGAATGGTAAAAAATGTGCCTGACTGTTTAATATGTGCCTGCACAAATCATTTCAGATTAATGAATTGTCTAGATTACCCTTCTTGCTAAACAAACAAATTATGGGTAAATTGTGAGTAAACCCTTGAAGTAAGATAAAATTTCAGATTTACCCCAAGAGTAGATTTGGAAATTCAGAAGGAATATTTCATGGAGTTTTTAAGATTCTGAGTAATAATCAGAACTCTGTTAGGGTGTAATTGTAAAACAGAGAAGTAACTCGAGGGTATTTGTAATTAATAATACTACAGAGGCTTGTAAGTTATTTAGTGTTACTTGAAGGGGGTGTTTGTAATTTACCCTAAATTTAATATTGAGACTCACTAAAGTTTAATAAACAAAAAATGCAATTACTTTTCCCTACATTATTGCTCATTGATTCACTTTCCTTAGAATTAATCTATAATAAAGCTTAGCTTAAGCCCTTAGCAAACTTAAGTTGTACAACATTGAAATGAATTAAAATTAAGATTAATAAATCAAAAGAATGCATGGTACATATGTATCACGTTTGATTAGTTATTATTATATATATATTATAATATAATGTTCGAAAAAATAAGGTTGTTGATGAATCATTACTTGTTGGAAAATCAATGAAATATGTAAATTGTAAAAAAACAAAATAAAAAAAAAATGTAAATGAAGTAATAAAACAAAGAATATTCATTAATGCGTGAAAATCAAGAAAGATAAAAAGGAAGAATGGATAAAGACTGAAGGTGACGGTGCATCCTATACCAAAAATTGTACACAAACAAGAAACTTCTCTTTATGTTGTAGTTTTCAACTTTGTAATAATCCAATGCCCTTAATTTATTGCCTAAATATATTTTTGTCTAATTTATATTATCGCCCCCAATGTATACATACACATACACACACCATGAAATTATAGGTTATAGCTCCATAATTATACACACACTCCATGAGACTATAGCTTGCTCATTAGCTCCACAAACTTCTTGAGGTAAAACTTCTATTTTCTCTAGTCTCGATGTAAATTGCACTGAACAAGTCGTGAATGATGAAATTGATCTAGAAAATGCTGATAAGACAAAAAAAAAAAAAAAAATATCGTAAGATGTGGTACCCTACTTACTCCATTAATTAGGTCATTGCAAATTACTTTTAAAATAAATTTAGCCAAACGAACTTAATTGGTGATAAATTTCACTGAATTTGAAATTAATCTTTTTTATCAGCGTCAAATGTCAAATTTTCATTATGAATACTATAATAATTATCTTTAATTACCATCCTTCGCGGTAATTCTATTGCTAAATACTCATTTTAGAAATACAAGGTTAAAAAAATTTCAATATATTAAAAAAAAAATTATTTATAAAAAAAGTGTGAAGAAATTAAATATTGGAGTTAAAAAGAAGCCGTCAATGTCTAAAAAGACTTTGTGAAGACCAAAAAAGACGGTCGTGTCCCACTAAAATACACACAACCTTAAATTAAATTAAATTAATATAACTATTTATCCCAACACCAAAATATTAATCATAAAAAAATCAAGTAGAAGTACTTTAAAACATTAATAAACAAATGCTTATTAATTAATTAATTAATATTACAAAGTTGTTATGGTATGGTTAGCGTAACGTCCCTCTAAAGTTTCTAAACCCCGAACCCCACCCCTTGTGTGAATTTACCAAAAACCCCTCCGTTTCCCCCAAATTCTCACCCCACCACCACAAACCATCACTCTTTCTCTCTCTACACACACACACGCTTAGAACTGAGTCTCTCTCTCTCTAAATTCTCGCCGGAAAATCACAACTCTTCCCTTGAAAATTTCTATATCTAGTACAGCTGCGGTGGTGTACAGCAGAGCCCAGGAGCGGAAGAAACGAAAATCTCGGCAAAAAATGTCGAATCTTTCGAACACCCATTTCGATTTTTTGAGCTGCAGCGGAGTTTCCTGATCTTTTGTCGCGGGTTTCAGATGCTGCCGCCGAGAGGGCTTCTGGGTAAGTCTGTTTCTTCCTCGGAATTCAAAATGTGAGCGGCGAATTTCTCCCCCCCCGCATGTGTTAGTGTGTTTAGTGTGTGTGTGCGTGTTTTCTCCTTCTTCAATTGTGATGATGGTGGCCGCTGTTTCTCTCCCCGGAGCAGCAGCTTCAACAACAACAACAGCCGACCCACAAACCCCCAAAATCACCACCGCCGAAAACGACCATGTCGGAAGACCGCCATTGTTGCCTTCCGAAAAGGACAACAACAACAACAAAATTTCAGACACGAAGAAAAAACCCAAATCGAGAATCGTGTCTTCCAGATACATGTCACCTTCAACCTCCACCTCCACCTCAAATTCATCCACGATTTCCTCCTCCTCCTCATCCTTTTCTTCTAGAAGGTTCCCCTCCCCTTTAGTTTCTAGAAACTCAACCCCTCTCTCCAATGCACCTTCTCCAGCCCCACCCAAGAGGTCCATCTCCGCCGACCGAAGGCGGCCCTCCGCCGCTAGGCCATTGACACCCGATCTGGAAGTTTCCGCCGCCACGAAACTACTCGTGACCTCCACCAGGAGCCTATCGGTTTCCTTTCAAGGAGAAGCGTTTTCGTTGCCTATTAGCAAGACCAAAGTTGCCCCTTCTTCCCCTAATTTAACTAGTACTAGGAAAGCAACCCCGGAGAGGCGGAGAACCAGTACCACTCCACTGCGAGGCGGCGGAGATCAGGCGGCAGAACATTCCAAGCTCTCCGATCAGCACCGATGGCCAGCAAGAAACCGTTCGACAAATCCCTTATCAATGAGCATGGATTTCAGCACCGTTAATGGGGAGAGGAGTAAGCTAATTAGTTCCATGAGTGGGGTTAGAGCGTTACAACAATCGATAATGATCGACGAGAGACGGCCTTCACTCGATGGCAGATCGAGTCTTGATTTGGGCTGCGGCAACTCCCAACGAGCCAGCGATGGCAGTTCGGTAAATAACGAGGCGTCCGATTCGGACAGTGTCTCGTCCGGCAGCACATCGGGGGTTCAAGAATGCAGCGGGGTTTCGAACGGATCCCGCAGAGGAATCGTGGGGTCGGCTCGGTTTTGGCAAGAAACAAATAGTCGGATGAGGAGGCTTCAAGATCCGGGCTCGCCTTTGTCTACCAGCCCTGGTTCGAAACTAATGTTGCCTTCGAAATCGAAACGGTATACGAGTAATAGTAATGGTTTGTCGTCTTCTCCTATTAGACCTTTGTCGCCTAGCAAGGCTATGACGGCTATGGGGTCTTGTTCGTCTTCTCCTTTGAGGGGGCATAGTCCTTCTCGGATCAGAAACGCGGCGGTTAGTACGATTAATAATAATTTTAACGACACTCCGTCGGTGCTTAGTTATGCGGTGGATGTTCGGAGAGGGAAAGTTGGGGAGAACAAGATTATCGACGCCCACTTGTTGAGGCTTTTGTACAATCGGAACCTGCAGTGGCGGTTTGTGAATGCTAGAACTGAAGCTGTCTTGCTCGTGCAGAAACGTAGCGCAGAGGTGATTTTTTTCTTTTTTTTTTGTTTACGTTGATTTTTGTTTACGTTGTTCTCAATGACGTTGATGCAAAATTTAAATTTTCAATTGAATTTCGGAAATGATTATCGAAATGAAAATTAGGAAGAAGATCACAATTAGAGGCGCAAATTTTCATGGTCAAACTTTATTTCGTTTCATTTGTGATCCTCTGCTATAAGAGAGTAATATATTAGGTTTAGCCATGATTAACTAAATAATTGGACTTTGTTTGATGTTTGGTAAACCCGATAACATTTCCGGGTCGACCCGGAAATATTATTTCATCACGGCTTATCTTGCCTTTTAGGAAGATTATGTATTAGACCTTCCATCGTCTAATAATACAATTGGGTTTTCATTAAAATTATTTAATCTAATCTTGGGAACCAAACGAGGCCCTAGCGTATTATACCTGTGTTTTAGGAATCTTGATAACTACGTCGTATTGTGTATGAATGTAAGAGATGCTTCGTGGAGAAGATGTGCAAGATGGAAGTATGTGTAATCGGTTAAAAGATAACGTTGACAAAAACATTAAGCAGTTTTTAGCCTTTAGGATATATATACATACTTGTGTCGTCTTTTTCCCGTTTTTCGTTGATTTCGTTATTACTACTTTTTGGAATAGTGATACGACCTAGATGTGCTTATGTGCTCGACTGCTAATCTTGATTTATGGTATTTTATTGGAAAAACTATGGTTTTTTTTGGTTTCGGTTTGATTCGTTTTCCATTCAAATATTATACTTTTTTTTTTTTGAGAAAACATTCAAATATTATACTGTGTGTGAAATCTTGTCGTAAAAAAAAACTGAGGAGGATACATATGTTTCGTTTTTCTGATAATCCGAGTTCTTACTTCTCTTAGTGATTTCAAATTGTCAAGAACCTAAAAAAATCTGTGAATGTAGCAGAAAAACCTGTGGAATGCGTGGATAACAATCTCCGATTTACGCGACGCTGTCACTAAAAAAAGACACAGATTGCAGTTGCTTAGGCAAAAGTTGAAACTATCTTCCATTCTCAAACGACAAGTAATCTCTCTCTCTTTCTCTCTCTTATCGTTATGGCAAGGGCAAAATGGTAAACTTAAAGAATCGAAACTCGTTTCACCAATCGAATCCTATTTCCCCTTGAAAGTCCATACACGCTCGCACATGCACAGATAAATCTTTATCCAGTTTCTCATATATGTAACGTGAGTTTCTTTTTTTTTCGATGATATATGAACTTTCTTGAAGATTGGGCTTCTTTCGATAAAGACCACTCGGTTTCTTTGCTTGGAGCTACTGAATCTTTACGAGCTAGCACTCTTCGTCTTCCCGTTATTGGAGGAGCAATCGTATGCGCTTATCTTTACTCTTTATATACGAATTGGTTTTTTTTTTTTTTTTTTTTTTTTGAGATTAACGTGGATTTGTTTTTCACAGGCTGAGGTCCTAAGCTTGCAGGATGCTATCGTTTCAGCAGTCGACATTATGCAAGCAATGACATCATCTATATATTTGCTCCTCCCAACGGTATATTAGATATCTCCAAAATTTCGACACACACACACACACACACATATATATATATATATATATATATATAAAGTCTTAAAATTAAAAAAAAAGTTTCACATATTTAATCAGGTTGAAGAAGTAAATTCATTAGTAAGCGAACTTGCAAAAGTCACCACAAAAGAACGAGCTTTTCTCGAACAATGCACCGCCCTTATTTCCTTGTTAGCAGCCATGCAGGTACATCCATACACCCCCCCCCCCCCCCCCCCCCACCCCCCGACACACAACACACAACCGTTGTCTCTCTCGTTCTGTATCTAATTGTGTATATATAATTCATTACAGGTAAAGGACAGTAGTCTGAGAACACATATACTACAACATAACCGAGTATGAACGACGAAAAAAGCATGACAGAAGACTTTGTAGTAGAAACTGATGTATTTGACGGGGTCCGTCCACTCTCTACATGCTAACACCTAAAAAAAAGAAACTCGACTTTTTAGACCTAGTCGAGGCAGGCACCCATCGGAGGTTTATAATAACCAATTACCTAACGACACGTGGCGTTTGTTTATTTACCCGGAAGTAGAAAAAAATCAACATTATGGTGCTTCGCCTTACTAACTAAGCTTGTACACGTGGACTTGTTGTTTTCCTGTTTTCCGATTTTCTTCGACTCGTTTTTTTTTTCCCACTTTCCGGGGAGAGAATGGAAGACGGAAATGTATATATATTGTAGTAGTGTTCTAACCTTTTAATTTGTCATCAATCAATTCTTCTTTGTCTTAAGTTCTGTTTGTATATATACTTGCCTTTTTCACTAATTCAATTTTAATCACGACCGTCGATCTATATCTCTAATTATCCATTTTTTGAAAAGAAAAAAAAATTGTGAATTAAAAAAAAAAAGAAAGAAAATCCAATTCCAAGCTCTAATTACGGTTAATTAATCCTTTCTTGATGAAAAAGAAATCCGCTCTCCAACGTAGTCGTCTCCGACTCGTCTCCCTCCGCCCTCTGGACGTACGTCATTCTAGCTGCCGTTGATCGGTTGCTAACCCTAATATTCAAATCGAGGGAATATATAAATCCCAGCGACTTGGAATTTTTTTAAATTTATTTAAAGCTAATATTGGCAATTATATCGTTTTAATTGTATTTTTCTCGGTGTTCAAAATGTGCTAATCAAATTTTACACACACACACACACACACACGCACACACTAACTTTATGATATATATAGTGCAGTTTTAACACATGGATTAATTTTAAATATTTGGTAACAAAATGTTGATAAATTAATTTTAAATAATTGGTAACAAAATGCTGATAAATTAATGGAAAAAAATTAAAACTAAAAAATATGATCGGATTTAATATTTGTTTGAGATCAAGAAAACAGAAAAATAGAACGTATTAAAAAACCATTATTAGTTGTACGTGAAAACACCACTAGAATAAAACGTAACTAAAAAAAAAAAAGAAAAAGAAAAAGAAAAAGAAAGAAACAGAAAAAGCAAGCCTGTGAAGAAAGAATATATCTCAGTACTCATCATCATCATCATTATCAGCGTCCTCCATGGGTGGCTGCGCAGCAACACCGGCCAAGAACTGATCGTGCATGGCAAGAAGTTCTTGATTGAGGCGGTTGTGTAGTCCGATGACGTTATCGGGAATAGGGCCGACGAAATCCTCGTCTCCGGGCAGGGCGACGAAGTCATCTTCATCACCTAAACCTTGTTCGGCCTGGACGATGTAGGGAAACGTAGAGACGTATGCCATGGAAAGTCGGCATACAGGGCAAGGCCGAGGGTGTTGACCTGCGCGGTACCATTGGATGATGCAGTCTCTGTGGAAGATGTGGTAACAATCTCTAAAATGGGCGTCTTGAATTCTGCAAAACAAATGGTCTAATTTCATATATATATATATATATATATATATATATATATATATATATATACATATATATATATATATATATATATATATATATATATATATATATATATATATACTCTGACATATAGATTCAAATAATTTATGTATAATTTGACAAATTATTTAAATGTATATAATCAATAGTATACGATGTATTATATATATATTTAATAATTTGACATATAGATCACAATTCACTATATACAATTATAGATTAAATGATACTTTGAATCTATAAAGTAGATTGAATTACACTTTGATTATTTATCACTATTGATAATACATATTAGATCACAGATTCACAATTGAATAGACGTCAATCCCTTCCTATAAGATTAATATAACTTGACATATATAATACACTATATAAGGTACTAGTTTAAAAAATATTAATGTCTGTCGTGTTAAATAACAGCAATTCATTTTTAGTAGTATAATCTTCTGTTAAATTTTATGTCCAAATTTCTATTTTGAATTTGTGACTTATTTCAGATTTTTTTTTATTGCAAATTGACTTATTTTTTGGGGCGTTTTGTTAAAAGAAAAGAGTAATAATAAAAATAACAGTAGTAAAAATAATAATAATAATAATAATAATAATAATAATAATAATAAACTATAAGTTGAAAAGAAAATAAAAGATTGGTAGCTTATAAAAAAATAACAATTAGTGAGAACCCCCTCTATCATTTTTTTAATAAAGGTAGGTCCATCCCTTTTCTTTTATTAGTGATAGATCCGACTTTTTTTTATTGTCAAATTTACCCTTCATTCCTTATTATTCACTCTCAACTACTTTAATGCCTATTTAATTATAATATTCGTTTATTTATTTAAAAATATTTATTTTAATTTTATTTTCGATTTTAATTTTGAATTTTTTTTCAGTTTTTTATTTGAAATCGATTATAAAAATTTCTAAAAATAATTATATATATTTTTTTAAATCAACTATTTCGAAATCAACTATTTTCGGAATCAACTATTTCCATAATCAACTATAAATTACTGAAAAAGTTACCTTTTTTGTTCGTTTATTTCCCTAATCAAATATAATATTTCCGTAAACAACTACATTATTTGCAAAATCAACTATTATTTTTTCAATTTTTCTAATTCATTTTTTCAGTTTTTTTTCTAGCTGATTTACCAAATCGACAAATTACTACATATTATTGAAAACAACTAAAAAACGTTGAAAACAACTAAAAATAAATAAAGTACAATTTCTTTTTCATTTTTTTAATTCAATTTTTTTTCGATTTTTTTATTCCAGCAGAGCATATTATTGAAAAAAACTATAAAAAAAATTAAAATCAACTACCAAAAAAACCAAAAATCAACTAAAAACTCTCGAAAAACAACTATAAACAAAATAGCATAATAACGAAAACAACTATATTGTTGTGTAACATGCCCATCATAAAAAATCGTCAAATAAAAAATTCAGAAAATTGCTTCTCAAGTAACAAGATCGAAGCATTAGAGGAAGACAAATCATTGCCGCAAAGTCAATTAGAATGGCCCTCCTCACATCATCCTTCCAACTCGACAATGGAGAGAAATCCTAGAACGAATAAAAAAATAAAATATAGATTGCCACAACCTGTTAATCCAATCTTCAACCAAACAAAACCCTAAAATCGCGGGCATGGAAGATATGAGATGACGGCGGCGGTGCATAACTGAATTGGAGGAGTGGAAGTCAGGCGGAGGTGTAATGGAGGAGTGGCGGCGGCAGTGCGGTTGTGGGGTTCCCAGCTCATCGTTGTCGAGATGTGGTGCCGCCTTCTTCCTCTCCTTGCCCCCGCCTCCGATGCTGCAGATTTTTAGGTAGAGAAAAGGAGAAGAAGAGATGGAGATAATATTTGACGATACAACGGTTGTTGGTAAAAAAAACGTGGCTAGGGTTTTATGTGTTAATTAGGGATAATATAGGTATAACACCTAATAATTATATAAATATTAATTTAATTAAACAATTAAAGGGGGTTTCACTATTATTGAGAAAGGGAGCGGATCCATCATAATATATCCTAATGTATTGGGGGTTCTCACTAATAATCCCTATAAAAAAAAATAGATTTGGTCAATTTTTTAGCCACGTGTAGAATTTTTAGGCTGACAAATTCGGTAATAGCAGATTAAGAAGATTAGGAGTGAAGTTAAGTAGGCAGCCACGTACACTTGTGTGTTTGCTTTCAAAATTTGTACTTCATTTTTTCCCTTTATCTGACCCATGCAAAATTAGTCTTGGACAAATTACGAAAACGATTCTTTCAATTTGATCAGCTTACAACAAAGAAAATTTATAATTAAAATGTGTAAATTACGGCAGATAAATTACTAATTTTAAGTATGAAATAATTTTATTTAAGGGTTTTAAATGGTTGGTTGAAGATTTGAAAGAAAAATCATTTTTTGGTAAAGAAAGGAATTTTCTAGCTATTTTATTATTAAAAAAATCGAAAATTTATAAATCTGTATAATTTCAGAATCTGGAAACTTGTTTAGTTAGGAGTCTTAGTATTTAATTTCACAAATTTTCAGGGATTCGAAATTAATTTTTCACGGATCCAATAAAAGAAAAAAATGGATTTTTATACGATTTGCACTCAAGGGCATTTTAGTCATTTTTTGCGTATTAACTGATTTATGTGGAAATTTGGTGTTTCGTGTGATTTATGCGATTGTGTGAATATTAATTTGTTATTGGATGATAAATGAAGTAATATATAATATTAATATAATAATGTAGGAGGTCGTAACGTTGCCCTATTGGCTGCAGCCGATGCTCTGCAAGAGGCTTGTGCTTCGGAGAGATTGCTCAACTCCTTAAGGTAATTATTGTTTAATTAAACTTATATATATTGGGTAATTATTGATCTTAATTACAATTGTTTTATCGAATTTCGCAGCACGTTATCGCAGTTTCCTTTGGCGGAAGGAGACGATCTTCAGCCACATGTGGACAAATTCTTCGACCTTCAAGAAGATCTTAGCTCGAACGAGATTGATAATGCAGTCATTAACAAGCATAACCCCGTTTAGAAATAACGAAGAAACAGAATCAAAGTGCACCACCACTAATTCCGTCTAGGAAACCCTAAATCTCGCGCTCGAGTGCAAGAAAAATGCAATCAAATGGATAAAATCCGCAGTAGCCCTCGATCTCCAACCGGGTCCCGCTCAAGCGGGCCCCACAATCGTAGCCCCCGCGGCCCCCACCAAAACTAGCCCGTCGAAACTGAAGGCGGTTTGCGTAATTAAAAAGAATAAGAGGAGCGTCAATGCAGATAATAATACTAATACTAATACTAAGAATAATAATATTCGATTAATATTGGCTTCTTCGGAAAAGGAGAATAGTAAGGCGGAGTGGGAGTAAAGGGGAGCACGATGGGCCCGGCTGCTGAGCTGGCGGGGTCGTTGCAGGAGGAAAACAGGAAGCTGTTTTTAAGCTACGTGGAGAAGTACCTTGATGAGGTGGACAAAAGGAGCGCGCTGATTGGTTGTGATAATGAGCGTGAGGTGGCGGTGATGATGTATAAAGTGAAGATGGTGAGTGATTGGTTGAGTGTGTTTGCCAATAGAGGTTTGGGGAGTGGGAATAGCAATTTCGGAGAGTCGGAAGGTGGGATTGCCTGTGGGAGGGTGCGTGATAAGATTTACGGGATTTTGTTGAGCCATGTTGAGAGGAACGCTGCTATGGCTTTCGAACGTGATTAAATTATTTAAAGGGTCTATTAGATATAACCCCCTTAAACATTCAAATAATAGGGGTAGATCCAAATTTAAATTTGCCATTTTGATAAAAACCTAAACTTTTCTAAATTACATAAGTACCCTCAATCAAATCCCACAAATCCCGTTACTTTACCTATTGAAATAATATCAAATCCCTCTCTATTTTCCCGTTAAAACACTATCCCCACAAAACCACTATCAAAATCTGCAAAACGTCCCAAAGAAAACCAGAAATTTATACACCGGCGATTGACGATTTTCTGCACTCCGAAATCCCTCCATATTTTCCCGCCGGGTTCGCCGCTTCCACCTCCGACCGCCGCCACCTCCGTCACCGTTGTCGCCGGTGGCCAACGACGATAACAACGATATTGGCCATAAGCAACACCTCCACCATCGCCTAGTCCTCCACCACCACCACATCCGACCACCTCCACCTCCAAGACCGCCAAAAACGACCAAGACCTCCGCCGCTCCCGCATCCAAGGTCCTAACAATCAATTTAGGAGTGATATCGTCGTTCGCCGCCGTCGCCGTCGCCGTCACTGCTCCAATCTAAGGTTACTCAAATCTAGGATTACTCAAATCTAGGGTTTTGATAATTCTTCGGCCCATAGTTGATTAACGAGATGCATAGTCGAATTACATCTGTATTAATATACTATCCCATATCATTTAATAGACTATCCCACTGGTATAATTTTACTATGGATCTCGTTAATCGACTATGGGCCGAAGAATCATCAAAACCCTAGATTTGAGAAGTGACGGCGGCGGATTTGTGTTTTAAAATTAATAGACTATCCCATGTATCTAATTCGACTATGAGCTTAGTTAATTGACTATTGGAAAAATAATAATATATATGGAAACTGAATAATATGTTTGTTTGAAATACTAATCAATTAGGGTAATTTTCCTTATTATATGAAAACGATTAGGGTAAATAATAATATATATGAAAAAATAATAATATATATGGAAACTGAATAATATGTTTGTTTGAAATACTAATCAATTAGGGTAATTTTCCTTATATCGTGTAATAGACTATCTTATTGATCTAATTCGACTATGGATCTCGTTAATCGACTATGGATCCCGTATTATTCAACCACATAGTATATTAATAATTTCAATATAGTACATTAATCTGCTATGATAGTATATTACGGTTATAGTAGTGATATGAAATTGTGTTACAAACAATATACCACTGAAATTACAAGAACATTGAGAACAACACCAACGTAAAGTATTCCAACATAACCAATAAAATAGAACATTAATAATCTCATAATTTCAATCTAGGGTTTTGATAAAATACATAAACACATCATAACACAATCAAACCAATATGTCGAGTTAAAAAACTCTAGTACATTAATAATCTCATAATAGTATAATAAAATGATAATGGTAGTATCATGCGGTATTCATAATAGTATACTACTGTATTACAACGGTTTAACACTTAACCGAAGTTACCGAACCATTACATCGTAAACACCTCTTTATAGCAACCAACCCACCAAACCTCAACAAAATCCGTACGAAATTCGCCATCGAAAAAACCTAAAATCATGAAACAAAATAAAAAATGCAGAATACTAAAAAATGATTAAATAGATAGCAAATACATTTGAATGACAATACATTAATATCATCAAAAATAAACTTAAAATGCAAAATCCATACGCTAAATTAAAAAAGACTACGAACTATATTTTAATGTACTACCCAGCACACTTAAATCGGTTGTTATAAACAAATAAACCAACTATCGATCGGGATAAAAAACATGAACTCGACCACAGCGGACAATTATTCCGATTATTGCATAAACCAACTACGAAGCTCATATAAAACAACTCTGGTCCGATCTGCGTGAACCATCCTCTTCTAACTCTGTCAATCCTTTTTCCAAACAAACATCATCATCTTCTAACGGACAACGATGAACGCTCAAATCCGAACCTATTTCCACGCCGGTGAAAAAACGATGGAAAACGATGAAAAACGATGAAACGCTGGATAAATTCTTCAAAACCGGTTCAAATCCGAACCCGATTGAAAACGATGAAAACGATGGAAAACGATGAAAAACGATGAAAACGATGAAATCCGAACCTATCTTCAAATCCGATGGAAAACGATGAAACGCTGGATAAATTCTTCAAAACCGGTTGTACAAGATTTGATAGAAACCGCCAATATACTCACGTAATTTTATTCCGTGATTTTAGGCAACATATCAGCAATCTCATATCACGTAGTTAAGAAAGTAAATACCGTTCAAAAATAAAACAAAATAAAAAAGGGGTATTAAAGGGAAATTACATAATATATTTTGCCAAGTTGGCAAATTTGGGTGTATCTCAAAAAGGGAAAAATTAATTGGATCTACCTCATTAGAAAATATGAACAAGGGGGTTATCCCTAATAAACCCTTATTTAAAAGAGTCGTCTTATATGTAATCAAAAAAATTATGTAAATAAATATTACACATTTTATGTATATCTAGAATGTGTAATTAAATCAGTGACGTGTTTTTTTCTTTTTTTAATTTCCCCTTTCCACATATAAAATACAAAAGAATAATAATTAAAAGTGAATTAATTTACTTTGAAATAACAATAAGTCAATAACCTATTTGTTGGTTTAATTACGGCCTGGAGGCCCACATATAAATTAAAGAAAACCCACAAGTAATTCAAATTTCATATATAGAATTTGAGCTTATAGTGTATTTGGGCTTTAATTATGAGTTTGAGCCCATCAAATTCTTAGGCTAGTGTAAATGATCTGAACTCGCCAAATTTTTCGAGCTGGAGCTCGAGCTCGTGGAGCTTGTCGAGCTCAACTCTTATTCTTTTATTTAATTTTTTTTTTCTTTTATTACTGGTAGCGGTAGTAGTAATCCTCCATCGAAATGGATCAAGTAGAAATTCGAAGTCTAGCCCAGAATTTCTGAAGTTCGTGCGAGGATTCTATAAATGATGCTAAGTAGTGTATTTTGGTGATGTATAATTAACACAAAATCCCTTTTCGTTTATTATTTTATTGCCAAAATATTACTAAACCTCTGATTTTCTTTCTTCAATATAATGTTTTAAATAGTGTAGCATTATGGAATACAATTTTAAGAAAATTCTTCTAAGTATGTTTCGAAATTTTAAAGTGTTCTAAATACTCAAGTACGATTTTAAAATCAAACAAATTTCTCAAAATTTTAATTATTCAAGTTAAGCTTTATTTTGAAATAGATCCTTTATAACAAACGCTTCCGCTAAAAAACGAATTTTCCAAAGAGGGGGTACGGTGCTACACCTCAATAATAAATCTACACGTACAAAAATATTTTAGAGTCTTGAGTGTTGCTGCATTGAAGAAGACTCAAACGGAGACGACAACTGCATTGGAGACGACAACAACGAGAAATGGTAATTGTCGACGTAGTGGCTGTGTGCAGCAGCAGATATAGGCATAAAGCTAGCATTGCCACCCTCCGGATCGAAAAATACTATTTCATCCAACCGGTGTAACAACTCAGTCCTAAAACTCTCTTCTTTAAAAACATCCTCCTCCTGCCCAATATATAGATATATATATATATTGGAGATATTAATATTAAATGATACACTTCACTAACAGCTTAAGCTTTTGGCTGAGATGGTCATTCAACAATTTACATATATATAAGTTGGCAACTGACAATATGATATATAAACAAGACAATGATAAACAATACCTGATTGAAGGGTTGAATAGAAACGTCGTTTCTCCGATCTTTAAAATACACAGCAGCAGTATTTCTAGGTGTATTGGCGAGCAGCTCCGATGTGAGGATAATAATACTTCTCCGAAATTCAAAACCAAAACCCTCACAATCCTCTAAAACACCGTTATCAAAGATATCCAACAAGCTCTTGTAGAAAATATCGTCCGCAAATTCCACTCCATCGACGAACACAACCATGCACGGATTCTTATTCACTTTACCCATAAGAGATGCCTTCTCTTTCTCACCGCCTCTGTAGTTGTCGTGTAATTTGATATACGTGAAGAACGATTCCCCGAGCGATTGCGTAAGGCAAGCAATCAACTTCGTTTTAGCGTTGCGGTTGAGACCTCCAAACATGTAGTTTCTCCTTTGCAGACTCGGCATTTCCAGTTGACTATCACCCGTTTTCAACAAAACATCTATTATCGAACTAGTTACTTTACCCGTACTCGTTTCGAGGCTTTGCAACGATCGAATAACGGATTCTAACTTCCTCTTGTCTTCGGTTGTCGGAAGCCGATGGCACGATTCTTCTATCTGCATTAACGAATAACATCAAATCGAAATTAAAAAAATTGGCGTAAAATAAAATAAATAATTACCTGTTTGAATGCACATATTAGTGGTGGTCCACAAGGGCTGTGAGACGCCAATAGGCCACGAAATGCTTCGACGACTAACTCTCTCAGCGAAGATAAACTCTCGCCAGATTCCGACAAGTCCAAAAATCGACGCTGTAAGTGAAACACCTTGTCCAACGCTCCCACGGTCTTCTTTAAATGTGCAATATATTCATCGGCTGTTCCAGCTTTGAATTTGAAGTACCGATCGGCCACACTCTGTTCGGGCGAGTAAATTCTAAACGACAATTTTCGAGATCCGACCCATGTATCAACACATAAGACGACTTTCTTATCAAGCTCCTTTGCGACTGCCACCTTTGACATAACGTGCTTAATCAGCGTTTGTTTGATGGCGTTCCCACCTTCTCCAAGCTTAATCAAGAAAACATTTCTAATTATTACGTCACGTAAACGAACATGTTTTCTGTTGAATAATAATCAAGAAAACATCTACTTACACGAGGTTTGTGTGCGATTATAAGTAACGCATCTAGTGCAGCATCGGAGGCATGAACGATACATCCATTTCCATAAGCCTCCGTAACGAGTTCTCTAAGCAACACCCTTGCAACAGCCTTTTCATCGTCGAACCTCTCAACGACGAGAATTTTGAATTCGTCAATGAATTTCGTCATCTACAAATTCCATAAGAAAACAATTTCTATCAAGGGAGAAAAAAAAGAAAAAAAAAATCATCAACGAATGGAAAAACTTGTACCTCGACACTGTCCTTTAAATAACTACAATCATGGTTCTTATAGCATGTATTACAAGAAGACACGAGTTGATCGGGTCCCACATTTGAAGTCAAGAAAATAATACACTGAGAGAAGTCGACAACGTTCCCCTTAGTATTACTACTTAGTGCATTATCATCGTCACTCAGAATACGAAGGAGAACCCTTGTTACAGTAAGGGGATCGTTGTCGATTTTGCTTAGTAGAATAACCGAATAAGGACGCTTCGCGACAACTTGAGTAAGCCGATCCAACAGATGCTTCTCTTTACTCTCCGACCCGAAGGGAAGAAAATCATAAGGTGGTGGTGCCGCCGATTTCATTGGAAGAAGATCTGCATACTCCGAGATATCTATCTCCACGATCCTGTTTGCGTCACAATACCAATGAAGTGCAACAGCCTTTGCAATCTCCCTTTTACCAACTCCAGTAGGGCCCACAAGGAGAAACGACCCCCTAGGCCGTTTTGTAATTATCGGTCTTTCGGAGGATAAAACTTCGTAAATTTCATTGACCACGTGTTCTTGATTCACCACTCTCTGGTTCGTCATATAAACGGCTCTTTTCTTGCGATCATTATCGGATTCAAGAATCTGAGTAAGAGGCACGTCAGTATGCCTGCTTATTACCTGCGCGCCATAACAACACAAACACAGGTATCGGATAAATAAAAGTTGCCGTTTTCGGATTAAAAAAAAAAAGACTAATAAATAAAACCTCCGCAACATCACAAGCCTTGACTTCCAATAAACGAGCGAAACGAGCAAGTAGTATGCGTCGGATATCGGAGAGAAACTTGTCGACCGCTGCAGCCACTCCTTGTGACGTAAGATTTGTTTCTGTCCATTTAAACGAAGAAACATCGTCCATAAACAATCGAAACTTTCTAGTTTCTTCCGGAAAGAAAATAGGACTACTTCCGGAAAAGTCCCATCGCACGAAAAATTCTCTCATGTGAAATGATGTCGAATCACGTTCCGACCTCAATCGATCGACCCAAGATCGGGTGGCGGAGCTGTTGTTATCTCTGTATAATTCAACTAGTTCGACAAGAGCTCGATCCAGGCGATGCGCCTCGTCATTGAACTCGATAATTTCGTCATCGCAATTTCTGATTCTTTCTTCCGCCATTCTGCATGCCTCGTCCAAGATTCTGACACATTTTTGTGGCGTTTCGTCGTCTGCTTATAAAATGCATACATTAAACGCAATCACAATTCACAACACCACACACTTTTGATGAAGAGAAAAAAAAATTGACTTACCGGGGAATAGGTTGGTACCGAACGATTCGACCAGATCCAAAGCGGCCGCCGAAATACGAACGATGTATTTCTTCTCCAGCTCGGATTTGGCTCCGGCAAACATCGTCGCCGCATTCTCCGCCATCGGAACCCTAAATATTGTCTTTATGAATTTTCGGACTAGTGGTGCAGAACTGATCACTGTACAATTGTATAATTATAGTTTACGTCCCTCGAGTTTGATGTTCGGTAAGCCCAATCATTTTCTGGGTCGACCCAGAAATATTATTGTGTCACGGATTATCTTGCCTTTTAGGGAAACTATTTATTGGACCTCCCATCATTCAATAATACAATTGGGTTTTATTAAATTATTTAATCTTATTTTATGTTAATTTTTATCTCATGAACCAAACGATGCACTAGACTGTTATCCCAGTCTTTTAGGAATATTGGTGGATGCGATTGTTTCAGCAGTTGACATTATGCAAGCAATGACATCATCAAGAATTGTAGATACAATTATTTATTTATTTATTTATTTATTTATTTATTTATTTATTTGGTAATGCATGAGATATATGATGGCTCTTTTAAATACTTGCCTCTTTCACTAGTCAAGAGTCAAATGAAACATATGTGAAGCTAATAAAAGTGGCTAAAACTTAAGAGAGTTTGTTCAATTTTGATCTTGACCGTTGATCTATATCTTTTAAGTTTTAATTATCCATTTTTTTTTTAAATAACTTCATCGATCGATTAGGTTAATTAATCACCATATTTTATTCGTATTTAACAATTGAACTGGTCTTTGGTTATGTCTAAAAAACGGGAGAAAAAATAAATTAAAAAATAGGACAAAAAATAGTTTTCATCCCTCAAGTTTGTATCAATTTCACATTTGGTTCCTTATGTTCACAAAAAAAAACACATTAGATCCCTCATGTTTCATAAATTCAATATTTGTAGTCCGTTCCGTCAATTTTCAGTTAAAACTAACGAAATCAAGCGTGTGCCCATCACTTCATTAACTGATAGAGTAACGGTAAATTGACGGAAAAGTGTTCAATTATTGAAACATGAGAGATCAAATATATTTTCAACGAACGTGAGGGACCAAATGGGAAATTTCTACAAACTTAAGGGGTGAAAACTGTAGTTTTTCCATAAAAAAAATGGTAGATGAATAGATTATTATAAATGAGGAGTAAGTCACTTTTAAAGATATATTTAGAGGGGTTTGCTTATCTGGTAAAGGCAGTTGGAATCTTTGGGTGGCTAATTAAATCAAGTTTAAATAACTAAATATTATATCTAGTTTGATTCTTTTGTCAGGTTAATGACATCATCAATTATTGCTTGCTTGAGAGTTTCGAATAATTTATTTAATGTTTTATTATCCATCTGATTTTTGTATATGAAACATTTTGACAAATTTTAAAATGGTCCTACATTGTACTTAATTTTATAAAATAAGGTTTTTTTTTTATTTTTTTTTTAAATCGAGACTATTTAATAGTTTTTTTATTAATCGGCAATTGGTGTACATCTATCTTAAACGACAACAGCTTGCAATTTGTGCTAATTACACTCTCGTTCGAAAACTTAATGATTTGGTATGGGTTTCGTAGATGCTATACCACGATCGAGTGAAATACAACGAGCGATCTATAAGCATTGATGCAAATCTTATGACAGAAAAAAATTGGAATACAATCAAACTCTAATTAGGGTTAATTAACCCCTTCAGCCGGCACTAATAATACAGATTAAAATTAATTAATTAATTATGGATCAAATGAACAGTCTCAAAAGCTTCGTTCCATTTCCATTTCCATGGTGGTTTTGGTGACGTTGATGAAAAATAAAACCGCTCTCTAACGTAGTCGTCTCCGACTCGTCCGATGGCGGCGAAGCCGACCTGCTATTCTCCCTCCGCCCTCTCGACGTCATTCTAGCCGCCGTCAAACCGCCGTTGTTATTGTTAACCCTAATGTTCGAATCTCGGGAATTCATGCACAGCCCGTTGTTGTGGTCTTCGAAACCCTCGTCAAGCTCAGGCGAAGACTGAGGGGAATATTCCGGCAAGCAGCGAGGAACTCCACCGTCGAGAACCGTCTCGACCGCGGACTGACAGAGGTGCCAGTTTCCGGTGGACATCAATCCCACCGCCCCGTTCACCGGATTCACGGTCCTCCCGCATGCTTCAAACAGTAGAGATTGAAACAGAGCTGCAAATCAATTAAACATTCATCATCATCAGAAAAAAAAACGAAAGAAATAATGAATATATATATATATATATATACATACAGGTTCGCTGAGACTGAGGAACGGAAGAAAGGAAGGACATAAGTCCGGCGCGGCCGAAAAACTTGGCGACGAAAACGGTGGCGTTTGCCTGAGCTTGTGGGCTTTCTATACCCTGCAAACTTTGTCGGAGAATGCAGTTTTCATTACAGCCCTTTCTGAGTATTCTGCAGCCATTGCAGCTCATACTTATTCTTTCTAGCATGTATCTGTGTGTGGTGGAGAGAGAGAGAGAGAGAGAGAGAGAGAGAGAGAGAGAGAGAGAGAGAGAGAGAGAGATTCAGGGGGGAGGGAGAAGGGAGAGAGAGGAGGAATATATATAGGGAAGGTGGTAGCCGGTGGTGGTGGAGGATTGCATCAGCCAGGTGTGATGTGGCGAATAGTTTTTAAAATGTATTAATTAATTAATTAAAAATTAATTAGGATTAGGTTTGTAAGTAACCATGATTAGTGAGAAAATGAGAAATGTATTAGTTTGGTGAATGGGGTTAAGATTTAATTGGATGGGGTTCCCAAGGTGTTGGGGTCAACATATAATATGCCAATTTATATATAAACATTCGTCCTTTCAACACCATTTAAAGGTTTTAATTTGCCATAATTTTGGGATAATTTATTAAGCTATTGGTAAGATTCCTATATGTCACATATAATAATATAATTGGATATATATTTTTACAACAAATTAAAATAGGAGAACATATAGTCTAAAGATCGAAGTTTTAAATATTATGTCGTTCATGCACACAACTCGAATATCTTATTTCTTCACGCAGCTTCTTTATTTGCATTTTCTTGAACTTTCTCCAATGCTAAACTCCATTCAGATAGCGAATAAAGTCCCAACTAATTAAAACTATATAAAATATGACCTTTAATAATTCACAAAATAATATCATGCATGGAAATAAATCTTCGCCAATACAAGATAGTAATGATATAATACATTAATATATGCAATAATATGAGTGGAAAAAGAAATAGTAGTAGCAAATTAATCAGCATGCATGATTGTTGGTTTGGATGTGAAGGGAAATTCACGAAGCTAAAAAGAACAAGGATAAAGCTAAGATCTTAATTTGTTAAATTAATTAATCCAATTAAACTTCAAATAATTGGGTTTGTGGCGAATGGGATTCAATTGCCCCCTAATATTGTTCTATATAAAAATGCACCAATAGATTTTCTTCTCCAAATGTTGTATATATATATAATATATATACGAGTGGTCCACTTGTGACTAAGTTTGAGCTGTTCTATACATACATATATATATAATATATATGCATATCCACAATGTTGTATTAGCTAAGATTTGGAGAGAGAGAGAGAGAGAGAGAGAGAGAGAGGGGCACTTTTGGCATCATGCATGCATATGCTTGAGAAGAGTTGTCCTTCCATGGATTAGAGAGACAAATTGATGTTCTTACACTCTAAGGGACACTACAAATTTAAATTTTTATTTTCTTTGGATAATTTGATTTCATCATGAAAAGGTTTACATGATGAAAATGTTGATATTAATTAAATAAGTGGTGCTTACGTATACACTCCATTCATTGAAAGTGGTTTAAGATTCTGCACACGGATTCACTCTAAAAAATAATCTTTTGAGCGACAACACTAATTTTCACATGATCAGGCAAAAAATATTGTCACTATGACGGTGATGATGCTAATTACTTAGATCACCTCGGGTAGTGTAGAAAATGAACTGGGAGAGCAAAGCAGATCAGTAGCTTGACAACTTGATGATCCTGAGGTACTTGCGATCATAGAACACATGAACTAAGCCGGGGGTTGATCCGGCGGAAACCCCTCCGACGCTCAAGTCAGACGTGCTGATAGTGGAAATAGTCCAGAGAATACAGTTAATAGTATTGCTCAGTTAATAGGACGTACCTTAAGGAATGAGTTCAAACATTTATTTATAGCTTAGTTGAGATTGTCGGGCCCAAACCTTACTTGAAGGTGATTGGGCCTTGGTGATAAAGGTCTTCGATATTGGGCTCGTGGCCCAGTAGGTAAATAATTTGTAGGCCCATTAGGTTGGGCCAATTAGGCATATCATTAAGCCCCCCACTCTCGAGTCGATGTGGGGGCCATGTTGAAATGGGTGACATATCGTGTCGAGAGTAAAAATTGTAGTAGTCGATGATGTGCGATAACGCGTTGGAGCGTGTGTCGGAGGGGCGTGAATGCGCATTGGTGCATAACACGACCAAGTTGTCGCGATGTAAGTTAATTGAGTCGTCGGTTTTGTCCCGTGATGATGTAGTAGCGAATTATCTCCTCGTGGGAGTTGTCTCGTCGCGGGGTAATAGTGTTGATCGAGTTATCTCCTCGTGGGAGTTGTCTCACGATAATGTAGTAGCGCGGATCAATTAATCTCCTCGTGGGAGTTGTCTCTGGGGTAATAGAATTGATCGAGTTATCTCCTCGTGGGAGTTGTCTCGTGATAATGAAGTAGCACGGAGCTAGTATTCTCCTCGTGGGAGTTGTTATTTATCGACATTGTCAATGTTTTGACGCGTTGCTTGTATGTGTTTTACATATAGCTTTGTGCGTGATGTACTTGAGGAGGGGATCAGGCTCTCAAGATTTTTTTTATGGGGATCGTGCCCCTTGTTAGACCTCGTGGGTCGTAAGTATGTTTGGACCGTGGCCACGTTTTAATGAAGGACCCATCGAAAACAAGTAGATAAATTTGAGTAATCAAGCTGGCCAGGCTATATAGATTCTCATAATATCTCTAAGTGTTTCTAGGGTTGTAATCGTGCTAACTTGAGCTTGCGACTATATAGTGAATTTCGGGCGAGTTGTCTCCTCATGGGAGTTGCCTCGCAGCAAAGTTGTAGGAGCATTGGACGCGCGACTGGGGAGCATGCGGATTCAGGTCGCTCTGTGAGAGTTGTCTCCTTGTTGGAGTTGTCTCGCATCGAGACTTATTACCGAGCGAGGTAGTTCCTCGTGGGAGTTGCCTTGCACTAGGCTCGTAGTGCCGAGCGAGTTTTCTCTCCTCGTGGGAGTTGCCTCGCTGCGGGTTGTGGTAACGAGCGAGTTGTCTCATCGTGGGAGTTATCTTGTTGTGGTTCTGTAGACCCGAGGGAGTTGGCTCCTCGTGGGAGTTATCTCGCTGCGGGTGGTAGTACTGAGCGAGTTGGCTCCTCGTGGGAGTTGTCTCGCTGTGGGTTGTGGTACCGAGCGAGTTGGCTCCTCGTGGGAGTTGTCTCGCTGCGGGTTCATAGTACCGAACGAGTTGGCTCCTCGTGGAAGTTGCCTCGCTGCGGGTCGTAGGATGGAGCGAGTGGTCTCCTCGTAGGAGTTATCTCGCTGTGGGTTCGTAGACCCGAGGGAGTTGACTCCTCGTGGGAGTTGCCTCGCAACGGGTTATATGACTGAGCAAGTTATCTCCTCGTGGGAGTTGTCTTGCTGCCGGTTGTAGTATCGAGCGAGTTGGCTCCTCATGGGAGTTGCCTCGCAACGGGTTGTAGGACGGAGCGAGTGGTCTCCTCGTGGGAGTTATCTCGCTGTGGTTTCGTAGACTCGAGGGAGTTGGCTCCTCGTGGGAGTTGACTCGCTGTGGGTTGTAGGACCGAGCGAGTTGTCTCCTCGTGGGAGTTATCTCGATGCGGGTTGTGTAGGGCCGAGCGAGTTTGCTCCTCGTGGGAGTTGTCTCGCAAGCCCCCCACTCTCGATTTGATTCAAGAAAGGTACCGGATCATGTCGAGAGTAGATCGGTGATGTAGTATTCCGTTAATCGTTGGCCTGGCGTGGAGGAATAATAATTTTTATTTTCTCTGCGGAGAACGAACGCTATTGGGTGGGGCGCATTGGAATCCTTGCGCGATTTGGTAGAGCGCGTTGAGATTCCCACGCGATTTGGTGGTGCGCAGTGGAAGTTGTGTGCGATGAAGTGAGTGGAGAGAGGCGCACACGCGAATTGATGTTCGTAAGACCGAGCGAGTTGCATCGCAACGGCTGTGGAGCGATGTGCGTATCTAGGACACACATGTGGATCGATGTCGCACGGTGGAGGATCACGTGGGTCAAGGTCGTACGGTAGAAGATCACGTGGATCGAGATCCCGAGCGCGAATAAAGGTTCCGCAGTGGAGAAGGAACACACGCACGTAGCGCGGTTGGAGATGTCGGAACGTGCACAGCGCGATTGGCGCGGAATCAAGTTCAGAGTAAATCGGTGTTGTAGTTTTGTCATTGTCGTGGAATAATGATACTAAATATAATAATGTTCATTCTCCCCGTTTTTTTTTTTTTTTTTTTTTTTTTTGTGGCGTAGAGCGCGCTCATGATGGGGCGCGGGGCGCAGACGTGCTGAGTGCACAGGGAGCCGGGCGCGGGCGTGCTGGGCACCCGGGGAGCGGGGCGCAAAGCGCGCGCGCGGGGCAAGGGGAAAGGAACGCGCACTGCGTGCGGCAAGGGGAGCGTGGCGCAAGGCGTTGGGGAGCGGGTCGCTACTGGGCGCGCGTGTCGGGGAGCAGGGCGCGGGCGGGCGCGCGCGTGTTGGGGAGCGGGGCGTCGGCGGGCGCGCGTGTCGGGGAGCGGGGCGCGGGCGTGCATGCGCATCGGGGTGCAGGGCGCGGGCGCACTAGGCGTGCGCGTGTTGGTACGCGGGGAGCGCCCGCGCGGGGCTGCCGAGAAGCGGGGAGCGCGCGCGCGGGGTTGTTGGAGGCGGGGGGCGCGCGGTCGCGGGCTGCTGGGGAGCGGGGAGCGCGCGCGCGGGGCTGCCGAGAAGCAGGGAGCGCGCGCGCGGTGTTCTTGGAGGCGGGGGGCGCGCGGTCGCGGGCTGCTGGGGAGCAGGGAGCGCGCGCGCGGGGCTGCCGAGAAGCAGGGAGCGCGCGCGCGCGGTGTTGTTGGAGGTGGGGGGCGCGCGGTCGCGGGCTGCTGGGGAGCGGGGAGCGGGGCGCGCGCTTGCTGGCTGCTGGGGCGCGGGGCGCGTGACGCTACTCAGTTTTTTTTTTTTTTTCTACTTCATCTTCCTGTTTTTTCTTCTATTTTTTCATCTTCTTCTTTTTTCTTCTTCTTTCTTCTTCTGTTTTTACATCTTCTTCTTTTTTCTTTTTCTTTCTTCTTCTGTTTTTTCATCTTCTTCTTTATTCTTCTTCTTTCTTCTGGGGTTTCGTGTGCGCGATTTTACCCCTTTTTTTTTTTTTGGTGGTTGATGTTCACCCCTTGGGATATTCTATTTTTTGAGTAGGAAGATTATACTCGTCTCTTGCGATGTGATGTGAACCCACTTGGGGTTGAAAGGTAAGGGTGATGCCCAACCTTGGGATGGGTTAACCACCCACTGCAGGATGAGGCGCTCGAGACCTATGGTCTGAGGTGAATGCACACGATTGTGTCGTTGCTTCAGTGACAACACGAGTTGAAGCTTTCGCGGTCGTATGCTGAAGGTCCTTGTCGGTTATCTGAACCGTTAGCGAAGCAAGTAGAAGTTGATATTGTTGAAGTTTCGGCGATCATACGCTGAAGGTCCTCTTTGGTTATCTGAACCGTTCGAGGGGGGGCGCAAGTAGGCCCCCAGAGAGTCGATGACCCATGGCGAGCAAAATATTTTGGGGACACTATAAATCCCCAGGGAGTCGATAACCCTTGGCGAACGAAATATTTTGGGGGCAGATGTAAGCCCCCAGGGAGTCGATAACCCTTGGCGAGCGAAATGTTTTGGGGGCACTGTATACCCCCAGGGAGTCGATAACCCTTGGCGAGCGAGATATTTTGGGGGCAGAGGTAAGCCCCCAGGGAGTCAATAACCCTTGGCGAGCGAAATATTTTGGGGGCAGATGTAAGCCCCCAGGGAGTCGATGGCGGTGGTGCCATAGGTGGCTCCACATGTGGAGCAGGTGTTGGTATCGCGTTGGGAGCATTTGCTCCCATCGTGGCGATATATTGGGTCACGGCCTCTGTGGCAGCGCGAGTTGAAGCTTCTGCTATCATGCGTTGGAACGCATCCTCGGTTATTTGAACCATTCGAGGAGCAGGGAGTGGTGGATCGGCGAGTGGTGGGTCCCGAGGGGGGATCACCTGAACCTCGCAAGGCGGATCCATGGGATGTGGAGGAGGTGGCAAGCCAGAGCCTCCACGAGGTGGGAGGTCGTTAGCTGTGTCATTTTTTCTCCGAGCAGACGCCTCAGGAGGATTTTGTTGGCTACGTGATCTGGTTTGCATCGTTCCCACAGACGGCGCCAAAATGATGATGCTAATTACTTAGATCACCTCGGGTAGTGTAGAAAATGAACTGGGAGAGCAAAGCAGATCAGTAGCTTGACAACTTGATGATCCTGAGGTACTTGCGATCATAGAACACATGAACTAAGCCGGGGGTTGATCCGGCGGAACCCCTCCGACGCTCAAGTCAGACGTGCTGATAGTGGAAATAGTCCAGAGAATACAGTTAATAGTATTGCTCAGTTAATAGGACGTACCTTAAGGAATGAGTTCAAACATTTATTTATAGCTTAGTTGAGATTGTCGGGCCCAAACCTTACTTGAAGGTGATTGGGCCTTGGTGATAAAGGTCTTCGATATTGGGCTCGTGGCCCAGTAGGTAAATAATTTGTAGGCCCATTAGGTTGGGCCAATTAGGCATATCAGACGGTAACTAATTATTACTGATATTATATAATCAGAGAATCGATATTTGAAATAGCTTGTTAATTAATTATCTCCATTAATTTGAAATTTCCAAAAAATATTATTAATTGAATATGTGAAAAGTCATTGGATATATATGTGGAGGCATGGTGCCGTAATTAGAGGGACAAATTAATTTGTGGCGATTGTTGCAAAGTTATCTCGTTGGGAATTATTTTCTTAGTTTCTAAGTCGAAAAATAAAAAATATTAAATTGGGGTACCTTATCCAAATTATGATGTATTGAAATAGACCACTCTCTACGTTGGCACGCATTAGTGTACAATGTAGTTGCTAGCTTTTTCATTTGTTGTATACAATATATATATTATTATAAATTACTGTCCACGTCCACTAGGGTTAATTAACCCTATCCAACACTTCTAACACTAACAACTATCTCATTAAAGTTTCGGTTTATTTTATTCTATAGTTGATGAAATTTATCGGATAAATTTTGTTGCGATTGTACCAAATATTCGCACCCTCGAGAACTCTTTCCAATCACGTCACCTTAAGACTGTGGAGCAATTGACTCGACGTCGGAATAATAGTCGCTGAACGACATTTCTATTCTCGTTGGCGAACTCTTCATCCCAGCGAGCTTTCCAGCTTATTTAACTTTTCTTGGACTTCGGCCAAAGATTTTCGCCTTGACCCCATATCTTCATTTTGGCCCAATCCTTTTCTCTCTATTGGGCCACGACTAAATAGTGTTCGGCCCACAATTGGCAGCATAGTTAACTTTCTTTCTTTCTTTCTTTCTTTTTTCTTTTTCTTTTTTCTTGCTAATTCTCATTTTTAGAGAATTCATTTGGGTTTTAATTAAATGAAAGTATATTCTCCATGTAAAAACCAAGTAGAAAACAATATTGTGGTTTAAATATTTGGTCAGCAACTAAAAGAGGCCCAACCCAATTCTTATAATTTGGGCTGGACTTAGATTCTTTCTATTTAATTAATTATCTAAACATACCAACCCTAATACGTCGTATGTTCGAGTTCGAGTTCGAAAAAGATACAAAAAGTTGCATATGTATGTATGTGTGATTAAAGAAAAATTAATGACTAATGTAAAAGGGATAATTGTATTACCAAACAATAACCACTTTTGAATGTGCCGAACTATGTGTCACTCCACAGAAAAACAGTATGTGGCATTGGGTGTAATTACGTGTTCGTTTGATTCATCATTTCATTGTATTAGGAAAAAGTCATTAACAAAAAATATAGGGTCTATTAGATATAACCCCCTTAGACATTCAAATAATAGGGGTAAACCCAAATTTAAATTTGTCATTTTGATAAAATTCCAAACTTTTCTAAATTACATAAGTACCCTCAATCAAATCCCACAAATCACGTTACTTTACCTTTTGAAATAATATCAAATCCCACCCTATTTTCCCGTTAAAACACTATCCCCACAAACCCACTACCAAAAAATCTGCAAACCTCTCAAAACCAAAAATTTATACGGATCTCGCGGACGGTGCCGGATAAATTAGATGAGGAAAGTACTTGCTCCTCGCCGGAGTCCGACGGAGACACCGTCCGCTGTGGTGCAGCGTCGTAGTAATTTTCCGGCGTTGGATTTCGCACAACGGCCTTTTCTCGTCTTTTCGAAAGCATTCATTGGAGAACTCCCACCGATCAGGCATAACCTTCCCAAATCCCTAAAAAATCATCAGATAAGCAACTCAATCAATAACCGAAAAAAAAAAAAAAACCAAAATTCCTCGTTACAGATCGAAGGATTCGATTAGCAAAAGCTCACGTAAGTATTCAGTTGCCGAACGAAACTGGAGAAATTGTTGTGCTTGAAATACTTGGGCAGCAAATCTCAGGCAAACTCACGTAATTTGGCCCAATGAAACCGACAATATACTAATAAACTATCCCACTGATATAATTTGACTATGGATCTCGTTAATCGACTATGGGCCGCCGTCACTGCTCCAATCTAGGGTTACTCAAATCTAGGATTACTCAAATCTAGGGTTTTGATAATTCTTCGGCCCATAGTTGATTAACGAGATGCATAGTCGAATTACATCTGTGTTAATATACTATCCCATATCATTTAATAGACTATCCCACTGGTATAATTTTACTATGGATCTCGTTAATCAACTATGGGCCGAAAAATCATCAAACCCCTAGAATAATAATAATAATAATATATATGGAAACTGAATAATATGTTTGTTTGAAATACTAATCAATTAGGGTAATTTTCCTTATTATATGAAAACGATTAGGGTAAATAATAATATATATGAAAAAATAATATAAATGGAAACTGAATAATATGTTTGTTTGAAATACTAATCAATTAGGGTAATTTTCCTTATATCATGTAATAGACTATCTCATTGATCAAATTCGACTATGGATCTCGTTAATCGACTATGGATCCCGTATTATTCAACCACATAGTATATTAATAATTTCAATATAGTACATTAATCTGCTATGATAGTATATTACGGTTATAGTAGTGATATGAAATTGTGTTACAAACAATACACCAAATGACAAGAACATTGAGAACAAAACAAACGTAAAGTATTCCAACATAACCAATAAAATAGTACATTAATAATCTCATAATTTCAATCTAGGGTTTTGATAAAATACTTAAAACACATCATAACACAATCAAACCAATATGTCGAGTTAAAAAACTCTAGTACATTAATAATCTCATAATAGTATAATACAATGATAATGGTAGTATCATATGGTATTCATAATAGTATACTACTGTATTACAACGGTTTAGCACTTAACCAACGTTACCGAGCCATTACATCGTAAACACCTCTTTATAGCAACCAACCCACCAAACCTCGAAATCATGTCCTCATCGTCAGCCAAGATACATTCACCAACGCCTTCCAGCCTATATGTCATGCTTATATCCCACCCATCGAGTTGTGGCCACTTTGAAATAACAAATGCAACCAATGAACCGCGAGTAAACCCGTTCGAACACCTCTTTATAGCAACCAACCCACCAAATCTCAACAAAATCCGTACAAAATTCGTCATCGATAAAACCTTGAATCATAATACGACATTAAAAATACAAAATACTAAAAAATATATTAATATGATCAAAAATAAACTTAAAATGCAAAATTCCTACGATAACTTAAAAAAGACTACAAAGTATATTTTAATGTACTACCCAGAGTCCTAAAATCCGCTGTTATAAACAAATAAATCAACTATCGACCGGGATCAGACACATGAACTCCACGACCGCGGACAGTTATTTCAATTACTACGTAAACCAACTACGACGTTCATATAAAATAACTCTGGTCAAATATGCGTGAACAATCTTTATCTAACTCTGTCAATCCTCTTCCGAACAAACATCATCCGCCAAAATTAACGATGTATATATGACGGAATAATTTTGTTAAAAAACGTTCTACATAATATAATCAAGTATCAACACACCTCTTAAAATTTCTAACCACCATACACGACGATCCTAGCCATTGAACGAAAAATAAATCGAAAAACGCATTCATACCCGGTTAACAACGTCCAACAGATGAGCGCTCAATTCGATCCTATTTCCACGACGGTGCAGAAATCTTCAAAGATAAAAATCCCCTGGAACGGTGAAAGAGAACCTCCGAAAATATTATACACGATTTGGTATAACGGCCAATGATCTCACGTAATATTATTCCGTGATTTTAGGCAACGTATCAGCAAATCTCAAATCACGTATTAAAGGAATTAAATGTCGTTTAAAAATAAATAAGGGTATTAAAGGGAAATTATATAATATATTTTGCCAAGTTGGCAAAATTGGGTCTATCTCAAAAAGTGGAAAAAAATTGGATCTACCTCATTAGAAAATATGAAAAGGGGGTTATCCCTAATAAACCCAAAAATATATTGTGGAATTAATCCTAATTAATCCATTGGTTGATGAATGATGACGTCATGCATTATTTATGTCTTAGATTTGGCTAACCTCACTCACTTTATTATTTCCCAATGCATCTTTCTTATTTATTAGAGAGTTTTTCTTGTCCCAAATTATTTGTCATTTTAGATTTTCAATGCATCATTAATTGCACTATTTTCAATTTTACCCTTTATCACTCCTAATTACTCCCTCTGTCCCATATTATATGTCTTTTTAAAGAGTTTTTCTTGTCCCAAATTATTTGTCATTTTAGATTTTCAATGCATTATTAATTGCACTATTTTCAATTTTACCCTTTCTAACTCCTAATTAGTTAGTTGTAAAACAATTAATCTCAAGGATATATTAGTATTTTCCTATGTTTTTTACTATAATCCATACACATTTATTGATTTTCTTAATATGTGTAAAACAACCCAAAACGTCATTTAAATTGGGACGGAGGGAGTACTTAGTTGTAAAACAAGTAATGTCAAGGATATATTAGTATTTTCCTATGTTTTTTACTATAATCTATACACATTTATTGATTTTCTTAATATGCGTGCAACAACCCAAAACGTCATTTAAATTGGGATGGAGGGAGTAATTAATTATAAATACTAGGGCCCCATTTGGTTGCCAAAATAAGCCATGATTAATTAAATAGTTGGACTTACTTTGATGTTTGGTATCCTCAATAAATTATCGGGTCGACCCGCCAAAATTATATAATCATGGCTTATCTTTCCTTCTAATGAGTATTTTTTTTTTTTTTTTGACGTTTCAAGATCCAATGAAATAATTTTATCTTGTCAAAAAAACAGAGCCTAAATAGTAAATATAATCATTTGCTTGTGGAGTATTTGGTTTTTCCAGATAATCTTGAATTTTAATATATTATCAAGTATGAATATTTTTAATTCCTTGTAATTTAAACTTGCCACTTATACAGTCCTTTGAATTTTACTTGTCCCATACATTCAGCAAAACATCCATAAAACTCATCTACAGTCGCCACGTGTCATGTTTATTTTTCTTTGAAGACTCACTAGTATTAAAAGCGTGCCACGTTATACTCGGTTGCCTTTCCCTAAAGTATATGCTAAGGTTGTGTTTAATGTAATTACGCTCTGAATATATATATTATTTAATTTATTTAAAAAAAAAAAGAATTTATCTAATATATTTATATTTAATAAAGAAAATCTCCCTAAACATCAAGCAAATAAATTAATAACAACTCATCTCCTAAGCCAAACGAGCCCTAAGTAGGTCACTTTAATTAATGGTTAATCGACTAACCAACGTTGCAGATGACGTCAATTGAGAAAACTAAAAAAGAAAATAATAATAAATAAAGTAAAAGTGAGAGAAAGAAAGAAAGAGAAGAGTTGGCGATGGCTAAGTAACAGACACGTGGCGAATATTTATAATAATAAATACTGGGATACTTCTCTGTTTCACACTGGATAGCTTCCTCCCTCGGTGTATTGTTTGGTACACGCGGCGAAATATTCTTTAATTAATTTAACTCCTTTTTAATTAATTATAGACAAAATTAATTACAGCGCATGCCATTGGATTTTCCGCAATCACTAATCAATTATTACTGTCAGTAAATTCCACGGTTCTGATTTATTCAACTTTTTAACCACACGCGTGGGTGATAATTAAATTAAGTTAAAATAAAATTAAATGTGGAGAAAAAAGGAATATAGTTTTATTTGTATTTTTTTTTTGACTTGGAAAAGGTCAAGTTCCACTCACACAGTCTCACTCCCACTAATATTTGACCTCTAAATATTATTATTTTTCTTAATTTTTAAAAGCCACCAAATCAAGTGAAGAAACCCAAACAGAAAAGACGTGTGATCTGTCTTTACTTGTCTAAATAAAACAACTATTTACCAACCTTTTTTTTTTAATTTAATTAAATCCAAATCCTTTGTACAATTTAACTTTATTATTATTAATATATTAAAATAATAATAAAGAAAAAAAAAGAAAGAAATCCTATACAACTCCTCCACCGCCACTCCTCACGCCACTGCCAACCTCTAAATCCACTTCTTGTTTTAATTTTTTTCTTTATATATATTATTTATTTATAAAACCCTTTCTCTATTTCCTTAATCACTCTCCAATTCTCTCTCTCTATACTTTCTTTCTCTCTCTACACTCTCTTCTCTCTCTTGTTTCGCATATTTGAATGGCTCTTGAGGCTGTGAACTCTGCACCCGCGGGGGCGGCGCCGCCCCTCAGTAAAACCCGCCGTTTCGAGTCGTGGAAGAAATCGGGAGCCAGAAGCTCCAAGCGGCAGCGGATGATTCAACCTGAAGATGAGTATTTGGCCGTCTGCCTCGTCATGCTCGCCAGAAGCGGCGCCGCTCCTTACCAATCACCCCCCGCCGCCTGTCACTCCACCGGAGATACCAAACAGGCTGATGGCAACACATCTCCCGCTCAAATAATCACCGCCGCCGCCGCCACCAGCGAAATCAACAAATATGATGGTAATAACCCTGTCTCTCCCATAACCACCACCACCGCCGCCGCCGCTAGTAACTCCACCGGAGAAACCACACACAAAGGTAACCCTGTCGTCGTTCCCGAAATCGCCATCCCCGCCGCCGCCGCCGCCGCCTCACCTGCAGCCAATTCGTACAAGTGCAGTGTGTGCGATAAAGCTTTCGCTTCATACCAGGCGCTCGGCGGCCACAAAGCAAGCCACCGCGCGAAGCCCCCTACCGCCGCCGCAATCAGCTCAGACGACAGATCCCCCTACACCGCCATCCCCGCCGCCGCCGCCTCAAATCCCACCTCCGCCCTCAACCCTAGTGGTAGGCTTCACGAGTGCACCATCTGCCACAAATCCTTCACCTCAGGTCAGGCTTTGGGCGGCCATAAGCGGAAGCACTATGAAGGCGTAATCGGCAGCGGTGCCGCTAAGAGCCGGACCACTTCTTCCAACGGCGGCGCCACCAGTGATCAGATGACCGCCGCCGCCGTGATCCGGGATTTCGACTTGAACGTGGCGCCGCCTCCAGAATTGATGTGTGATGAAGAGGCCGAAAGTGCTCTGCCGCCTTTATTCGAATGAACTATTTCACTATCTTTTTTTAATTACATATCTTTAATAATAATATTTTTCAGGAGAATTATTATTTTTTTCCTTTTTTTAATTAGGGTTTAATGTATAGGGGTCAAAAAGAAAAAAAGAAAAACCAAAAGGATTCCTTTATGATTCTTTTATTCAAGATTAATGAAGTTTGATTTAATTTGTTTCTCATATTCTTTATGTTACAATTTAATTTGCAATTGTTATTTGTCTTCTTCAATGTAATGTAAAATTAAGTTCAAACAAACTATAGGGTAAACTCATTCAACTCTCTCTAAGTTATAATCTGGTTTGCAAATAAGACCTCATATAAATTTTTCCAACTCATTAGTCCATATATACTTCTAAATTTTTCTTACAATTAGCTCCCCCACACTGACGTTACGAAGTCTACGTCACTTGTATATAATATTTTTAGTAATTTGTTTTTCTATTGTGACTAAATAATACCGCTAAAATTCGACACGCACGAGCTTTTCTTGTTTTTTAATCGAAAGTAAGTTCGCAATATTTTAGGATTAATATTAGTAAATGTCAAAAGAGTAGGGAGTTAAATGTAAGAAATCTAAAATAGTAAGGAGTGTAGTGTAAAAAATTCTCATTGAAAGTTGGCACTAAATTAAAGTATGTGTAATTATCCAAAGGTATTTGTTTATTTTTGTTTTATTATTTTGGGACATTATAAATATATGGATGAAAGATGGAAGACACTATGCCTAGAAAGGTGGAGAAATTGTGGTTGACACGAAGATGCCCACGTGGCACATGCTCACTGTCGTTGAATTCTCATATTTCAAAAAAAAAGTTTTTTTTTTTTTTTCTTTTTACAGTAAGTAAATTAAATTTACTCGAAATAAATAACAAGTAATTTTAATTGTTGAATTTCAGGGGGGGAAAAATTAAAATAACATAAAATGGAAGAAAGAAAGTCAATTATATACTACTATATATGGAGTGAATAGCCACCACAAGTAAAACCATGCCAGCACACTTGTATGAATCTAAACACCTTTTGGATAAACCCTGATCTAAATTAAGTTAATTAAATGTGATTAACAAGGAATTAATCAATCATTAATTAATTAATTAAATGGGACAATCAAATTACCAAACAATAACCTCTTTTTGAATGTGCCTAACTAACTATGTGTCACTCCACAGAAATAGTATGTGGCATGAGCTCTAATTACGTGTTCGTTTGAGTCATTTTGTTAGGTCATTAACAAATAAGTACATTTTAATTTGTTTAATCCTGATCCATATAAATTAATTAGGTGATGATGATGATGTCATGCCTTAGCTTGTGCAGTCTCTCACATAATTGGCTAATTACCTCACTCGCTTTATTTAATTATTAAGTATTCACTAATCTTTGGTGGTGTAATTAATTAGGGACTTTATTTAATCATTTGTTTATGGAGTGTGGATGAGGCCATGCATTATTGTCATTCTCATCATACTTCATATAGCGACTCGTTTCTAGATAAGCTTGAGTTAGATGATGAAAGGGAAATTTAATTTTCTAGCTATGGGTTAAATTTGAAAGTGAGAATTTAATTTTGAGGTCAAATTTTATATTTAGAGATAATTGGCTAAAATTTCCTTGAAAATATTTTGTATACCTAACAGTTTATCGGGATATTCTGAATTTGCTAAAAAATCCATGGGATAGCTTAATTGGACAGCTTAAAATGAGAATAGAAATCTTAGACTGATAATAGACAACTTAGTTGTAGCGTTTCGAGTTTCGACCGAAGATAGATTGAAAATGGACAATTTTGGAGAATTTGGACTGAAAATAGACAACTTATATGAAGAAAAAAAATTCCAATGATGTTGTGCCGGAAATTAGGCGGTCGACGGCATATATGAGTTGTGGGGAGAGGCAGAATAGTAGAAGAAATGCTATTTTTCAGTCTAAAATAATTATTTTCTCTCTAATTAAGCTGTCCGAGGGACTTTTATCAAAATGCAAAAATGTAATTGCACTGATTTGAAAGGGTATTAGTGCTCAGGGATGTTCAGCAAAATACACCTTATATTTATGGTTTATATTTTCCATCTAGTTTGTATGCTATCGTACAAAATCGAAGATTTATCCAGTGTACTTATATGACAATGATAATTAATTCCATAGCTAAAAAAAAAAATCAAATTATTATCGAATTCGATTGTTCGATTAAAGCTCGATTGGATTTCTTATAAGCTTAAACACAATTCAAGTAGCTTAATTAGAATTAAAAGAAAATTAAAACTCAACTAAAGTTGCCACGTGTGATGTTGATTATGCTTTAAGACATGGACAGAAACAACCATAGTTATGACAGCTCTTAAAATGGAGAAAGAAAGTCAAAAAGTAATTAATTAAGTTGGAGATACAAAACAAACACGGCAGAGTGAAGAGAGATAGGCTAATTAACAGACACGTGGCGAATACTATGTTAATTCATTCTTAGCCAAAACAAAAAAAGGGAATTTCCAGAATCACTGCACCCAAAATCCACTTGCTTGTACGGTTAATCCTCTCATTCACACTAGAATATGCTATTTACTTATAAAATGAATTTGTATTTTATTAACTTTTCAAAAGTAAATTCTCATAATAAACCTAAAATATTTCTATCTTCTTCAGACGTGATTTGATTTTTGAAAGATATCTATGTTAATTGGTGAGGTCTAGTGCTAGTGACGGGCTTGTTCTAGAAGTGGAAATCGGACAGATTGAGTCGGAATTAATTCTTTCAGAAAATTCATTTTTTTTTTAATCAGAATAGACGAATTTGGGAAAATATTCCAATTTCCTCTCATTTAATTCATATGCAATATGATATAGCTATTAGGGTTTTTTAATTGGCCCACCAATTATTCTTTATATTGGGTTATTAAAGATGGCCTAAAAACACGTGAACCTATAATTAAGTAAGCCAATGGGTCAATTTTATTACTGTCTCCGTTCTTAAATAATTGTCATCTTTCACTTTTCACAAAGATTAAGAAACTCAATAAGTATATCTTGATTTTAGAAAAATTATATAAAATTACTAAAACAACCTTCAATATTTAATGATTTATAAGAGAAAATTAATGAATAGGGTTTCATTAATAAGGTTAAAATAGGAAAAATGCATTTAATGCAGTATTGAAAATCTAAAGTGGCAGATAATATGAAACAAAAATATTTTTAAAAAAAGATAGTTATTGTGGAACAGAGGGAGTAGCTTATAAGCACATTAGTTTCCTTAATCCTATTTAGAATTCCTAATCTAACAAGAATTTTACTAATTTAAATATAAATATAATCTCTATAAGTCATGACTCAATTTTACAAGCTACATGCTAGTACTTGAATTTCCTAGAAGTGTTATTGACAATAACTATGATTCAATGCAAATACTCGGTACGACGTATAACTTTTTACAAGCTATATACATATATATCATTGATTGTTTTATTGCGTGTTACACCTATTTCTTGGAATATTAAATAAGCCATGTCCTACATTAGATAACGACTAAGGTTATACAAGTGGTATCAAAGTCATGGCAAATCTTTAAAATGTGGTGAAAATTGTCGGAAATTCTTGGTGTCGAACAAATATGGTGAATTCTCGGTGCGCAAATAGTAGATGACTCGAAGAGCTTTAGATGGAAGGCTTAGTGTTCCTTTGTTCGAGGTTCAATGCACCGAACAAAGAAGGTGTGAGTCCCAGAATGCAAATTGAGTGGAGGCTTCGGATGCCCTTTGTTCGAGGGGAGGATTGTTGAGGTTCAAACCGAGTCTCACATCAATTTAATATGTGAAAGGTTAATCCTTTATAATAAGGGGTTAATAATTCTATTGGTACGAAACAAAACCCAACAGCAAAACTAATTGAGTTTGATTCATATTAAACAATATTATACTATTGTGGAGTTTGTGTTATCCAATAAGTAGCAAACACAAATAAACTCCAAAAAGAGGATTTGCCTACAATTTGATTTTCCTATCATGTGTGAGTTGAAAAACAAAATATAGTTATTTTGGTAATAGACATCGTAATAAATAAATATATATAAATTTATAAATGAATTAATATAATACTAATGTTAATTTTCAGTGGAAAAAACTCATAAATAAATCTTAGTCTGTGATCAGTATTAAATATATGAAAATCTGGACATAAAAAGTAGCAGTGGTAATAGAAGAAGGCCTAAAGCATATCTAAAAAGAATAATTGCAACGCAGGCCCTTAGATTTTCCGGGATGTGTAAAATCTGATTTCGGATTTTCCTTTTTTTCCCTTTTGCCTGATCAAATCAAATATTGGATATTGTCATTTAATTAATCTATCACAAAATACAAAATCAGGAATATAGTAATTACATCTCAAGCCACTAAACAATTACAATTTAACCTTTTTAATCTAGCTTTCTTATTGGTCCAAAACAAAAGAGCACTCATATATTTTAATTTGACTTAGAAAAAGTCCGAAGAGAAGCACAATTGCTCAAGTCAAGTCGGTCATCACTCACCTCTCTCTCTCTAGATATCTCTTTCTCTCACACACACATACACACACTTTCTCTCTCACACACAAACACACACGCAACTCACCTGGCCGCCATTAGCACCTCAATTTCCGGACTCCCACTCATATTTGTACTAAAATTATTCCTTTTTTTTTCTTTTTTTTTTTCTCTTTAATTGTTTCAATAAACTAAAAGAAATTTTATAATTTATTATTTAATGATTTAAATAATAAAACTTTTCCTATTTATAATCCAATACTACTTTCTTCACCAATCAGTACACTATATATTTCCACACAGTCAGTATAATAAAAAATTAATAAACCCAATTCTAAAAGCTCATCCCATATTCCAATTCTCTCTCTCTCTCTAGAATTTTTATGGCTGTTGATCGGTCTCTGAATTCTGCGGCGCCCCTCAAAAAACCCCGCCGTTTTGACTCTGTTGATCAACCTAGGGGCGGCGGCGGCGGTGGCGTGGTCGTCGTCGGCAAGTGGAAGAAATTATCCAGACGCTCGGGGCGAACCAGGCGGAGGCTCCCCCCGGAAGGAAACGAGCGTTTCGCTGCCTTCCTCCTCAGGCTCGCCAGAAGCGGCTGCGGTCCTCCCCCCGCCGCCGCCGCTAATCACTCCACCGGAGAAGCGGAACCGAGTGGTAACAAGCCCGCCGCCGCCGGTCCGTCAACCGGAAAGAGCGGTAATAACCCTGTTTCTCCCGTAATAACCACCACCACCTCCGCCGCCGCTCCAGCCGATCATTCCGACGTCAAGATATCTAAAGAATCAGTCCCTACTACGCCGCCGGCCGCGGCCAGATCATTCGGCTGCAGCGAATGCGGTAAGGGTTTCAGTTCATACCAAGCCCTCGGCGGCCACAAAACCAGCCACCGCCTCAAGCTCCCAATCGCCGCCGCAATCGACGGAGACGACGACAGAACCCCCTACGCCGCCGTCATCCCCGCCGCCAAACCGAGTGGCAAGCTTCACGAGTGCGACGTCTGCCACAAATCCTTCGACTCCGGCCAGGCTCTCGGCGGCCATAAGCGCAGGCACTACGAAGGCGTCATCGGCGGCGGATCCACAAAGAACCGGAAAACCTCCTCCAACGGCGGCGCAACCAGCAGCAACCAGATGCCAGCCGCCCCCGCCGCCGTGATCTGGGATTTTGACTTGAACCTGCCGCCGCCTGATGATCTAGAAGTGGAAAGTGCTCCGCCGCCTTTAATTTATTCCTATGAACACTACTTTTAGAACCTTCTTTTTCGATTATATCATTAAAATATTTTTTTCTGGAGAAATATTTTTTTTTTTTCCAAATTACTTAATTAGGGTTTATGTATACTCTAATTTTTATTTATTCAATGCATCTTTTTTTAGTGCCAATTCTCGTAATTCTTTTATCGTTCTTGAATTGATCGTCACAAATTTTGCAGTTGCTAATCGTTTTCTTGAATGTAATTTGTTGATTCAAAAATCAGATTATTCATTGATATATAAATAAATTACATAAAAGACAGTGTGCATAGAAAGTGGCAAAAAAAACATATATATATATATATATATATATATATATATATATATATATATATATATATATATATATATATATATATATATATATATATTCAATATAAATTCATATAATATTTTGTTGATCATAGTGAAATTCATCATTATATATTCACTATAAATTTTCACAAAATTACAAATATAGATATAAATTGGATAGTTCCAGCATAAGTATATGGTGTTATTAAAATTGTTAGAGTAAATTACAACTACCATTCACTTAAGGTCAAATTACGAAAAAAAATCCTAATTGTTAGGGGAATTATAGTCACTGTCTTCAATTATGAATCTTCTTACACGTTCACCCTTGTGGTTACAAAGTTAGTGAAATCTTCTAGATAATGTAAAATAAGATGTGTATCTTGACTTGTAAATATCAGATATCGTATCAGAAACTGCATTTTTTGCACAAAATTAATACAAACTAGAGAAATATTCCATGAAATCCAAAAAAATTTGTTGAATTTTCATCTTAAGGGTGGTTGTGAAATAAAATTCATAGAGAATAGAATGGTTATAATTCAAAAGGGATTTTTTCATAATTTAACAAGTGGCCATAATTTACCATATTTGTTAACTATATATAACTTGGGCACTAATTAAAGACTATACCGGACATGAATCTTAACTAAAGTCGTTACGCGTTGTTTCAGCTTTGTACTAAATATAATTAGTTTGTTTAATATTTGTTTATTAAATTCCTTCAAGTTTGAAAATTGAAAGTGTGAGATTAATTGTGAATGACACGTGGAACAGGAGTTTGCCAGGTAAGAATGACGAATCTTTCCTTACCCTAATGAGTTGTACTTTAGGATATTGAGGAGATCAATCAAATCCTGTCTTTGCGTGGATTGGTCAATTTTTTTTTTTTTTTTCTTTTTAATGCTTTATGCGCAAGTAACAATATATAATAATTCAAAATCTTTGAACAAGTGAAGTGGAATTTGTGTAGAAATTGCTAGAAATATGTCGTATATAATTTTAGGGTAAATTACAAATACCCTGGATAAAAATCTATTAACGAAAAAATCCATCAATTTTTCATAATTACATCCACCCACCGCAATTTCTTCTTACATCAACATTCTTTTATAGGGGGTGTATGTAAGAAATTCACAAACTGGAAAGAGCTAGATGTAGTTTCTAAAAAATGATGGATTTTTTCGTAAATAGACTTTACCGCAGAGATGTGGTTGTAGTTTACCCTATAATTTTATTACAATATCAACTTCTTCTTTTATTAAAATTCATTGAGAGTAATAGCGGTGCATCTTGTCGTTCGCTATCCGTATGGTTTACAAATTAACAAATTCCAACTCATGAAGCCATTTTTTTTCAACCCGGCTCATTCCTATTTATGTCTAAAGTCAACGCTCAGAAATCCACTTTATCAGCACACCAATTTAGTATTGGCACAAAGCCCTAGCAAACGAAAGCTCTAGATCTACCCCTAACTCGCATAGTCGACTCACAAGTACTCAATCAAGAATCAACTCACTCGAAAGACCGATTTTTACAAGTTCAGTCAATTTTGATCATTCGATTTTCACAAGTGCAGTGTTATATTTTGTTTAAATTATTTTCAAAGTTTAATCGAATTGATAAAATGATGCATTAAATAAACCTTCATCTTACAGATAAAATTTATATGTATTAGTTAATAGTTATTTGGTTTTATTTTAACCAAAACCAAACGTTTATTTCTTATTTTAATTGGCTAAATAACAAGGGATTATTTTGTATCTACAAATTATGTCTAATAAATCGGGCTAAATTAGATGGGCTTTTTGTAGCATTAACAAGCCCATTTAAATGGGCTGAATTATTCGAACCTTCAATACATGGGCCGGAAACACTCTCTTGAGGCCCAACTATTTTAATTATGAAATTTATTCTAATATCTAAAGATCTACTCCCTCCGTTCCTAAATAGATGTCGTTTTTCACCTTGGCACAAATCTTAAGAAATTCAATAAATATGTTTTGAGTTTAGGATATATATATTGATGGACCAAAATATCCTTGTTTATTAATTAATGCAGGAAGAGTGCTGCAGAGTTAATAAGGGTAAAATTGAAAATAAGCAATTAATGCAGCATTGGAATTGTAAAGTTACAGATAATATGAAACAAAATAAATTCTCAAAAGAGACAAATATTATGGAACAGATGGAGTATTATAATTCCTATTGAACTTTATGCTAATTAAATTTTAAACTACATTTATGTAAGAAATGCATTAATTGGTTAATTAATAATTATGTTAATGTTATTCCCTCATAATCACTTTGCAAAACAATTTAGATACATTGTACATTAAAAAAAAAAAAATAATAATAATAATAATTATTTTTTCAGTATTAATTCGGTGGTTTTCTTAACAATTATTAAATATTGCATTATTTCTTACTCTCCAAATTAAATAAAAAAGAAATACGCAAAAGTCTGGACAAAAGTCAAGAGACAGGCTGCCTATGAATATCCCACATGCTCCTCAAAAGAAAAAAGGGTTATTTGCATGTGAGGACAACGTATTAGTTATCTTGACAATTAATTAACATATTTAATATCTAACCCTTATATAATATAATAATTGTTTACCTGCCCCATATTTTCCCCCAAGTCTCCCAATCAAGTACTTTCTTTCATGTTTCATCCCCTCAATTTAAGTTGGATAATTTATTTTATTTATATATAATATGCCCTCATTTCACACTACAATTATACTTAGTGTCCAATACATGACTAAACATTCTGATTTTTTCCTTTTTAGCGCATTATTACATTAGTTTATATTTTTATTCACATTCTATATTGTTTTCTAAAATGTATTACATATAATTATTAGTCTTACTAATTATCTATGCACCAATAAAAACCGAAATTTACATAAATAAATATTCACTAAGCACACGTACATATGAATGTGTATATTATTATATGTAGATAGTATATTTGACGACCAGATGTAGATTCTACAGAATCGAAGCACATGTTATATATTCATGAAATCAATAGTGGGTAATTAAATAATATATTTAAATTGAATTATAAAGTCGGCAGTCAATTTTGAGCAACTCAAAAGTTGACGAGCAAATTAATTAGTAGGTAGCATGGAGGAATATATTTATAATATATACATATATATATATAAAAATATAGTAGTTACATATATACACCGAAGAAGAATAAGCATTTTAATATAAATTACACAGAGAATAATTTGACAATCACTTTCCACCTTTTTATTAAAATAAATTGCAAATTGCAATTACATAATAACGAAACAAATTAAATCTTTATTCTTTGCAACAAATGAAACAATCTTAAATAAAAATAAATAATTAAAAGAAAAAATACACATGCAGCCAAGAACACACACATTCACACACTTGAAATATTTAAAAGTAACGGCATAATATAATATCACACTGTAGCCCACCACTGTACGCTTTTGACTGTAATTATTGGAGTTTAGTGGGCCACCCCCACCGCCGCCTGCTCCACCTACTGAACTTTTCCAACTCAGTAGGGATGTCCGGCGCCGCCAGCTCCGGCAGGCGGCGGGGCACCTTCAGGCTCACAAGCTGGTGCCATGATAGGCTTCTTCTTCTTCTTGGCCAAGCAAAACAGGCCGACGGCGAGGAACGCTAGGAAGAAAGCGCCGCCTAATGAAACGCAGACTGCGATTATGGTGGTGTGGTTGTGTCCTCCGCCTCCGCCGCCGCCGCCGCCGCCTCCGGGGGTGGGTGGAACAAGCTCGTATGTTGGTGGGGAGTACGGGGTGAGTGGGCCGGGGGCGTATGGTGAGCCTGGGGTATATGGGTAATTCGGTGATGGACCTGCCGGCGTGTATGGATAGTACGGCGGGTACGCCGGCGAACCCGGCTTTGTCGGAGGGTACGCCGGGGAACCCGGCTTTGTCGGTGGGTGTGGGTACTTCGGCGGGTAAGAAGGTGTTGATGGCTTCGGCGGTTTGGCACTGGGTTTTGGCGCCGGCGCCGGAGTTTTCGGTGGGTAGGATGGTGTTTTGGGAGGGTACGCCGGCGTCTTCGGCGGCAAGGCGGGTTTGGGTGGGTAGTGGGGTGGCTGAGAAGTGGGTGGCGATGATGGTGGACTGCCGCCAGTCGGAGTTGGTGGGTAGTAACTACCGCAGTGCTTTTTGCCGTAGCAAGGTGGCGGCGGGGAAACAGGTGGGGGTGGTGGGGGGTTGCATGGAGGTGGTGGCGGCGGCGGCGACGGTGGTGGTGGAGGAGGGTTGCATGGAGGTGGCGGTGGAGGAGGAGATGGTGGCGGCGGCGGAGGAGAAGAGTATGAATAAGCTAGCTTAATGCTTTTGCGAGGCATTGTTTGCACTAGTGATTAATCTTTGATAATAATAATCTGAGATTAATCACTTTTTTTAAGCTGTTGGCTACTGCACTTGATAATGAATGATAATGGGGTATATATATAGACCTAAACCACTACCTAGCTTAAAAGTTGAAATTAATTAAATTAAAGTTGCTTATGTTTTTTTTTTTTTTTTTTTTTTTTTTTGGCGCCAAGTGGTAAATATTTATTTAATTAAGACAAGAGGGCATCCTATTTTTTCATTGTTTCCCCACTACAAAATATATGATTCAATGATCTGTATTTCACTTTCAAATATTAATTAATTAATTAAATCGGTGAATTGATATTTTTAATAAGGTGATTATCGTATAACTTGGACCGGGACAGCGCTAATTAATCTATTTAGGGCTTGTTCGGTTACCTATATTGGATTAGATTGGATTACATGTTATTAGATTAACTCCATACTGACTAATTAATTATTTAGTTAGTAGCACCTTCGGTTTCTTAGATTAGATTTTCTATTAAATATTGTTAAAATCGGTTATTATATATGAATTGTCGATAAAACCACTTAGTTTATAATAATAAAATATGATTTTAAGAATAAAATTGTATTTTCCCTTTTTAGTCACCCCTATAAAATTAATCTCAGGGGATGTGGTGCTACTAATTTAATGAATTAGTAGCATTTGATAGCGGAGTTTCATTTAAGTAGCATGTTTGTAAAAGTGTGAATCTTGCCAACCGGATATAATATTAGCCCCTACTATTTAGTCAATAGAACCTTATACCGGTAATCGAACGAGCCCTTAGGAATTAGAACCCTTAGGAATTAAATATTTGTTGGTCATTAGGGTACGCTAGGTTTTTTTTTTTTTTTTAATTAATTAATTTGGGGTGACATAATCCACGTGGCTAAATAAATTGGGTAGATGGGGTTCATTCCAATTTCAAGTACCTGTCAGTCAAATATATGGGACTTAATATTGGATTATCCAGATATTTACTCATTGAAAATAAGAAAATAAATTGAATTGCGTGGAAGATTCATCCATATGTTGTCCCCCACTCAGTAGTTTTTGACTGCTGGTGGCTTCATTAATTAAACTTTTTATTAATTTTAACACTTTTTTTTAATTAAAATTACTAAAATACATTAAAATAAATAAATAATGAATTTATTATTTAATGTCAATTCTTTGTGGGTGTAACTTTCCGAATCAGTTTTGACATTTACCTAATTTTAAATTTGGATAACGTGAGATGAGAAATAACCTTAACAAAGAAAATTCCAGTATGTTAAATCTTATGTATATTGTATTACTATATATATATATATATATATATATATATATATATGTGGTGTTCATATTTTTCTTAATATCTGACGTGTCATTGTCTATAACCAAGACAAAATCGAACAAATAGATGTCATATGACTTAATTTGATTCTCCAATCCTATAACCCTAAAGAGTTAAAAACAAAAAGTGTTGTTTATATATATTATATTACTGTGTAAAGAGATAATTCTGAGCAATATCAGCAATTTAATATAGATTATAGACTATTAAATACATGAGCTGATTTTATTTTAATGTGTGCAATGAAAAATGAAACATATATTCTTAGCATAATTAATTTTAACATGCATTAGAATCTTGATAAATTATCTCTTAAATAATAACTTTTCTCGATTCCAAACTCGGTGAATAACTATCAAATTATTAATAGTTCGATAATATAGTATTTCACTAATATTAATAGAATTTTACTAGTTATAATTGTATCAATTTATAAATTCTTTCTAATTCGAGCTAGATAAACCAAGTTTAAAGCATACTTTTATTAATGGTTAAAAAATTTCAAAATTCCGCAAAGAATATATTCGCTGTTGTACTAAGATATGCATTTTAATTATCTTATTAATTAAGAAAAAAATAACGTCATTAATAAGATAATTAATGATTAAACATTAATGATAGAGGTAGATGCAAATTGAATTACGTCACCAATTATAGGCGCAGCCCCTGTGGATGGGCCATGTGTTAATGGTGTCTATTACTCAGTCAACCACTCTTGGCATTAATCATTTTGGATATATTAGCCCAATTAAGTTTGCTTTAATTAGCATAAATTCCATATAATGCACTGTTTTAATTTGAATTTATAAAATTAGGAGTAATTGATTTGGATTTTTTTTTTCATTTGATAAATTAAGACTAAATAACTTACAGACCCACGTGGGATTGCTAATTACCAATATCCCCTAAATTATTTCTCCATCTTACAGTTACACCCATACGGCCTTATGAGTAACGGAATCTTAAAGATTCTATGGAATATTTGTTATAAACTTCACAAATCTACCCCAAGAGGTAAATGTAATACACCCACGGGATTACTGTAATATTTATTTATTACCTCAGGGGTATACCCGTAATTTACCCATAATTTACTTGTTTAATAACAGAGTAATTTAGATTATTCTTCATTCCGTTAGGTTTATAACGGGGTATTAGTTTTAATGAGGTATTCGCAATTATATATAACACATGAATTTGTAAGTTATGTAGTCTTAAAGCAGAGGGTATTCGTAATTTACCATTTTTTTTTATTTTTCATTCCCTATAGCATATAGTAATTGTAAAATAATGTGTGTAAATAAAGTATACATCGTTGCTTCGACGGTCTATGAGATGCTACACCTTAGGAAAAATATCGAAGGATTTTGCACTATAGATCTATACAAATAGCTGCTACCTATTAAATACATATATTTAGAATCATTCGATGTATATACAAAATCTTATTTCGACCGAGGGCAAAGTGATATGAACGAGTAGAATTTTCGTTTCCAAACTTAATAGATTAGCAATATCTTTCTACCATAAAATTAAATAAAAAGGTTCCAATTTATATAGTCCGGATATAAAAATAAAATTAATCCAAAGAATTTTGTTGTGACAATGGAGCACATGTAAATTTCGTGAATTTGCAGATATATTGTGTACTTATCACGTTTAAATTTTAATAAAAGACCCAAGTTATAAGTCAAATAATGAAATTGCATTAAATAAATAAGTTGACAGCCAAAAATGACAAAGTTTCCATTTCTGGAAAAACACGCTACACATACTTTCGTCTTTGAGAACTGGAAATTAAGCAACGAATCTTTCCACCTATGCCCTGTAATAACAAACACGTCTTGTCTTTTTACTTATTTATCGATAACAAAATTTGTAAAATTTATTTTTTATTAAATTAATAAAAAAAATATACACATAAAACAATAAAAATATGCAACAACTTCAATTATAAAAAATATTATTCGCAAATTTAAGGATAACTTAGAAAATATTTAGACAGAAAATCGGTATAGTGGGTAAATAAACGGTACATAAATGATAAATTAAAGTGGCAATGAGCAAAATGTGTATGATATGCATAATTGGGCCAACCCAATGGGCCTACAAATTACTTACCTACTGGGCCACGAGCCCAATATCGAAGACCACTATCACCGAGACCCAATCACCTTCAACTAAGGTTTGGGCCCGACAATCTCAACTAAACTATAAATAAAGGTTTGAATTCATTCCTTAAGGTACTTCATATTAACTGAGCAATACTATCAACTGTATTCTCTGGATCATTTCTATGATCAGCACGTCTGACTTGAGCGTCGGAGGGGTTTCCGCCGGATCAACCCCCGGCTTAGTTCATGTGTTCTATGATCGCAGGTACCTCAGGATCATCAAGTTGTCAAGCTACTGATCTGCTTTGCTCTCCCAGTTCGTTTTCTACACCACCCTAGGTGAGCTACATATTTTAGCATCATCATTTTGGCGCCGTCTGTGGGAACGATGCAAACCAGATCATGTAGCCAACAAGATCCTCCTGAGGCGTCTGCTCGGAGAGAAAATGACACAGCTAACGACCTCCCACCTCGTGGAGGCTCTGGCTTGCCACCTCCTCCACGTCCCATGGATCCGCCTCGCGAGGTTCAGGTGATCCCCCCTCGGGACCCACCACTCGCCGATCCACCACTCCCTGCTCCTCGAATGGTTCAAATAACCGAGGATGCGCTTCAACGCATGATAGCAGAAGCTTCAACTCGCGCTGCCACAGAGGCTGTGACCCAATATATCGCCACGATGGGAGCAAATGCTCCCAACGCGATACCAGCACCTGCTCCACATGTGGAGCCACCTATGGCACCACCGCCATCGACTCCCTGGGGGCTTACATTTGCCCCCAAAATATTTCGCTCGCCAAGGGTTATCGACTCCCTGGGAGCTTACATCGCCCCCAAAATATTTCGTTCGCCAAGGGTTATCGACTCCCTGGGGGCTTACATCTGCCCCCAAAATATTTCGTTCGCCAAGGGTTATCGACTCCCTGGGGGTTCACAGTGCCCCCAAAACATTTCATTCGCCATGGGTCATCGACTCTCTGGGGGTCTACCTCCGCCCCCCTCGAACGGTTCAGATAACCGAAGAGGACCTTCAGCATATGATCGCCAAACCTTCAACAAGATCAACTTCTACTTGCTCCTCTAACGGTTCAGATAACCGATAAGGACCTTCAGCGTAAAATCGCGGAAGCTTCAATTTGTGCTACCACTGAAGCAGTGGCACCATACATCGTCATAGCAGGAGCCAACGCTCCTCCTCGTGAGGCCCCACTGGGTCCTCAACATGATCAATTTCTACTTACTTCTCGAACGGTTCAGATAACCGAAGAAGACCTTCAGCGTATGATCACGGAAGATTCAACTCGTGCTGCCACTGAATCAGTGGCACCATATATCGCCGAGGTTGGGCATCTCACCCCAGTGGTTCGTGATCGCCTCATCCTAAATGGGGGGTTATCACATCCTAAAGTTGGGCATCTCATCTCAAGAGTGGTACATTCACTTACCTTTCAACCCCAAGGGGTTTCACATCCCATCAAGTGTTTCACGTCCTTACTTCAAAAACAGAAAAAAAGGGTCTGACGCGCACGCGCGAACCAATGGCACAACCGTGCGCATCCACCTCAGACCATAGGTCTCGAGCGTCTCATCCTACAGTGGGCAGTTATCCCCATCCTAAGGTTGGGCATCACCCTTACCTTTCAACCCTAAGTGGGTTCACATCACATCTCAAGAGACGAGTATAATTTCCCTACTCAAAAAATAGAACATCCCCAAGGGGGCGCACATCCCATCTCAAGGAACGAGGATAATCTCCCTACTCAAAAAATATAACAGCCCCAAGGGGGTGCACATCCCATCTCAAAGAACGAGGATAATCTCCCTACTCAAAAAATAGAACATCCCCAAAGGGGTGAATATCAACCAAATATAGAAAAAAAAAAGAGAAGAAGAAAGAAGCAAAAATAAGAAGATGAAAAAAAAGAAGAAGAAAAAAGAAGAAGATGAAAAAACAGATGAGAAGAAAGAAAAATAAAAAATAAAAAATAAAAAAATTTAGCCAAACCGCGCACCCCCCCGAGCCGGCCAAGCCGCCGCGCGCGCGCCCCGAGACGCAAAAAAAAAAAAAAAAACAGGAGGAAGCGCGCGTGGCGCCCACGCGCTGACGCGCGCGCGCGTCAGCAAAAAAAAAAAAAAAAAAAAAAAAAAAAAGGGAGGAGCAAGCGCGCATGCACCGCACGCGCGCGTCAGCGAAACAGAAGAAAAAAAAAAAAAAAAAAAAAACCAGGAGGAAGCGCGCGTGCACAGCACGCGCGTCGGCAAAAAGAAAAAAAAAATGTTAGAGCGCGCACATGCACGCGCGCGCGCTTTCCAAGTGCCCTTGGACAGCGCGCTCCTATCGCGTGCAACTTTGCCTACTTTTTGCCAAATTGCGCATAGATTTTGACTCGCTTCTCGCCAATTCACGCACGCTCTCAACGGATAAATAAAAAATATTTTGTCTCCACGCCACGCCAACGATTAAAGAAACACTACAACACCGATCTACTCTCGACACGATCCGGTACCCTTTTCGACGTGGCTCCCACATCGTCTCGAGAGTGGGGGGCTTGCGAGATAACTCCCACGAGGAGACCACTCGCTCTGTCCTATAACCCGTTGCGAGGTAACTACCACGAGGAGCCAACTCCCTCGGGTCTCATAACCACAGCGAGATAACTCCCACGAGGAGACCACTCGCTCCATCCTACGACCCTCAGCGAGGCAACTCTCACGAGGAGCCAACTCGCTCGGTACTACGACCCGCAGCGAGGCAACTCTCCCACGAGGAGCCAACTCGCTCGGTACTACGAACCCGCAGCGAGACAACTCCCACGAGGAGCCAACTCGCTCGGTACCACAACCCGCAGCGAGACAACTCCCACGAGGAGCCAACTCGCTCGACTACAAATCCGTTGCAAGGCAACTCCCATGAGGAAACAACTCGCCCGAAATACACTATATAATCGCAAGCTCAAGTTAGCACAATTACAACCCTAGAAGCACTTAGAGATATTATGAGAATCTATATAGCCTGGCCAGCTTGATTACTCAAATTTATCTATTTGTTTTCGATGGGTCATTCATTAAAACGTGGCCACGGTCCAAACATACTTAAGACCCACGAGGTCTAACAAGGGGCACGACCCCCATAAAAAAAAATCTTGAGAGTCTGATCCCATACTCAAGTACATCACGCACAAGGCTATATGTAAACACATATAAGCAACACGTCAAAACATTGACAATGTCGAAAAATAACAACTCCCACGAGGAGAATACTAGCTCCGTGCTACTACATTATCGTGAGACAATTTCCACGAGGACATAACTCGATCAACTCTATTACCCCAGAGACAACTCCCACGAGGAGATTACTTGATCCGTGCTACTACATTATCGTGAGACAACTCCCACGAGGAGATAACTCGATCAACACTATTACCCCGCGACGAGACAACTCCCACGGGGAGATAATTCGCTACTACATCGTCGCGGGACAAAACTGACGACTCAATTAACTTACATCGCGACAACTTGGTCGCGCTATGCACCAATGCGCATTCACGCCCCTCCGACACACGCTCCGATGCGTTTTCGCACACCATTAAGCCATACGCCAACGATCGACTTCTACAAATTTTACTCTCGACACGATCTGACACCCATTTCAACATGGCCCCCACATCGAATCGAGAGTGGGGGGCTTAATGATATGCATAATTGGGCCAACCCAATGGGCCTACAAATTACTTACCTACTGGGCCACGAGCCCAATATCGAAGACCACTATCACTGAGGCCCAATCACCTTCAACTAAGGTTTGGGCCCGACAATCTCAACTAAACTATAAATAAAGGTTTGAATTCATTCCTTAAGGTACGTCCTATTAACTGAGCAATACTATCAACTGTATTCTCTGGATCATTTCTATGATCAGCACGTCTGACTTGAGCGTCGGAGGGGTTTCCGCCGGATCAACCCCCGGCTTAGTTCATGTGTTCTATGATCGCAGGTACCTCAGGATCATCAAGTTGTTAAGCTACTGATCTGCTTTGCTCTCCCAGTTCGTTTTCTACACCACCCTAGGTGAGCTACATATTAGCATCATCAGTGTATCTACGAGCCAATTTGTAAATTGTCAAATTTAATTTTATATAATACATTAATAAAATGAAAAAGAAAAATATTTAAACGTGTATTTATAATGGGCTTGAGTTGCTTATTTTGTGAAAGCCCATTTTATTCTTGGGACCAAAGGATTTTTTGGTGCTCGTGGGCCGGGCCATAGCAATGTATGTAGCGGGCTCAATTTTTAGTGATAATAATCCGCTCAAGGGTAATATCGTCTTTCCAATATATCCGATCTCTCGCCTATATATACCCCCAACTACAAATTTCTAGGGTATAAAAACCCCCCAATCCTTCTCCCTCCCTCTTTCTCTCTCTAACCTCTCTCTCTATCTCTGCAATTCCCATCGACGAAATCGACAGAACTCCTCTAAATTCTCGAATCTCGATAAATAATTAACCGATCAAACTCGCCGTAAACTAATCTCCGTATGTTTAATCTTTGAATTGTTCTGTATTAATTGATTTTGATTTTTGAATAAATTAGTTAATTTCGGCGGTGTTGATTTTGTGCAGGTAAGGAAAAAAAGATGGCGACTTTAGAGATGTACAGGTCATCAACGATCGGAATCTGCTTGTCGGAAACACTGGATACGATGGTCGGTGATGGAATCCTCAGCCCTGAACTCGCCTATCAAGTTCTTATTCAGTTCGACAAGGTTATCTCCTTTATTTTGATTATTTTTTATTAAATTAATTTGTAATCAGGGGGATTGTTAATACTTAATAATTAATATTGTGATTTAAAAAAAAAATTGAAGATGAAAAGTAAAATTAATGAATATCAATGTCACCGACATGTTTGTTTTTTTTCCTAACAAAATCAAGTACATGAAATAGTTGAATGTAGATGTCTTAACTCTAAAGTTCCGAACGATCTCTTTAAACTGTCCTCGAACGTGTTTTTCTCGATTTTTAAAAAAAATATATGCTATACTGTATTTTAATTGTTTTGCTTACGTAAATTGCAGTCAATTGTCGAAGCTTTGGGAAGTCAGGTGAATACGAAGGTGTCGTTTAAGGTAAATTTTTATTATATTTTTCAATTTAGGGAAAATTATCTTGTTTAATTTTTCGATTGATTTGCGGTTAAAATTGGCTTGTGGAGTTTCGAAATCGGTACGTTTCTCGAAATTTGACGCTTAAAAGGATCAAAGCGAAGTAACAAATCGTATATAGCATATCTCAACACTATAATAGCAAAACATAAAAAAGCAGACAACTACCGATAAAATGTCGAAATCGGGGCATGGTAAAAATTTTGTGTTTGGGAATAATTTTGAATCCGATATTACTAATACCAAGCAACAGTTTTTTTTTCCGATGGTTTCGTTTTACTGAGTATGGTTTTAATATTCATTCTTTTTTGGTTTTTGAATAACACCATGTTTGGGTGCAGGGACTAATTCGCTACTACAATAACGTAGAAGGTGTATGGATCTTCGATTTACGGAAAGCTCAGGTTAAAATCGATCAAGGCCCAAAAATTGTTACGTCGGTCAAGGTTGTCGTCTGTGACTCAAAGTTACTAACTCAATGAAACAGGTGAATTACTTTTTATATATTTATATACAATATACGTATATTTTTTTATATGCCAACTAATACTCGGAGAGAAAAATGCTTCAAAGGAAGAGAGGAAGTGATCGAATCGGGAGTTATGTTCGGTAGTATTAGACGGCCGAGGAGGGATTTTACGATTTTATAAGCTTTTCGATCATATACTATACTATATTTTGAAATAATTTAGTTGAGTATATATTTTTTGATATTCTTCTTTTATACAAAAGTCCCTTAAAAAAAGTTTTGAAATTTGTGAAAAAATATATACATACTACCTTAAAAGCATTTTGAATTTCTTACAATATTCAGAAAATAAACCTTTATATTTGTGTGTGTATATATATATTTATTTATAGACTTGCAGCACAAATTAGGTTTGGTGGGGGGTAGGGGGTAGCTTTTATTGGATTAAGGTACAAATGTTAAAGTAACAAAAAAGTAAAATGATGACGGTAATGAATTTATTTTCTGGTTTTCTGCTTTAAACAGAGGTTTAATTAATATTACTATAGGCTGATCATATAGCCTTTTTATTAAATGTCTCTGAATTTCAGCTACAATAAATCAATTTTTTTAATTTTTTATTTCTCTATGCCAGCCTGTTTTATGTCGTAAGCTTCCAAAAAATAAAATAAAAAAGGGGTTAAAAATTAAAACAATCATTGCAGAAAAGAAACATGAATATGATAAATAAAATATTGTGTAAATTAAGGCCGCCCTAAGATAACATAAAATAACGAAATACCCTTCATATTTCGATAATTATAACCATTTTTCAATTATAAATCTTCTACATATAAATACTTAGGAATGTGATAAATGTCGTTCGAATTTTAATAATACCGTTTCGACTTCAAACGTGATTTTGATCATTTTTTAATTCCAAATTTTCCAAAACTCGAAAAATAGAATTTGTAGTATTCTGAATTAGTTTTCTAATCCAACTTGAATCACTAAAATTGGATATCGGACGAGAAAGATATATACATGAATCAATGGATAATGCTCACAACTTTGATGTATTGAGGTATCTAAAATTCAAAATGTGACTCATTCATGCATAATTTTGTCACACGGCATCCAATCTAGTGGATTTAAGTTGAATTAGAAAGCTAACCCAAAAGACTACAGTTTTCGTGTTTCGAATTTTTGCCAAAATCAAAATAAAAATATGTCCGTTCGAAGTCAAAACGACATTAGTAAAATTGAAACGACATTTAACATTTCAGAAATACTTATGGTGTCAAATTTAACAGAATCTTCTAGCTTCCATGGAAGGTTTCCTAGTTTCTCGTTTGTGCAAAATGAAGTTTCAGATACACCACAATCTGATATTTATAAGTCAAAAAGACACAACTTAGGATCATCTTGTTTTAAAATATTGAATTCGAATGGGGTAAATGGGTACAAACTCGTGAATATTCAACATAATTTAGAAGATTTCACTAAATTTGTCACCGCAAAATTAACGTGTAATAAGATTCATAGCTAATGGTTCGTTTTGTAATTTAACCACCTCAGAAGCTTGGCCGTAATTTCCTCTATATTTTATTCTTACAGTTGATTGGAGTTAAATTTGTACAAAGTGAAATCTTATGATAACGTGCGCACATTAAACACCAAACAGTTGTGTTATTATAATACTAATATAAGATTAGGGTATCTTCGTATGATGATTAATTATATTTAATTAAGTAATATATTGTGATTTAAGGAAGAAGTACGTTAAGGTAATACAGATCATCTCGACAGATTATGTGCTTAATTAAATTAGAGTACGTTTTTCCCATATGTGACCATGTGCTTTGCGCTAGTTGATTAACTAAATTAACCAACTTGTTAGTGCAATAATTGAGGTCTTAAGCCAAAGATTAAAGATCCTTCATGGGAAAATTTGTTAGCTTCCCTCATTTAAAAAAATAAATAAAATAATAATAATAAAAAAAACTAAACATTTATATTCGTTTTGTTTTTGCTACAATAAGTCTCTGGCAATTCAACATTGATTATTCACAAATGAGTATTAATTAAATCATGTAGTTGGATTAAACTTATTTAATAAGCTCTAATGTATGATAAACTGCTTAAAGAGCTGATAAGCCCTGGATCGTATTATTTTTAATTTTTTTTAAAAATAATTTACCAAATATTTTAAAAGAACTTATAAGTTCTTAAACATCTTAATTATTACCTATTTTTAACAAATTATAAACTTAGCTAAACATTATTAATATACTTTATACGGTTAAAGTAAGATAAATGTGACGTAATTAGATGATACAACTGTCGGTTTATACACAATCACACGTACACCATGCATGTACTTAATGGTTGGTTATGTAATCAGATCTACAATTTAAATACTCCCGATGTAAATAATCAAGTGTAGGATCTTACTTCGTGTAAAAGTCGGAGGCAGACACAATCCTCTATAGTATATCTTTTTGTCTGAATATTTATTTCTAAAAATATAAAGTAACATGTAATTGGTCAAAGTCCAAACATAGTAGTGTCATTTATTCAATAAAAAATACAAATATGTCAATTTTCTCTTTATATATTTATAATCTTAATAATTCGATCCTCAAAATAAATAAGGTTTGAATTTGACATACTGATCCCTTGACTTTTTTTATGTCAAAGACCCCAACAATAACTCAATTTTCACACCTTTTGTTAATTAAAAAAAATTGCTTTCTTGTAATTAAAATAAATAATTATAAAAAAAGTATGCACTTTCCCATTGTATTTATGGTGCCATAATGGGTCCTGTAAATTTGACGTGGAAAGCCTACTACCAGGAAATGTGTTGAAATAATATTTTAAATAAAGTTAATATTTTTGATACTATTGTTGGAACTAGGGCTGGGCAAAAATTACCAAATACCGATTACGACGGTATACCTACCATAAATTACCAAATAAATACCTAACTATCGGTTACCACTACATTTGGTACGGTATCGGTACCGTACCATTGCCTTACGGTACGGTAGCGGTATTGTATCTTCAATACCATGGTAATACCGTACCGCAACTTTGTATTTTTAAAATTAGTTAATATATTCAACAAATATTCAACTTTGTACTTTATATTCAACTTTAGATAAAAAAAAAATATAGTCAACAAATATTATAAAGAAAATAAAAAACAAGAATAACATATGATACATCATATATATATTATATATACATAATTATAATTTTTTTATTATCTTCATTTATTTATGCAAACTCAATATTAACTCTCGTTAAAGTTGTTTATGTCACGTACTTCTTTAGTTTCAAAGTCCAATTAATCACTTATTGGTGGAATAATTTTGGCCATATTTTCTTCTCTCTTTCTTTCCCCCCTGAGTTCCCAGTCTTCTGTTTAATTTGCATTATTGCATTTTTTTTTTATTTCTCTTACTTAAACCATCAAACATTTTTGCTCATTACAAGTTTCTACAATTTTTCTATAGATATCTTAGTAAGCATTAGTTAATTAAAGCAACATATGCTACTACGGTTGTATAATGTATATTCATGTAGATTGCTTAATCGATCACCATATTCATTTGCTTAATTTGTTGTATTTATGCATTTATTTAGTATTCATCTTAATTATGATATCATCCGAGTTCATCAAAAAAATGATGTACGGTAGATTACCACGTACCGATCATACCGTACCGAAACTTACGGTATACCGAATAACGGTATACCGCAATTATTGGTACGGTAACGGTATAGAATTTTTCAATACCGAAAGATACGGTAGGTACACGGTATTGAACAAAATGTTCGGTAACCGTACCGAAACCACCCCTAGTTGGAACTTTACTTGTTTTTATCTCATATTATAATATTGTGATACTACATATTAAATGTATATATGATGTCTTTGAAATGCACAATATAATCTGACTAAAAAAATAAAAAAAATAACACAAATATACAATCAATTTAGACCATTAAATATACTGGAATATGAAATACCCACTATAGCATAAAATAAACGGTAAATTACGGCCCTCTAAGATATATTCACGAAAAATCTCTCATATTTGGATAATTATCCAAATTAAAAGGGTATATTTGCAATTTGACTTACTAGGGGTTTAATTTGCCTTAAAAATAAAAAAATGGGGTGGTCAAACCAGGAACCACCACCTTGAACTGTATATAGTACACCATCATTTATTGAAGTCTTTAATATTTGCCATTTTCCATATTTATAAATTACTATTATAACAACAAATTAAATAAATACTATAGAACAACAAATTATAACAATTGATCAAACTTGGCTTTGCTGGCAAATTCGAGCTCCTATTAAATTCTTGTGAAAAGTATTTTTGTAGCCATTTATTGCCCTAAACTGTAATTTTATCCATAATTAATTTTTATTTTAAATACTTTTTTTGTTTAATTTATGGAGAGAGAGAGAAATGGGGCAAACCACCACCCACTCAAACGTTGAATGGAGGGAGCAAGAAAGCTGTGTGTCAGTGTTTTGGCGTGCTTCACATACCAACCAAAATCTTCAATTTCCCAATTAAAACCCTAAAAACCCTAAAAAAAAATAAAAAAAAGATTGGATTTTTATTGGGTTTATCACTTTAACTTTTTTGTTTTTGCTAAGTTAAAAGGAAAAGTGGAAACTCTGGTTCGACAAGAATTGCATCATAGCTCGTTCTTGCGAAACGGTAAGCATACCATTTTTCTGCAGAACATCTAAAACATAAACCATTTTTTTAATTTTTTTTAATTTAATTCATATTCCTCTGTTTTTTTTGTATAGAACTGCGTAATATGCATGCGGGTTTCTTTTATTTTTTTCTTTTTCCAAAAGGGTGTTTGAATCTCTCTCTCTCTCTCTCTCTCTCTCTCTCTCTCTCTCTCTCTCTTGTTGAGGTGGGTTTTAGGGTTTTTGTCTGTTGACTAAAATCTTGATTTTGATTTTCTGGAGTATTGCATGATTTTTTTTACAGCACATGCTGATGTTAATTACCTTCTTTTTTATATATAAATAATCATTTTTTCAGTTGCTCTGATTTCACTTCTGTTCCTCGGATTTCGTTGGTCGCTTATGTTTGATCCTTTTTTTTTTTTTTCATTAATGGGGTTTTAGTAATTAGTACTATTTATTAATTAAATTAATATACTAACAAGTAACAAGTGATCTCTTTTTTATTGTTATTAATTAATTATTGGATTATATATTATTACAGGCTCGGCAAAATCTATACGGAGAGATGCTTATTGTCTACCGTTTTGGTGGTTGATTCAATCTGATACCCAAGATGCTGTTTTCCGTTGCAAGTTATTACACCCCACATGTTATAGAAACAAGATCTGCAAAAATAAAAATTGAATCTTTTTAACACCAACTAGGTTAAATAAACAGAGGAAAAACAGAGTGAAGAAAAGAAAAAAGATAAAAGAAATTAGAAGAGGGGGGTGGGGTGGGGTGGTGTTGGTGGGGGGTGGAGTCAGATTGGGGAATAATTTAGTGTGGTAATGTCTCCTCCGCAGTCCGTGGTCTCTTGCCGCCGACCAAGGATACACTCTCTCTCTCTCTCTCTCTCTCTAAACCATTTCTTTAAAAGCTTCAAATCTGCATAAACCCAATTCTCTCTTTCTCTCTTCTCTTCTCTCTCTCTCTTTCTCTCTCTCTCTCTCTCTCTCTCTCCATCTTTCTCTCTCATCACTAAGAAATTGCTTTTGAGTTTGTTGCTGTCAAGATTCGGTCAAACGAAGCATATATCCTTTTCACTTCTTTGAGATCTCCCTTTCTCTCTCTCTCTCTCTCTCTCTCTCTCTCTCTCTCTCTCTCTCTCTCATCTTCAAGCTCAAGAAATTACTCATTTTCATAAATTAAGAGGCCCCTTTTTCATTTCGCTGTTTTCGGGTTTTCTTCCGTTGATTCGGTGCTGTGTTGTGGAAACCCGGAAGCTCATTTGGGTGTAGTGCATTTTGCTGTGTTAAGTTTTTAGAGTGTTTTGAATCTGAGAAGAAGAAATAAAAATCAGATCTTTAAGTTGGGGGAGAATGAAGTTTATGAAGCTTGGATCCAAGCCTGATACCTTTCAGATTGATGGCAACAACATAAGGTCAGATCTTTTTTTTTTTACTAATTAATCATCTTCTAAGTGTTTTCGTTGATTAATATCTTTCAATTTTCTTTAATCCAAAAAAAAAATAAGGATAAAAAAGCTGTCTTTAACTCTGTATTTATGTTAGTTAGTGATGTTTTAGTAGTCCCCACTTTTATCCTTTGTCTCTATCATGAAGTGTCAAATCTTGAGCTGAGTTGATGTGGATGGATAGTAAAATACGAAAATCGAGAAGTTTATTTTTCATTTATTTCACTAATTATTTTGATGTTTCGTTATTTCCATCTGAGAAACAAACATTTTAACGACGATACCATCTTGATAAATGATCTTATATATTAGTATAACGAGCAGGATTTGTTGTCTTGTGATAAACTCGTTGAAGTGAATGGTCTTACTCGAAGAAACTTCTGTCCTCGGAAATTAATCGGTTTTTGTCGTTCTATCTTTTCGTGCTTACAAGCTTTTTTAGGATGAAAAATCTACCTTCCCAATTTAGCATTATATCCATCTTGTATGCAATTTCAGATAGTGTATGTTTTCGTTTTCGGAATTCACTAAACAAAAACCGTTGGGCTACTACTTTGGTTCACCCCTCAACTAAAGTTAAAAATAAGTTGTTTATTAAGTTTGTTTTTACTCCAACAGATACGTAGCTAGTGAGCTGGCAACAGATGTCGTCGTTCAAGTTGGCGATGTGAAGTTCTATCTACACAAGGTACAATGTTCTTACACACTAAAATCATTCATATCAATAATTCCATTACATCGAAATTCAAGAACCACCCTCTAAATACTATCTAATTCGCTCCCCAAAATTCAAATCTTGCAGTTTCCACTCCTCTCAAAAAGCGCCCGTCTCCAAAAACTCGTTTCTTCATCCAACGAAGGAAACTCTGACGAGATCAACATCCACGACATTCCAGGCGGGCCCACCGCCTTCGAAATATGCGCCAAATTCTGCTATGGAATGACAGTCACACTAAACGCATACAACGTAATCGCAACTCGATGCGCAGCCGAATACCTCCAAATGCACGAAGCGATCGAAAAGGGAAACCTTATTTACAAAATCGACGTTTTCCTAAACTCGAGCCTCTTCAGAAGCTGGAAGGACTCAATCATAGTCCTTCAGACATCCAAATCTTTATTACCGTTATCTGAGGAACTCAAACTCATCACCCACTGCATCGAAGCAGTCGCCTCCAGAGCCTCGGTCGATGTCTCCAAAGTTGACTGGTCATACACTTACAACCGTAAAAAGCTTGTCGAGGAAAACTTGACCGATCCTAGCTGGCATGGCGTCAGAACACGAGAGGTCCCCAGTGATTGGTGGGTTGAGGACTTGTGCGAGCTCGAAATAGACATGTACAAACGAGTTATGACAGCGATTAAGAATAAAGGGATTGTTTCGAACGAGGTCGTTGGAGAGGCTTTGAAAGCTTACGCTTACGGAAAATTGCCTGGCTCGGGGAAAAACGTGGTCCCGCAGAACGATGTGTCCAAATTTCGTTCGATTTTAGACACGATTGTGTGGCTTCTGCCTCAAGAAAAGGGTTGTGTGTCGTGTAGCTTCTTGCTCAAGTTATTGAAAGCTGCGATATCGGCTAATTCGGCGGAGAGTGTGAAAATGGAGCTCGTGAAGAGAATAGGGCAGCAATTGGAAGAGGCTTCGGTTAGTGATTTGCTTATACGAGCTTGTGATGCGGGAGTAGAAGAAGGGATGATGATGTATGATGTGAATGTGGTCAAGAAAATACTCGAGGAATTTACGATGGCTGATAAAAATGAAATTGAGGAAAACGGAGGCGAAATTAAGGAGATTAGAAGGCCTGGGATTTTGTCGGAAGCTTCTAAGCTTATGGTGGCGAAGATTGTCGACGGTTATCTTGTCGAGATTGCAAAGGATCCGAATCTTCCTCTTTCTTTGTTTATTGGTATTTCGGAGATGGTTTCGGGATTTTCTCGGCCTGCGCATGATGGTCTTTATCGAGCCATTGATACGTATCTCAAGGTAAAAACCTCATTTTCAAGATCTTTTTTTTTTCTTTCCTTTCTTCCCGTTTCTATGTTTTCGAGTAATAATTTTAATTAAACAAAAAATATGTCGACGAATCATGATTTTTTTTTTCTTTTGTTAGGAGCACCCCGGGATCGGAAAAAGCGACAGAAAGAAGATATGCAAGCTCATGGACTGCAAGAAGCTCTCAGCCGATGCGTGCATGCACGCGGTCCAAAACGAGAGGCTCCCATTACGAGTCGTGGTGCAGGTTCTCTTCTTCGAGCAGGTCCGAGCGGCCGCATCATCTGGCAGTAGCACTCCCGACCTGCCGAAAGCAATAAAAGACCTAAACAGCGGCTCGTACGGTAGCTCCAGGTCAGCAACCACCACTAACACCAATACCAATACGGACGAGGATTGGGATGCTGTGGCCTCGGCCGAAGAGCTCAGGGCGCTCAGGGGTGAGCTGGCGGCGCTACGGTTGGGGAACGAAGTTGTCGGTGGTGGAGAGAGTCGGAGTGGCAATAGTGAAAGGGGGGCTGCCGTTAGTAAAATGAAGGGGTTGATTATGTCGAGGAGAATATTCTCCAAGATCTGGTCGAACAAGGCCCCCGCTGTGGAGAATAGCGGTTCGGATTCGTCGGAGAGTTTGGGGTCGACCAATCAGGATGAAGCCAAGTGTACGCCGACGAGGAGAGGGAGGCACTCTGTTTCTTAGCATTTGGTGAAAGATTTGATTTTTATTTTTATTTTTATTTTAATGTTTTTTTTGGGTAATTTTGAAATTGAATTAGCATGTGGCTAAAGATTAGAACTTAAATCAAGAATATATAGCATATAGTCTAGAGGAGTTGATGACGTGTCACTGTTGTTGAAGAAGAAGAAAAAACTTTTGTTATGGTATTTTAGAAGTTAGTCTCTCTCTCTCTCTCTCTCTCCTCTCTCCCTCTCTGTCATCAGCACAAAATTAGGGTAAAAATCTTTTCTTTGGGAAGTCCCTTTCTGAAAGTACTTTTTATGTGATTAAAACTTAAAAGTTGCATATCTAACATTCATTTTATTCGAATATTTCAGATATTTTACAAATATAAATTGAAAATTAGAATTTGTTTGCAAACAATGCAGCTCCTAAATTGACAAATCCATTTAAATATACAAATTACAAAATAAATATGAAGAAGCTTTAAAAGAGGGAAAATTACAGTTTCACCCTGCAACTTGAACTAATTACACATTTGGTTCCTCATGTTAAAAAAAATAACATTTTTAGTTATTTCCGTCAATTTCTCATTAAAACTAACGGAATCAAGCGGGTGCACATCACTGCATTAACTAACCGACTAACGATAAATTGACATAAATGACCAAAAGTGTTAAATTATTGAAAAATGATGGACCAAATATGTTTTTTTCTGAACATGGGGGACCAAATTTGCAATTAGTTCAAACTTGCTAGGCCTAAAAGACTTGGAACAAATTAGTTATCAAAACAGAGTCCCGTTGGTTTTTGAATTTGAATTCACAGATAGCGGACACCATCACACCAATAAACCATTCTTCCTTCATCTCTGTCGTTTTTCTGTTGAAACCCTAACACTGAATCAAGGTGATAATGACGGCGGCGGCACCACCACCACCGACCGGCCGTGAGCTGTCGTCCCCTCCTACCGACGGCATTTCCAACCTCCGCTTCTCCAACCATAGCGACCACCTCCTCGTTTCCTCCTGGGACAAGGTTTTGCTTACACTGATCCCCACTTTCGTTTTATTTATTTATTTATTTATATTTGTTTTTGGTGTTTTGTAGAGTGTTCGACTGTACGACGCGAGCGCCGATAAACTGAAGGTGCAGTTCGTGCACGGAGGTGCCGTACTTGATTGTTGCTTCCACGATGATTCCTCCGGGTTCAGTGCTTCCGCTGATCACACTGTTAGAAGGTGATCCCCAATTTTTTTATTTATATATAATTGAAAATTATCATCGTAGTTAGCTGCGTAAGTTCGTTTCACAGAAGTTTCGAATGCTAATTTGTAATTTGTAATGCTTATTGAATTGGGAATTTTGTGCTTCAGGCTTGTGTTCGACTACAAAAACGAGGATATTTTGGGGAGGCATGATGCCCCTGTCCGTTGCATTGATTACTCATACGCAACCGGTCGGTTTTCCCGATTCCTAATTATCGACTTATTGATTTGCTAAATAGTGGGGATTTTTTTTTTCAACCTGTAGCATCCGTTTAAATCTAGTTTTACGTTGTTTTAGGACAAGTTATAACTGGTAGTTGGGACAAAACGTTGAAGTGTTGGGACCCTAGAGGTGCAAGCGGTAAGGAACATTGCCTTGTCGGAACGTACATGCAACCCGAGCGCGTCTATTCATTATCTCTCGCTGGCAATCGTTTGGTGGTTGCAACTGCTGGAAGACACGTAAATGTGTACGATATACGGAACATGTCTCAACCTGAACAACAAAGGGAATCTTCTCTCAAGTATCAGACAAGATGTGTCCGCTGTTATCCTAACGGAACAGGTCGTCATTTTCGTCTGACTGTCTCGGTTTTTTTTCTTTCCCTTGCGTTTTTCAGTTTGAAGTATTTTATAGGAGTTCGTCAATGGTAGATTAATAATCTTTCGAATTAAGTATACTTTTCGTTTCTCGTTATGACCATGAATTGCAGGTTATGCTCTTAGTTCTATCGAAGGTAGGGTTGCAATGGAGTATTTCGATCTCTCCGAAGCTAGTCAATCGAAAAAGTATGTATTAATTTGAACCTTGTTGTAGACTTGTAGTAACTCGTATGAACTTAGTTGTTGAAGTTAACCGTTCGTTTGTCCTGATCATGGTCTTATAATGCAGGTATGCATTTAAATGTCACAGAAAATCGGAAGGGGGAAAGGATATTGTCTACCCTGTGAATGCCATTGCATATCACCCTATGTAAGTTGTCCGATCCTATGGTGTTTGGTCTTCACCATCGTTTGAGAAAAAAGAGATTTTGATTAATATTTGTATCTTGAAAATTGTGTATGTAATGTAGCTACGGTACTTTCGCTACTGGAGGTGGTGATGGATATGTTAATGTGTGGGACGGGAGCAATAAAAAGAGGTTGTATCAGGTAAAATCAAATCTTGTTGAAATTGGGTCTCGATTTTCGATTTTTTTGCATCGTGTTTGAAATATACAGAGTTATGCTGAGTTTTTCTATCCCTCTCTCTTTCTCTCTTTTGTGATGCAACTTGGTCGATGTGAAGTATGCAAAGTTGCCGACGAGTGTTGCTTCTTTGTCATTCAGCAGAGATGGCAGACTATTGGCTGTTGCATCTAGTTATACGTACGAAGAGGGAGATAAACCGTAAGTATAATCTCTCTGCCTCTCTCTCTTTCACACGCCCCATACATCCATATCTTTAACTTGTGTTATTTTTTCAGACATGAGCCGGATGCCATATTCGTGAGAAGCGTCGGTGAAGTAGAAGTGAAGCCAAAGCCTAAAGTGCTATCAAATCCTGCTGCATAAGAATAGATTAAGACTATAAGCTACTTGTGTAATTTTTCTAAACGTGTAAAACGTACTAAGCCATCTGCAGATTCATTTGTTATATGATCATGCTCTCGTTGATTACTCTTGACTGTTGATAGTTGAAAAACATCGTAAACAACAATATTTTAAATGATTTAGTATTTAAACATTATGTAAGTCATAAATTCGAGTGCAGCTCACAATTATTATTTTTTTATTACAAAATCTATTAAACTAATTATAATATTACAAAATCTTGTCATTTTTATAAAGTTCTCATGTTCAAGATTTTCTTGGAGTCTCATATTTTCTCGGACTCCCTTTTTGATTGCGGATGTGAGTAAGACTTATTTGCGAGGAAGTAAAGAATACATCAAGTGGTATATGTTTCACTAACTCAGTAAAGAATACACTGAGTGGTATATGTTTCACTAACAGTATATGTATTGTTTCAGTTAGATTTCGGAGTGTGTAATAGATGATGTTGTCATCTAATTATTCATCGATTTTGATGGGTGGGTCCGTCAATGCATCTCTGTTGTCTGTTGGAGTCCTCAAGAGAGTTAGCATAGCCGCTAACTACTTAATAAAGAGCCATACTTGGCATTCATAGACGATATCAATGGTGAGAAATATGTCCTTATTTATACTAAGTTCACTCCATGGAGGAAAGATTAAGATGGATGATCTAATGGTGGTGAGAAATATGTCCTTATTTATACTAAGTTCAGCCATGGAGGAAAGATTAAGATCGATTTGATCCTACTAAATTATACAATGATTATCTAGATTATTCATATCTACCTATTTACAAGGGGATAAATATCCTAGAAACTTCTCCAATTTCTCCAATAATTGAAATTTTTAGCTTTGTTTAGCTAATTATTTAATCCTTACTTAATTGTGGTTTAGTAAAAACTGAAAATACGTATATCTATTGGGCCTATTAGTTGGGTTTCCTTTTTATTGAAACATAATTTATTGGGCCTAACAAGACTCAATATGGGCCTATTCTGTACTATTATGCAAATAACTGAACTTCAATTAACCCACACTACTAGTCCGGTGCACCCATCCACAGAGGATTTCATCTCTTTCTTACAGAAAAAAACGAAAGTGATACGGCCAAGAAAAAGGAAAAAAAATAAAAATGTCGATAATTAATTACACACAAATCTGATACTCCGAATTCGATCTGTTTGTGATTAATAGTACGACTGAACTTCTTTTTTTTCCCATCATTCAATCAATTTCTCTCCAATTCAGCTAAAACCCTATGAAATTAAATTTCCCCCAAAATTAACTGTTACTTTTTTCCGGCGAAGTTCGATCTCGATTTCTTTTTTTCTGTTCAGCGGCTTTTAACCCAGCCAATGCAATGGTGGTCTGTAAATGCCGCAAGGTACTGCATATAGCTACATGTAAAATTTTGGATTGATGTTTTGTTTTTTTATGTAATTGATTTGATTTCGATTATGATCCGCATTTTTCTGCAATTTTAGATCAGATCGAGCTCGGAATTCCTCAACCCTGAAAATAAAAAAATGATTAAAGAAACTATATTTCTTATTTGTGTAGGATTATTAGCACTACTTTGATTTGTGATGAGCGGAATTACTTAGAATTGGGCTTGTTTTGATTATTTTTTTTAGTGTTTTTTGATTGGTTGTACGATTTTTTATTCGGCGATGGGTAATGAATTTTCTGTATAATTTGGATTTCAGGCGACTAAGTTGTATTGCTTCGTCCACAAGGTGCCGATTTGCGGAGAATGTATATGCTTTCCGGAGCACCAAATTTGTGTGGTACGGTTTGTTGTGTGTTTCGACTGCTTAGGCATTTGTAATTCATTAATTTTTCAGAAACCGATAAATGCGAATTTGTTTTAGGTTCGAACGTATTCTGAGTGGGTGATTGATGGAGAGTACGATTGGCCTCCTAAATGCTGCAACTGCCAGGCTGTGCTTGAAGATGGGGCGGATCCTCAAACGACACGATTGGGTTGTTTGCGTATGTTTTACTGCCCACCCTGCATTTATCAAACCCTCATTTTGCTAAATTTGGATTTTTTTTTTTTTTGTCTTATTCTGCTACTACTCGTGATTCTGTTTTTGTAGATGTTATACATACTAATTGCTTAGTGTCGCACGTGAAAAGTTTTCCTCCACATACTGCTCCGGCCGGATACACCTGTCCAGCCTGTTCAACTCCGGTACGTAATCATTTGCCCATTAACATTTGCTTCAATTACTTTCTCGTGATTTAATCAAAACCTTGTTATGAAATGTAGTGTACTTCTTAATCTGCTTTGTTGTGATCCTGCACTTCTCATGCCATTGGTATCCCGGGACTTGCTAACTGGAGATTTTAAGTTTTGTAGTACTTATACACGACATTTGCTTAAGAATTTTGGTTGAAATAGGAGTCGTTTTCTTTTTCTTTTTCCTTTGCTTAACCTATTATAATCGGGATTTAGTTGAATATTTTGATGAATTTTGCTAATGATACTAGTCATGGTAATACCAAATAACCAGATTGGTATGAGATACGAGTGTTGATAGCTAATGGCATTGATGCTTCTGTGGCATCTTACAGAATTATGGAAGTATGTACCATTTTGCTTAAAACTTATCCACCTAGTCAATTTAGGCCTCGTTTGGTTGGGGGGATTAGCCATGATTAACAAAATAGTTGGACTTTGTTTGATGTTTGGTATCCCAAATAACTTGTCGGGTCGACCCGCAAATATTATGTTATCATGGCTTATCTTGCCTTTTAAGCATGTTTTTTGTTGGACCTTCCAAGTTCCAATTAAACAATTGGGTTTCATTAGATTATTTAGTGTTATCTTGGCTAATCTTATCTTGACAACCAAACGGGGCCTTAAGATACTCTAAATTGTTTGTGCTTGGTTTGCAGAAGTATTATCGGTACTTCAGAGTTTATATGAAGCATTGTTCTTTTATAAGGCTTAATCTTCGTTATAGATGAAGCATTCCATCTTTTATAAAGTATTTAAGCTCCGAAATTTATAAACCAACTCATAATATATCTTTCATGGATGTATTGGTCCAGTGCCAAGACCTTTGAATGACATTAATACCTTCGCTTATTCTTCTGGTGCATGTTTAATTCACGAGTGATTAATTTTTGCAGATATGGCCACCAAAAAGTGTCAAAGATTCAGGATCACGTCTTCATTCAAAGTTGAAAGAAGCAATAATGCAGGTAATATCTTATTCTTACTACTACAAATACAGCTAAGAGCACCTTATTTACATAATTTTGGCTATGGAAGTTGCTAAGATCATAGTGGTTTAGGATATAGTAAGATACAAATTTATTTACATTTTCTGATGTCGATTCCGGCCTTTGTTGACCGGGCATGTTTCATAAAATCAATTGTCGTTTTCATTTAAAATTCTCTTCATGGCAAATCAATTGTCTCTTCATTTAATTTTTTTATGAACTATCTGGTCAATGATCATTTCTACGAGGCCTTCTCGATTTAGTACTAGAGGACTGTTTTTCTTGTTTTGAAGACGCAGTTAGATTTGGTCAAGATCAAACATCGTTGTGCTGCCTAAAGTGGTTGACTTTGTAATCATTTGATAAAATTTGCTTTCTGATACATATTTTTTACTCCAATCTACAAATCATTAATACATGCTCCAAGTGCTGACTCTATTAACGTATTTTTCATTGGTAGCTTTATGGATTCGCTCTAAATCTCGTTCCCACGTTATGCATTTAGCTATAAATTGCAGAATTTTCTTTCACAATGATCCCTGCTTTGAACAGTGTTCATTCAATCTGAAATTCTTGGGCCTCTATGTTCATATTTATGTCAATCGATGAATATTTTTTCAACCTTAATCTTATCATCCGCAATTTTTTGCTATGTTTTCTCCGTTTTTTTTTCCATCCGAAGGTGTGGTGTTGCTATTCGAGAAATTTTATCTTCCCATTACGATTTTGTCGCCTCTTAAATTGGACAATATCAACTCTTTTTTGCAGACTGGTCTGGAGAAGAACTTGTTCGGCAACCATCCAGTTTCATTTGGAACAGAGCCCCGTAGTCCTCCACCTGCCTTTGCCTCAGAGCCGCTTGTGCATCCATCTCTTGGGAAAGATGCCGACCCTACAAGACCTGCAAGTTTGGACATAGTGTCGATCGATGGACCGAGCTCTGCCACGTCATCTCTACCAAATCACGAAGCCAATTTCATGAAGAGCACAAGTCCTACTGCTGTACGAAGTCTTATGTTTTATTATGTTTTACTTTCCCATGGGCATTGAGGATTCGCTTTCCATGTCAGATGCGAATTATTTGCGTATTTTACTTAAATGGTTTTATCACAAAATTTGTCTGCTCAGCCTGGTGCAACCACGCGGAAGAACGCACTGCAAGTTGAAAGGCAGAACTCGGAAGTTTCGTATTATGCCGATGATGAAGATGCAAAGAGGAAGAAGTACTCGCGAAGAGGTGAGTAAAGATTAGTCATCTTCGTTTGAACTTTTTTTTTTTTTTTTTGATATATCTGTTTGTAATGGATTTAAAATTGCAGGTACGTTTCGTCACAAGTTCTTGAGGTCACTGTTGCCTTTCTGGTCAAGTGCATTGCCGACTCTACCAGTGACTGCACCACCAAGAAAAGACGAGGATGCCCCCGAAGGTCGTGCAAGACATCATAAGTCTTCAAGAATGGATCCAAGGAAACTCCTCTTAATTATAGCCATCATGTAAGAGACATTTGCATATATTTGATTCGATCTCTACCAAAACATAATTCATAATTGGTTACATATAGCCCTTGATATATTTACAGAAAAACCATCCCAGGTTACCAATCTCCGATATCAGCACATATTCTTTTGCTTTTTAGTGGCATTTGTAAAATCAAAATCAACCTCAAACGTTTTTTTTTTTTTTTTTTTTTTTTTTTTTTTTGTTTTCAGGGCATGCATGGCAACAATGGGTATTCTGTATTACAGAATCGCACAACGTGGGTTGGGCGAAGATTTGCCTGACGATGACCCGCAATGATTGAAACTTGAGAAAGTGGTAATAGGCGAACGTGGTCTATTGTTCTTCGTCTTCGTGCTTGTTCTTGTAACTCCGGTTATCAAGATTTTTTTTTTTATTCGTGGGTGAGTTATGACTGTTTTGTCTGGATAATAATGATGCCCTTTTTTGTTATAGAAGTTATCGGAATCTGTAGCAGTAGCAACAAATTACATGTTTATAAGGAACTACATTTCGCGAGTTTGGTTGTATGCTTCGAAACCTTTTCTTATTTTAACCTAAAACTGAGATCGATCTTGTTATCCATTTTTTCTCTCAACTGCATGTTTTAGTTTGATGGTATGATTATTTGATGTATTAAAATTGATTTATTTATTGTTAAATTTTTTGTGAATATACCTTACTGCAGGGGTAGTTATAATTTACCCTGAATTCAAATAACAAGAATGTCTTACATTGAGTTTGATCATACAAATAACCGACATACTTAATACATCAATCTAATACGGAAAATGCCAATTCATTTAGCAAATCTATGGTTGTGCGTGATTAAGACTAAGAGGGTGTTTGGCTAAGCTTATAAGATGTTAAAAAGAGCTTATAAGATGTTTTAGAGCTTATAAGTTCTTCCAAAGTATTTGGTAAATTTTTAAAGAAAGATTTTATTTTTTTAAAAATAAGTTGTTGTAGAGCAAATAAGATCTTTTTAAATAAGTACATCTACCCCACCTTTTTATTTAAGATCTTATAATGTGTAAAAAAAGGAAATAAGCTGATTATCCAAACACTCTAAAAATTAATCCTAAAAATAAGATGTAACAGCTTATCAGCTCTAAAAACATCTTATCAGACGTAAGAGCTTATCAGTTGTTTAAGTATCAAAAGCTACGTGTCATGCGCTCTCTCTCTCTTCTAAGTTAATCTTTCGATAGCATGACAAAGCTCTTTAGTTTTCTTTATATATATATATATATATATATATATATATATATCAAATATTTTTCTAAGTAGAACACCGAGTAGGTTTGACATTGCACAAATATAAATTTTCAATTATTAGGAAACAAATAACAAGAAAAGTCGTTACGCACATTTGACATTTGCACTAGTCAAGTAGTTTTGATGGATGAATTTGTCTCAAAAGTATATTTTAATATTTCAAAAACGAATGTCAAAATCTTTTAAAATTACTAAAAACAAAATATCCCTTTTTCATTATTTTTCATGTTTATTATCAAACAGTGGGAATACTAATAGACCAATATGTAGCTGAAATAAATAAAGATAGAAAAATAGTACAAGTAATGCTTTCTATTATTTTTTCTTTTATTTTCCATTTAAAACATTATTTTGTATATCAATTATAGATATCATAGTCCATAGATACATAATATAAAAATTAGATAATACTTTTTGAAATTTTTGGAATATTCATATTATTTTCAGAAATTAATTCGGATAGGAAATTAATATTTCGAACAATTATATACATAAATTTGATTTCAATCTAAAAGAACTTCAAAAATCAGAATTTTGAAAAACGGAAGAAGTCAATTATTTCAAATCAGAATCGCTGAAATTCAAAAATTCCGTTACGATTTCCACCCCGACATAGTGTATGCAACTTCTAGAATATTGGCCAATGGGCCTATAAATATTTTGATAGATTTTGACCAACTCCAATATCAATTATGGCCCAATTTATCGTCGGCAATTTCAAGTCCCCAAGAAATATTTGAAAAGAACAAATTATTAAAAATTAATAATAATTATTTAACATATATATTGAACATTTCTAATTATTAAAAATCTAATTGAGGAATTAATCAAAGTTCATTTAACTTAATATTAAATAAAAAAAACAAATTAATCAGAAAGTCTTCAGATAGACCTCCAGATGCGACCTCCTGAGCCCGTTGACATTTGCCACCCGTCAAATTGAATTGGTTTATAAATTTGATGTATGAATTATTTTCCAATTTTCCAATTACAAATAGAGTTGTCAAATATATATTTAATTATTTGAAAAAGGAATGTCAACCTAAAAACAATAACTCACTTTTCATTCTGCTAAAATAGCCACTTTCCATGTTCTAACAACACAACTGGTGTTTTATTAGGTTTTTATTTAGTTTAAGGAAAGGGTATATACTCAACATGTCTTTAATTTTATGTCCAAATATACTAAATATATATATATATATATATATATATATATATATATATATATATATATATATATATATATATATATATATATATATATATATATATATATATATATATGGTAAAATTAAATGGTTTGCCCCTTCAAAGTACATTGGGGTTGCAAATGTTAATCTTACATGTGAAGAATAAAATGTATGAATTGAGATGTTCGAAATAGTAAATATTATTAACATGAAGGTTAAAATACAACTGTAAAAATCAGAGCTCAACTCGTCCGAAAGCTCAGCGTGACTTTGATGGCCTCAAACTTCAATTTTTTTTAAGACTATTTATAATAAATTGAAATTCGGGTCATCATAAATCTCGGATTTACGGCGATTACCAAATGGGCTTTTTATTTTATGTGTATTTGTATTTTATTTTATTCTTTTAATATTTCCAAGAATGTGATTAAGTAATACGAATGGTGAGTTTAGGGTTTATACTATGTTACATCGGGTGAAATACACCGCCTAGATTTTTACCATTCATAGCTCACAAACACACACATACCCCACATTAGTGTGTGTAGATTAACGGTAAAAATCCACCCGATATAACATTTACCGAGTGTAGCATAGAAATAACCAGAGTGTAGTCGGCTGAGAGAAACATTAACATATGTGACGCGGCAATTAGAGTTTACTATAACATGATTAGTTTATAATATAATCATCATACTTTGTTAATTATATTTTATAGCCACTATTCAAGAAAAAAAGACTCTATTCTCAACAACCGCAATTAAAAAATTCACATGTATGTATATAAGTCATGCAAATACGGTTTAATTAAATGCCACTTTTGACTTAATTCCCAATCATTGAGTACTTGCACGAAATGTGCCTGTTAATGTTTAGGTTTAATTAGGTGAACAAATAAACGATAATTTATTATTATTATTATTATTATTTTTTTTTTTAATTTTGTATTTATGTAGTACTGTAAAATGATGACTTAACGGTTGGAGCAAGTGAACTTTTAGCAGTCGATCAAAATTTGAATCGTTTTTTCTGCGGTCGTTAAATGTAGCTTGTCACACATTGTTAGCCACAATGTGGTTTACATTTTTCGTATGCTATACAAGCTATTATATATATATATATATATATATAATATCAGATTCAATCATAAAATTAATTTCATAATTATCAATTAATTAATTAACTAATCAAACAAAGAAGTCAGTTCGTGTATGGTTGTTGTCTGGTAGCCGGTAGGTACAACTTATAAGCCAAAATATATTCTTTTTTTCTTTTTCCTAATTAATTTAATTTAATCACGAGGCAAGCACGGTTGCCAAAATTATTTTAAAATTATTAGCAGCACTTCTTATTGGATCGTCACAATAGTGGCAATCATGATCATGTGAGTCAATCATAATCCCATTTAAATAAATAATAACAATAATAATAATTTTGATTTTTTTATATATTTTTATTTTTTGCTAATACTTAATTACTTACACCACATTTTATTTATTATTAAAATATATATGTTTTGATCTTACAAGCGTGTGTCGCGCGTATATAGGAACTACCTAACGTACTTTTGTCGAGCTACTGAAACAAATACACTATTTAGTATTCAAGTATTTTGACACTATTTAGTATTATTTATAATTAAATCCCTCTATGATTAATTAATTACTTCTAATATTGACTATTTAGAGAGTTGTGTGCTTAGGAAAATAAAACAAATAAACCATAGGGGGTTAATTGCTAATATTAATTAGGTTGCATTACATTTACCTGATATTAAATGTAATTACAGTTAACGCCATTTGGCAAATATTGAATAAATTACACTATCATCCCCGAGGTTATTTTGAATTACATATAGACCCCTGATATTAAAAAAATGTTACATATACATCCCTTAAAGTTTAATTTTAAATCAGAACTGCTAACCAAATGTCCAATTATATAGTTAATCATGGCTAATCAAATGGTATCTTAGATGATTAGTTTAATAATGATTAAATATATATAAGTCATTGTTATATAATGATTAGTAAATTAATATGTGTGTGTGTGTATATATACATTTGTAATAAACAGATAGAGTTTTTCTCATTAATTAGATGAGCATGATTTTTGTGCCAGAAGATTATGTTTATCTTTTGACTCATCAATATATATATATATATATATATATATATATATATATATATATATATATATATATATATATATAAATTAAAATCAATTTGATTCTAGTTTTTTTGTATTATATTGAATTGTTTTGTAATTAAGACTCATTCTATACGAAAAAAATCAAGAATTTAATAAATCTAGATTTCTCTAATGTATAAAAATTGGGTAATATTAACAAAAATCATGACAATTTCAAGAACCATGTAATATAATCTATGGACTGTTCCAATGTTGTGTGTTTGCCAAATAGGATTATCTGTCTGAAAACTGGAAACATTCACATTGTAACCAATAGCTGATTAG